AGATTTAGGTCAGGACATTTGAAGAAGACATCATTTGGGTTTTTAAACATTTCATAACATCAACAGGAACATAATAAAACTATTTACAATAAACATGATCAAACGTGAACACCTTTTCATTACAACGTGGCGTGAACAACTGACTAATGCAACTTCGAGGTCTAGGAAAGAGTGAAGGATTAACCGCGTGCTGCTCCTTAACAACAATACATACATAAGGAGTTATGCCCCAAAATTCTCTTAAGGTTTTACACTTACGGTTCGAAAATATTGCACCCTTCGCTAAAAAATGGTCATACAGACGCCAAAGTTTTTTAACTAAAAAAATTTGAATAACCATAACAAGTAACAGAAAGTTTTAATCAGTTCAAGCGGGAAGTAATATAAAATTTATCAAGAAATTGTAGTCAAGATATGAATTGCAAAAAATCTTTCGAGTTTATTCTATTTCTGAACAATATCCATGATTACGAAAACATGAAAATTGAGCTTTGATGATAGGTATACCTGTAAAATACCTCCAATAAAAAACTTTTCTTTGCTTGAGGGATTTTGTTATGGTGAATTTAGATATACGTACTTTGTGCTTGGGTGTCTAAAAATATTGAAATTGCTTCCGGAGCAACCGAAAATTGAAAATGAAACTCAGAAAATGCAACTGAAGCTCTTTTTTGTTGGAACATTGTAATCTGCGTAGCTGTTTCTAAATTCCGAAATTTCCAAGCTGTGTTTTGGTGTTCCACTTTGATAAAATTGAGACCCTACTTCAATCTCTTTTTTGAATTGCTCTCTTAATAGCTAGGTGATTTAGAAAGTGAAGACTTTTTTTTATAGAAAAGACAGGCCTTACAAATGCTTGCTTATCGGAAACAAATGTTTATAGCCAACACCAGAAAAACTAGAGGCATATTTTTTTACTCAAAACAAACAGCCTGAGTCTAAAGACCCTCTCTCGGGCTTCCCGATGATTTCAGCCCTTGAGGCGATGTGCTCTAAAAATGAAGTTCATGTAGGACACGCCCTTTCATCAAGCATGCCACGCCCTTTCGTCGGGCAACTAAGCTTCATACCCCCCTAATGAAAATAGTGAAGTTTCGCCCCTGGTCTTCGTCGGTAAATTTTTCTAATGATGACCCTCCACTCCCTTAGTCTGGAAGGTCAAGCGACGCCATGGCCTATTAATGAAACCTAACATCTTTTTTCCCATATTGTCTATATTCGGCCCGGAATGCCATTCCCTAACTCTTTTTGGTCATTGTTAGAGGCTGAACCCTTTATTTGCTTAAAAGATTAGGTTAGAAAAGTTTAGTGTGAGCAAGTATCGTATTACCCTTTTGGCATCATGGAAACTTCACATGATAATAAATGCAATTGGATTACGTGTGTGATTGTTGCAAAGTAGACTACGCTTTCACTGCCAATATTTATATTTGTTTCACATACCCGTAACTGCTGATTTTGTCTCTTAACAGATTTAAATTTCTTTGATTTAGCCATAGAAAATAAAATGTAAGCTGCCCAGTAATCGATTAAGGAATAAAATAAAATAAATTTCTTCTTACATCAACTCGCCAAGGTTCTGCTCTTTTCTTTGATGATCGAAAAAATGTTTGCCTTTTTCGATTCTGTTGAAGACGATCACTTGATCATGCTTGGAAACAACTGAATGCCGTGAACAGGTCTTATCAGCTGGAAAATGTGTGCATAAAATGGGTATTGTTTTCAGGCTTAAGAATGCAAGAAAATAATTCAATCTGTTTACAACAAAGCCAATTTAGACAATAAGCAAACCAGATTCTATTCAACATTGGGTGTCGTACATCTATGTTCTCAAAAACAATAAGCTTTTTATAAAATGGTTCGAAAGTCCCATATGGGAAGCGCGCAAAGCCTTTTTACCCACAAAACAATGCGTGATACTCATTATAAAACACCTCTGGGACTTTCTTCCACTATCATCTCTCTGACAACCACCAAATGTCTTTCATTTGTCTTATTTGCCTTATAAATGACGCACACATACAATTCATCGAAAGAGAGGTCCCGCAAATATTTGACATCCCCTCCTAAAAAAAGGGGTTTAAAAAATTCCTTATAATCACTTTACAAAAAACAATGTTAACTAAGTCATTTTTTTTATTCTTTGTGCTGTTTAGAAACTATTGTGAACAGTCTATACAAAACACTATCAAGAAAAGGGAATGGAGTAGCTTGGGGGGGGGGGGGAGGTACCCCTCCCGCAAGCTCGAGAAAAATACCGCTATTGGTTCATCGGCTATGTAACAGTTTATGGCATATTATAAAGACATATTATTGATCAATTTACATTGAACTTTTAACATAGCAATAATAGAAAATATACAACCAATCTCTTCTCAAGAGCATGGAAAGTTCCATCGAATTTTTGGCCATTTGCCCAAGTCTAAAGCCTTGCCTTGTACTAAAAATGTAAAAATTGCAGACAATCATTCGAAACTCACCACTCAAATGACATTAAAAGTTCCAATGTAAGTAAGTAGAAACCTGCTCTTGAGAAGAAGATATGCGGTTGAAGTTTTGGACACTAACAAAGCTTCTATCGTTCTAAATTATCATGTTAAAAGTTATTATCATTAGTTTTTATTATCATATTTGACTTTAAGAAAGCTCTAGAGAAATTAAATCTTTTGGTGGAATTCTTGATCATTTTCCTAAGCCATTAGCCTTGCTCTTTTTATCAGAAAAGGAAGGAAAGTTAAAATGCCCAGAAAGCTTTCTATCATTCCAAATTGACCAATAAAGTGTATTTAAAGGTCTTATTATCATATTTAGCTAGAAGATTGCACTTGAGAAATTAAGTCTTTTGGTCGAATTCTTGATCATTTTCCTAAGCCATTAGCCTTGCTCTTTTTATCAGAAAAGGAAGGAAAGTTAAAATGCCCAGAAAGCTTTCTATCACTCCAAATTGACCAATAAAGTGTATTTAAAGGTCTTATTATCATATTTAGCTAGAAGATTGCACTTGAGAAATTAAGTCTTTTGGTCGAATTATTGATCATTTTTCTAAGCCTATAGCCTCGCTCTTTTTATCAGAAAAGGAAGGATAGTTAAAATGCCTATAAAGCTTTCTATCATTCCAAATTAACCAATAAAATATATTTGAAGGTCTTATTATCATATTTAGCTAGAAGATTGCACTTGAGAAATTAAGTCTTTTGGTCGAATTATTGATCATTTTTCTAAGCCTATAGCCTTGATCTTTTTATCAGAAAAGGAAGGATAGTTAAAATGCCCATAAAGCTTTCTATCATTCCAAATTGACCAATAAAGTGTATTTAAAGGTCTTATTATCATATTTAGCTAGAAGATTGCACTTGAGAAATTAAGTCTTTTGGTCGAATTATTGATCATTTTTCTAAGCCTATAGCCTTGATCTTTTTATCAGAAAAGGAAGGAAAGTTAAAATGCCCATAAAGCTTTCTATCATTCCAAATTAACCAATAAAATATATTTGAAGGTCTTATTATTATCCTAAATAAAAGAAATTAAATCTTTCAGTCGTGTCATGTAACTAAGCCTATTGGTTTGAATTTGCCAAAAAATGAACACTATACCTGAATGCCTAAAAAGTTTCTTATAATTGTTAACCGACAAATAAAATTTACGCAAAAATTCATATTTAGCAGTTTTGAGCAGAACTGTGTTTTTAGAGGACGAAAATTTCGATCAAGATGGTGGTCATGATGATGAAATCAAGATGAAAAGAATTGTTAGTTAAGATGCCGATCAAGTCAATTCTCCCCCTCAATAGCCAATTTCAATCCAAATTAGATGAAAAAAAAACCTTTAAATACATTTCATTGGTCAGCTTGGTTTGGGCAAGTGCGTTTTCCTCTAACAGGAAAAAATTCTTAACACTTGAATTTATTTTCGGCTGTTGCTTAGAGAGGATACTTTTCCTTATGACAAAAAATCCAAAATGCTTCATGTCACATAGAATGAAGCATTATTTTATGTTTCATGTCATACCGAATTTCTCAGGCTCTGGTACCCAGGGAAGATACTTATAAACTTTGCTAATAATAATCATAAATAAATTTAATACTGACTTCAAAAAGACTTTCCCTTGACGATGGAAGGTAGGGTGACGTTTCCTATCATTCCTCCCTACTTCCCCTGCGTTCCCTTTGAAAACAATAACTGATATTTTGTCTAACATTTTTTGCATTTTCGGTCTTGAGTCAACTTGTTTGCCACATTATTTATGAAAAAGTTAATAGGCATCAAAAGGCATCATTTAGGCTTGTCCAAATGATGTATTGAATTCATCTAAGCTTGTCGAAATTTGGAAACAAGAGGAAGAAAATTTTCTGATTTGTGAAAGTCAGCCGTCCTGATTCAAGAGACATGTCTCAAAATAAAGATAGAATTGGTACCTAATGGAAATGATGGTTGGGTAAGGAACACATTCCTTGTCTCCTAAGATATAAATAACTTATGAATTGTCTTACTAGTGTTTTTAAACACACAACAGATAACGTAAACTAGATTCTGTGAAACACAGGCAGATGGATAATTGATAAATAGCTTGTTTTTTAAATCAATTGACATTAATAATTTATTTTAATTACAAGAATAATAATGAACGATACATTTTCACGACACATTTTCACGACACATTTTCACGCATTAAGAACGACAATGTGATATCTTTCAAACGCAAATCCTTGCACTACGTCAAATTGAAGATGCGTCTTCATAATACATTGTCACGGAATTGACTTGGGGTACTTTGTTCTCTCAGTGAGTCCAACACAATGGTTGTTTGCATACAGGGCTTGGAAAACCTGACGGTCATCCGGTCAATGACCATGGGCGGTCATACGGTCAAAAACGGTGAGGAAGGCCACTGAAATCACAGTACCACACCCAATCTCCGCCCAATTTTCTTTGCTTTCTAAGGAGGATTGTTCTGGACATTTTTTATTTATTCTTTATATAAGAGCGATGGGGATCTCTTTCAAAGACATTGTCACAAGGGACAGGTCAAAAATTCTAATCAAAATCAACATTTAGCGTAACGTGAATTGGAGGATCATGTTTTGCATCCGACAGACATGCTTTTCGACCATCCCGGAATAAAATAAAAGTGAGACTGTAATAGTGAAGACGTTAAAAACGATAATTGAAATGAAAAAAACTTTGCACAGGTATTGGGTAAGCAAGCCATCTTTATTTGAACTTGGATCAGCGTCTGTACTAAACTGTTGTAGTGGTTCATGCCTATAGTTATGTTATGTAGATACGTTATGTATATTTAATATGAATATATATATACAGAGAAATCAATGGTGTTTTTCAAGAGAAAGAACAAAGTACCCCAGAAACCTAAAAAGTTCAGTATATACTGCAAGCGTACTCTAAACCAACGTCATACAACCGGGGATTCACTTTCCTGAAGTCATTTGTCACAATGATTAAAAATGAAAAAAAAATTATTTCCAATAAATATCATTAAAATTACCAAAAATTGGCCCACCCTCAAGTACATTAAATATTAACATAAAGAAATACGTAAATCTTCAATCTATTCGATACTGCTTTTAAGATAAGCATCTAGACCCTTGATTGATATCATGAATTTGTGGTAAAGCCTCTCACCCACGTGTATCCCCATTCAGATATGGTCTGTATTGATATGAAGGGAACAGCAGGGATATCAACAAAGAGCTGGGTTATTGGTAGTCTCGTCACCAAGAAGAGGCAAATTGAACATGATAGTGGCACGGCGAGTGGTTTATGTTTTATGGATAGCAGCTACGGGGTTAGGTTCTGTGATGCAGTTGTCTGTTTTATCAATGATACTAAGTATTTGTCAACTTAATGATTCTACTCTTTATTTGATACTACTTTGCCCTTGCAAAAAAAATTTTTAATGTCAAAATACAAACATGCAAACTGATTAAAATAGGTAGGTTTTCAAACATAAACATTCTTCAGGAAACATTCCAAATAATGGTTGATGACGTCAAGTTCAGAGTACTTACGAAGATCACGTGACCCTTAAATCGACTGCCCAAGACGGTATGGTACTTTGGTAGTCAATGGCCTTACTGAGACTTTCCAGTTTAGTGACAGGGGGCTTGCAAACGTTGTTACTTTGGCCACTTACGTCAGAGGAGCTTTCACTGTGAGAAGATTCGATGTTGAATCCGTCGATAGTTTGATGATCTTCAGAGAAGGGTGACCTCAACAACTTGAGAAGGTGCCGAATCTAAACAAAGATATCATAGAAATTTGAAACAATGAGAGGGCAAACAAGGCTCCCTCTATCCACTGATCTATAAAAAAGACTGGATCGAGCTTCCCATTGTCTTGAAAAACCAAAGTTTGAAGAACATTCAATTTCAAAAGGATAAGGGCCCTCAAACAATAGCGAGAAGCCATTCCTCAAAACTGTGTGTATGTATGCTGTGTGCATGATTGCTGAAAAAGAACAAGGCCAGGGCAGCTGAAAACATTGCTAGGGGTGACAGAGAAGGCCGTCTCCTCGCATGGGCTGTTCTGGGGCCCTCTTCTCAGATGGCGACACTCTGGTCACATTAAAAGCTCGACCCAGTCTTTTTTTTAGATCAGTGCCTCTATCATGGTTTATCCAAAATTCCTACAAGAAACGAAGCTTACCTCTTCATAGTTGCCTTCTTCTGCAGCTTCGATAACATGCTGGGCAACGTAATTCCGCAATACAATCCTGTTGAATCGAGAAAAAATAGTTTAATTCTGACTTGAAGTTAATCTATACCATTATTAATTCAAATGTTTTTTTAGCAGAAGTTTTCATTGGGACTTGTCCACGTAATAACTTCAAATACTACAAATGAGGAAAAGCACAAACCTTGGGTTCGACTCGTTCATAGTTTTAACACGTTCCATCATTGCCTGCTAAAAGATTTATATCGGTTATGAGGTTAAAATGTCAAGAAACACGGAAGAGACTTCCTAAAGTTGAAAGGGACTGGGGTATAATCTGTGTATGTTCCATCTGTACTACGGATTTCCATTCCCGCAAGGAGCATTTCTTACCCCCTTCACACCATTAAAATATACACCATATGAAAGAGAGATATATAAGAGGTAAATGTAATGAGCAAGCAGCATAATAAGAACATTGCAAATAGGTTAGCCATTTGTTCTCGTTTAACATAGTTCAAAACTATGACATGATGGATTATTTGAAATAAAATAGATCCAATAAAAGGAACACAACCAAGAGCGTCTCTGGTAATCACTAAGCTATGAGAATAAAAAAGCTTAATTATAGAGATTAATTAAACAAAACGGCAACCAGCCCTGACATCTATAAACACGTTTGACTAAATTAGAGTTTACGTCCGTAGCTTTTAAATAAAACAAGTGCATTCTAAACCAAAATTTCCGATCCTAAATTTGTACCTTTGTTTTGAATAAGCTTTAAAGAATTTGCATTTGAAAAAAGAATGCTGATAGGCTTGAATATGTAAGTAACGAAGGCTAAAAAAGTAAGTGGTTTTTACTTAAAAAAGAATGAATAAATAAAATTGACAGGCAGATCAAACAAAACAACAACATACATCTTTAGTAGCTAAGTCGTCTTGGTCTTTGAACTCGTCCTGCAATCGATTCCTGCAAGGAAATTAAAGATAGGGGTAGCAATCAATAAACTGAGATTTCAATCAAAATAACAGATTTGGTTCTTGAAAATATAACGAAAGCTAAGGTTTTCAGTTATTGGTCGTATCTAATATCGATCTCTCATCAACAGAAGAATTTAAATATAGGTGATATTAACCGTACAAAAGAGAAAGAAATAAAAAATTCTCAAACAACTATAGAATAAGATAGTATTCGCAAAAATAAAGTATTCGAGAGAAAGATACCAGCGTTACGAAAAGAAATGGCTGATGGCAAAGCTGAGCAATCAGGGTATTTCGAAAATTATGATACGTGATCTGTTTGGGTCTAAATTCCATTGGCGGAACACCAATAAACCGTTAGCCAGCCGAGCATACTGAATACGGTTAACAGGAAGACAAGACCCAAAGAAATATGCCTTAACGTTGCAGGGGTGCATCAGCTGCATAGCTGTTAAATTCTTGAATCCTTGACAAACAACCATGCTCGACATCCTGTTTCATAACTCTATTTTCACATTTCTAAAACAAAAACACGAATACGAACAGCATAAAATACCTATACTCCTTGAGCCACTCTTTCCAAAGTTCCTTGTCTTTCGCAGATTTTTCTGCTTGAGTAATATTGTCCAATTCTTTGCCTTTTTCCATTTTTTCCAGCTCTTTCTTAAGTTGTGCTACGGCTCCTCCGCCCAACTGTTGTAGCAACGTTGGCTGGGCCTGCAACATTCTCAGCAGCAGCTGAATCTCACTGAAGGACAAAAAAGAACATCAGATAAAAACAGTTACAATATTAACACGTCCCGGGCAATGTTATCGACAAAATCCACCACTCCCAGTACTACTGACCTGAAGCAATACTACAGAACCAGCAGTAAATGGTTAATCGGCATTGTAAGGTAGCCCATTTTTAAGCCTAGTACTTTTCCTAGAACACTTCACAATTCATTAACCAGTTGTAATGATTTCAAGCTCTGTGAATGAATTTTGTGGCACTTTGAATTCTAAAATCACTGGGTAGGGGTTCTTTACAGCGCTTCTAATAGCAGTAATCTTTTGGAATGATAATGCCAAAGCGTAACGTGATATATTTTGTCTATTTAAATACGAATCTAATTCAAAAACTAACATAATAGGAAAGTTTCTGTATTTCAGAAACTACCATCACAATAGCAGCATCTTAATTGCACATAAAAAGCTGCTTTGTGACTGAAAATTTGCAATAAATATTTTCACGAATGATTTTTACCATGATTATTAGGGTACCATGATTATGGGTATAACCCGATATTTCTAAGAAATGAAACTATAATAGAGTAATACCCAGGCTCTGTATTTGTTTGCGATGCTTTTTTCATTTCTTCTACCGTTTGGCATTGGCTGACGAGGTACATCAAAATTCTCTCTTCGCTGTTCGTTAAAAAGGAAGAAAAAACAATGTTTACAGTTTTAAAAGTAATGTCATTACAAAAAAATAGCAAATGAAGATCTGTTTATCAAAAACGAAGTGAATTTGAAGATCTGACACTCTCTTGAATCGGCATAAGACACTAAGAGAAGCACACGAATTCTAAGGCATTTGTCTAAGTATAACAAAATATACAGAAATATAATGTTCGTTAACAGGTTTATAGTAAAGTTTATCTCTGAAACCTCTTTAAAGTTTTCTGCTACAGAAAAGATAAAAATAACCAGGAACTGACATATACAAAAACAGAGGTAAATATTAACGCAATATTCACGTGAATGCAAACAAACTTTTAGATAGAAGATTGCAAACATTGCTAACGACCTCCTGATAAATTCTTCTAAATAGAAGTAGAGCTTACTAGGTCGGCAAAACTCTCCTTTGGATTTATGAACTACCGTAATTGCAGATCTAGCACGTCATACCACAGTCATATTAATGGAAGAACAGCAAATAAAATATGTTTGCGATTCTTGTTCACATTTCATGCTTTTTTCGATAGAAACGTTTTGTTTTGTACAAACCTTTCAATGTCAGCCTCAGCAGGTTTAACATTCGACAAATAGCGAAAAGTGTTCGTAAAATCAGCACCTGTGCAGAAGGAAAAAGTTTTCGATATAAAACACGAATACAGATATTCAGATGGGTTAGATCAAGATGGGTTAGGTCGTTTTCATACGTAAAATGCTTTTTGCTGCATCCGCAAAGAGTGGTTGAGAAATTTCATAAGGCATTTTTACGATGAAAATCGTGAAAAATATTGATATTATAAGCCACAAAGTGTAACTTGAAACTCCCCTATGTATATTTATATCCCAGTACAACTCTCATATTCTGAAGATGAATCTTGTTGTCAAGAAATATAACACGGTTTTGGTCGCATCATTGCAAAAGCCTATCGGCGCCTATTAGAATGCGGCGTTAAGTCCTTAGTCATCAAATTATCGTCACTGTACTTTTATTATGGTTAATACAACTTGAACGATGTACATAAACGTATAACTAACAACGATCGATGTAAGACCAGGATTTGATGGACGCAAGTTTCAATTGCAATCTATTTGAGAAAATGCTGTGACTTACATGTTTTCTCCATAGTTTCGAACAACGACGAAATCAGTTCACTAGAATATACACATTTGAGATTAGACTCGTAAAATGATTCAATACATACAGGATTATTTAAAACACACCCTAGACTTGATTAGGGTTATGCTTGGACTCGTTCTAGACTAGAAAAGAATCAATTAGACTTCAACTAATGATTCAAATTCAAGGTATTAACAATCGCTAGCATCATTAACTCGACAGAAAGTATGGAGCATATAAAATTGGAAACGTAGAGATATGATGTGTAGAAAAACTAACACAGCTATAATGAAATTTTGTCATTAAAAAAGTAAAAAATTCACTACAAAATGATCAGATCCTTTAACTTGATTTGAGTTTGATTGACTTTTAAAGAGGTTGCCTGTGTAATCAAATCAACCTTAAGAGAAAACGTTAAAAACTTGCTACAAAGTCACACTTGGAAATTCCAGTGAAGGACACCAACTACATGAAAATCAACTGAAGCTCAAATGGGTGCACATTTTTTAACAAGAGGTTAAAATCCATTCACATTCATCCACATTGCATTTTTCAGGACAAAAAGATGTAAGATTACAAATAAAAGTGACAGCAAATTAAAACTAACCATAAATTAAGAGCATTTGTACTAAATGAAATTATTTCACAAACCTGTCACTTTCATGCATCATTCGCAAAAGTCCCAGCTACAAAAAATATACAAAGGTAAATATTTTCAGCGATTTACTGTCTGAAATAAGATTCAACTTAAAGTGCTTTTTGAAAATTGCCAAAAAAGGGAACGAATCTTTATCGATTTTTTCAACATTTCAATAAACTTTGTCTTATTAATCAAGTGACAAAAGTTATGGCGCACTGTCAGACCTTCAAGCAAAAGTCTACCAAAATATCTTCAAATGAGAACTGATTACGTCCAAAGGACAGTATAATGTTCACTATTGTATCGCTTCCAACTGGCTTCATACAAAAATAAATGATACGAGCCAAAATTTTGTGTTCATTGTTCAAAATGTCTATTCGTGAAAAAGTATGACATGAAATTATCAAATTTGACTCCAAATTTTAACCACAACAACAATAAAATCATCTTTCGCAGTTGGAAAATGTTTGTATTTTGCTTAAAAATTTTGACACCAATTGCACAAATTCATTAATTATTATAAAGATAAAAGATTAAACGAAATGAAAAAGTCATTATTGTTGGATTTTGGTTGAAATTGTTTGATCAAGCCAATAATCCAACACCCTAAAGTACCTTTCTCTCTTTGCTTAACATAACGGGTAGCATTTAAAAAACCATGTTCACACGAGTGCTGGTTTAGATAAAATCAAGAGATTATCCTGGTAAAACTGTGGTTGAATATCGAGCAATATTTTATTATGAAGTGCAAAGTGATCGTGTTACACATTTGAATAGACTTTGCTTAAAGAAATCATTTTACACTCATAGCTCTTCAAAAGCTGATTGAGTAACATACTTGCAAAACCTATTAATAACATTGAGGAGTGAAAATTTTAGAAGACAGCTGTTGTCAAAATTATGCTGGGAGTTGAAGTGTATTTCAATTTGTGATTCTTACTCACCTTCTTTCTCATTAAACTCAGATACGCCATTTTATATTCATCGTCATACCTAAAACGATCAAAAGCCTAATCAAAAGAAAAAAAAGTAAAAAAAATTGAAACAGATTTCGGCAAAGATCACTAAGTTTATTGGATACATGTTGAATCTCATGCCACGGTTCGAATGTGAAGGCAAGCTTGTGTTTTTGAAAGAAAAAAGCATAAGGTACGATCGCATAAATATAAATTAGGTAAAATGTACAGAACTTACAAATTCAGTATTTCAAGTGACAAATCTAAGGGCAAAGCATCCTGTAAAGCCTCAGCAAATTTTCTCAGATTCCATTTGCAAATGGATGGTTGATTTTGATAGGAATACCGGCCTTGATCGTCTACGAGAAGGCTTAAATCATTAGCTTGAAATTGTAATTTCATTTAAATAAATAGAGAAAAAAAGCTTGTGTGAGTTGTGCCTAAAAACAACCAATTCGTTGCAAATGCATCGCAACTCTCTAGTAGTGCAAGACGTTTTATTCCAGTTTTGATATTCCATTTAATCTAGTTAAAGAGTACAAAGAAAATCGGTTGGGAGATACAGATTTGTATGCTTGATGGCAATCAAATAGATAGCTGTTCCTGGAGACATAGATGATAGAAAAGGCAAGTACAGGAGAGAAAAAGGGAGAAAAAGAGAGAAAAAGAGAGACAAAGAGAGAAAAAGAGAGAAAAAGAGAGAAAAAGAGAGAAAAAGAGAGAGCAAGAGAAAACAAAAGAGAACAAAAGAGAATATGGAAGAACAAGGGAGAACAGGAGATGATGTAGGCAGGCTGTTGGGTATAAAGACAGTACAATAACATATTATAGAGGTGAGTGATGTACAATAGCGATCTTACAAACCAAAACAGTATGACACCGAAGGAGAAGGAGAAGACTTTCCCTCTCAAGCCGAGAATTTTGGCACAACAAAATAACAAACAGAACATCTCCAAAAATGATTAATGAACCATAATTGTGAATAACATGTGTCTGAAAAAATTTCTTCCGAAACAAAGGTCAATCAATTTAATTTTAACTATGTTACCTGATGCGTTGCAAACATGATCTGGATTATAGTAATCCATGAATCCAAAAGGACCATAGTCGATTGTGAGTCCTAAGATGCTCATGTTATCTGTATTCAGAACACTGTAAATGAGGAAATAAAACTTTGAGATTTTGATAAAAATTTGCCAGACTTTGAAGACTACATGACTTTAGTGAAGATCAGAAGAGAAATGCACAATAATGTCTCAAACGATCAACCCATAATGCATAGAGTTATTAACAAATGCTATTGAATAGACAACTTCAAACATACCCATGGCAGAAGCCAACAGCTTGCCAGTGAGCAACCAGACGGGCAGTTCTTATCACAACTTCTTTGTAGAAATCCCCATACTGATCTGGACCAGCCTCTGGAAATCTTTCAGCAGTCTGAAAAATTACCATTGAAATTCTTTTGAAATATGCTTGTGTATGGACTATATACATTATGTTTTTCATTTGGAATCCATACAGCAAATAGCAATGTATGTTTGTAAATTTCTTCTTAAAGATACAGAAAGTTTAATCTTCAAAAATTTATTTTTCTAATTATAAATTTATTTACATCTCACCCCTAAAGATAAGTTTCTAAACTCTTTAACCTTCCTGCTAAACTGGTTTTCAAAAAACATGGAAAAGTTGTTTTGTCTTAAAAAAAGCAACAGGGAACATTGCAATCCACTAAGAAAAATAGAAAACGGCTGTAAAAAAGTACATACTTGGCTTAAATTTTTCATCTACAAATATAGCTTCCTTAGAGCTACTAAAAAATTTATTCTGCTTTGTTTCGTTATGGTAGCCCCTATCAATCCTAATGCTTTCAATCCTAGAAATTGTTTTTCTATCACATCTAAAAAAGTCAATAGATATAAAAAATCTTAATCAGATAATAATAGATATAAAACAGATGCCAAAAAAGAAAAATTCTAAGTATTAACAAACATGAAAAAAGTTTATACGTGGATTTTTTATTTCATTATCTACCTCAGGAAAGAAGGTTGTTATGGAATATTTCAACATCTTATGGAGAAGTTCCTTGTCACCAACACTTGGTCCTTTCCTGCCAGTTATTTGATCCAAAGGCTTGAAGATTTCAAAAGACCCAAATCTTGAAAATAGTGAAAAATCATCAGTTGATTAATTTGAACTGTACAAGGCGGATTAAGGTTAGAAAATTTCATTATTTGATTTGAACTGTAGAAGTCCTTATGGATTGATTTTGATAAAAGGTTAGACAAATTTCATTTAATGGTCAACTGAGACTTAACCATAAGAATTATATAAATGCCATGTTTTTTCATACATTGCTTTGGAGGATTCTTTAACAAAATCCATGATTCTATTTCCTAGATATTTTAACAATATCTGAGCTCTGTTCAATTTTTCTTTCACACTAACTAAGGAGTTACATTCATACCTAACGGCTGCCTGTCTGCTTCATTTTGCAACACTGTGCTATAAAAGCTTTATTGAAGACTATATATCTAGAAACTTGGCTCATCTTATGATTATTCACATTGATATAACTGGTATACCAATGATTTCAAAAGTGCTTGGTGCTGGTGGTCAGAAAAGTGGGCACATCGAAATGTGTGAAAATTTCTCTGGGAAGCCTCATCCAAAGTTCTCCTGCAAAAGGCTCCTCAGTAGGAAAGTTCAACATTCATTACTGTAAAGAGCACCTGGCTCACCTTAGAAATGTTGGAGCAATTCTTGAGATGACTGTTGCCCTTTCCATAATCGGTTTGCCATTGTAAAATATATCCCTCATCACTCTTGTATCTGATGTTACACAACTTCCAGCTAAAGATAAGTATTGTATTTTATATCATAAATATATATTATATAAAATATCATGTTATTTATTCATGTTCTTTCCAGGGATGGATACTTTGTCAATTATTGGGGGGGGCAAGCCTATTGTTTTGATAAGATGATGTCATATTTTTCCATTGTTCTAGAACAAAATACCATCGTTTTCCAAAATATTGGACCAAGGTTGACCACCCCCTTGCCCCACCCTCAGGTGGCCGCCACTTGTTCTTTCATTATAAAGAAATGATCAAAGCACTATTCAATGAGACAGAAAGTCAATAAACCTTCCCTGTGCATGTGACTAACCATATATCAGTTTGGTTAACCTGCCTAAAAAAATCTCAACTTTGCCAAGAAAAGGTCAGGAAAATAATTATTTGGCATGTGTCACTTGTGAGTTATGTTTTCTTGAAACTTGGTTAATATTCCAAGAATCTTTGATGGGTCTATTGAAGGATAATTCTCAGATTAAAATGATACTAAGAGACAAAGCTGCAGATAGTAGGTCTGTAACAGAATCCTGGGAAATTGATAGGTCTTTTTGAAGCAAAAGCATAAATTGTAACAAGTTAAAAACTGATCAAATGTAAACACTATGCAGTATAAACAACAAAATAGAAATTGCCTTACATCTTGTGGTTGGTATTCCAAGATAATGCATTGCCTAGATAATGTAAAACATTCACAAAGTAAGATAGAAAATATTCAAGGCATGTGCTAATAGCAATTTTGATCATTTTACTAAAACCTCTTTTTAAATGTGTCAGGGTATGTATGGATTGAACATAAAACCTTGACAACAAGGAAACATTGCAATATGAATGTCCATAACTACAGAGCAGACATTTACTACTGAGGTACTAATGTTGAGAAATAGCACAGAATCCTATATGGCACTACAAATAGACTGTAAGTACTAATAAACCAACACTTGCATTTCTCTTTAGCAAATTAAACATAGTAAACATTCATAAAAACCACTGCTCAACAGTCTGTGAAATAATGGTCAATGCTACATAGGCAGATCTGAACATGCTTTGGTGTATAAAGCAGGCTGATTATACAATGCAACTTTGTCAAATTAATGTGATAATCAGGCAACTGTTCATTCTATTTATTCATTAGATACCATTAATTATAATACCTTTCATTGTCCGAAACATGTCGCCATTATAGTTTTTTGCACAATCTGGGTTTTCTAGTAAATGCTGCCTGATAGCAGAATCGAAGGTTTTAGTTATAATTTTAGATTTGCAAGACTGAGGTGGCTGTTCTCTTTGGGGATGGGTTTTGCTTCTAATACCATCCCCAAAGAGAACAGCCACCTCAGTCTTGCACACCATTCCTTTGATACAATTTAATTATTAAGAATTTCATTAAAAATAACACTTTATGCGATAGAGCTGTAATTAAAACTGTCACACTTACCTCACTACATAAAAATTCTCTTACACTTGATCTTAATACCTTCCGACCATCTGCCTGTCTTGAAAATGGTGTTGGACCACTTCCTTTTAACTGAAGCTCCCATCGTTCACCCTTATGGTTGACGATTTCACCAAGATACCTATTTGAAAAGAAAACCTATCAAGCATATTAACTATATGAAATATATCAACTTCCCTTAGCCTTGAGCCCTGGCCAAAGAAATAATACATCCACAAAAAACATCACCCAACTTTGTTGCATAAAACATGTTTTACTCGTTTGGTCGCAATGTTTTAACATGTTTTATGATGATTTGCAAAATTTGATTTCCATCAAACATTTCACAAAACATCTCTTTTGTTCTCATGTTTGATCAACAATGCTGCGTTCATTTGACCAGCCCTTAAAACATTTCTTTACTCACGCAAGCGCAGTAGGTCAAAATTCGGCAAATACAACGCAGTAACTGTAGGAAGCTGTGCAGCAGCGCTTGACCATCACATATGTTTATCATTTGTTTGATTTGTTTGGCCAGGTCATAAAACATTGTCCAACAATGTTGGTACAAAAATGTTGGAAGATGTTTTATGGATGTTTTATTTGTTTGGCCAGGCCTTTATATCAGATTTATTAAGAAGCAGCAGCAATGTCTAATTACAAAACTACAAGTACATTACAATTTTTTGTCAGTTACAGCAAAAAATTAAAAATGATAGAATGCAGAAGTGATAAATGCAGTTTTGATAGCTTTCTGACACCATAGTCACAGCAAACTGCTAATCTTAAGAATATTACATGTCAACTGGCTTGATAGGATTACACCACCTTTAGGGTACCAAACTAGACGGTAGTTTTTTTGCTTGGGAAACTCTGAAACGATTATATTCCAATTTGCAGAAAAGGAATGTGCGATGAATCGTGTGCAGAATTTGCAGCAAAGAATTTTGAAGATATCTTGTATTCTTTGACTTTCTCTTGCAATCAGAAGTCAGAAGTTTAAAAAGTGGAATTTTCCCAGGGAACACAACCAGATTAAAAATGATGTCTATGGCAGATTCTTAATAATGTGTGGAGAGGATGAAGGATAAAAACTATTGCTCATGGAGTGTGTTCCCCACACTGACCAAGCTTTACAATCTGGGTACCAATTAGCTTCAAGTACAAAGAACCAAATAGTACTATCTAGAAGACACATTGCAGCACCGTCACCAAGTTGTCCAGAAAAATAACCAAACTGATGACCACAATAACAATGTGCTGCTGGGCTTGATCCTGGTAGGATTTTACTTCCAGAAAAATATTCAGCAAAGTCATCCTTAGATATTTCTTCTTCAGGAATATCTAACAGCGAAAGGGCATCAGAGCTGTATGCAACAGTTTCTGGATTTTCAAGGGGCTCTTGGTTTACTGAAGTAAAACAGGCACCTGGTACCGGTCTTCGTACCCTTGGATCAACACTGTTATCTAAAGGCAGTTCTTTCACTGCTTTATTATCGAAATTAAGATTTTCCAAAGTAACTGTCCTTGTAGCATGGGCTTCTGCCATAGTTTGAGTCTTTTCGAACCTTCTATTAGTACACGAATCACAATAAGTGCGACTGCCTAGATGAATAGAGGTTATCGCAGGAAATATTCCAAAATAATATCTTTTTTGAAACGACGTTGCTATCCTCAGTTGATTGGAAAGTTGGCAACCAAAGACGTGACTCGGCCTACTACGAGTACCGGTTACTCTTGCTCTGCTAGTAGCAGAACTAGCAAAACAGAAAGTATCCCCGGAACTATTCAAACACGAACCGCTTCCTGTTCTAATACTAAGACGCTTGATTAATTCTATTCCACTCTTGTTTCTTTGCCCAATTTGAGCCAAAGCATTCTCGAAGGAATATTTCCTGGAAACTTTTAAGAGATGAAACATTCCAATCGCGGGTTCATCTTCACCACTGCAACAACAACAACAACATCAACAGCAACGGCATCAGCAACAACAGCAACAACAACAATAAGAATTCTGTAAGACTTTTTCTTTAATTTCTGAGAGAAGGAGACTTAAAGAGCTTTTATTCTCAAAGAGATAAAATAACCCCCCCCCTCAATACATGTCAAATTTTTGGGGACAAATACATTGTTGACAAATACATAATAAATTGTTTTCTTTTTCTAATAGAATAGAATGTTGTTAAATTTTTGAAGGCTAAGGAAAACCACAAGAAAGAAGGAGTTCGTGCTATGGCTCGGATTTTTTTCTTTTTCGCTTCTTACGGGAGCCTTTTTATTATATTTTTGCAATACCATAGTGTTCATAGCCGTAACGAATGAATGAATTAATGAGATTTATGTAATCTTCAGTTAAAATAACATTGAAGCCTTGGGTATAAAAATCAATTGCATAAAACAATTTCATAAAACAATTTTTGTGACTGTAGTGGAAAAATAAGAAGCAGAACCAATGAGTTTTAGATAAAAGTATCAGACTGACAACAGCAACTTTATCCTGAAATGTTCAACGGTTTGGAAGAAATTATGACGCTAAAATTGTCCAAATTCAAAAATTTAAAAACTTGGTACTCACACGTTAAGAAACACCGCTGTACAGTGTAACTAATTTTTTGCTTTTTTATATATTTAAGAGTTCTTCTGACGATTATGTCTTTGCTATCAAGGAACTTTTAATACTTATTTTCTGAAGAATCAAGAAACTTTTAGTGCTGTGGCCTGGCAATTTTGTTTGAAAACCCGGGTGATGTGGATTCTTTTAATAATTATATTCGTTGCATAAATCCTTGTTTTCTTCTCAAAAGACTGATGTTGGTGTTTTATAAATGCTTAGGTTCTCCTGTTTAGGTAGCAATTCAAGCGATCAAAATACAATACGATTATGTTACGTCAACAATTCAAGATTAGATTAGATCATAGCAAATAAAAATAAGATAAAAAAACTTCTATGCAAGATTTTTTGCAAATATCTGTTTGAAGCACTACAGATTTCATTTCAACAAACAGAAATACACTATCGCAGATCTACAAAAAAGTAAAACGTTTTCAAATATTTCTTGAATGACAGGAACAATATAATTACAGAATCTTCAACAAAATGTAGCAACGCTAGGTTTTACTAAATAAAAGTAAGCATAATGGGACGGCAAAAAATATTGAAAGTATTTGTACGATACGATTTCAAATGTATAAAAATTTGGAAAGGAAAACTGTTTAAGAAATACAAAATAGGAATCTGGAAGATAGTAATTCTTTGTTATCACCGTGTTTCTTAAAGTATATGACGCATCAGTGTATACAATTTATTGCTAGTTTATTTTAAAACGTTGTGAAAATACCGTATCTTATAGCGCAAAAGACATTGTATTCACCAAAAACGTTCCAAAGTCAAGCTTGTTGAGGCTTAAAAATCAAAGGGTTCACTCAAATAGCTTGATTTACCACTGTGTTCACTTTATTTACAACAAGGTTCACTAAAGCTACAGCTTTTTCTTCTAGGATTACTAATTCAATGCTGAATAACAAATATTGGAAATTCGCTTTGGCATTTAAATAATGTATTGGATCCATCCTTTACCTAAATGGAAAACGATAATGCCAAAATATGGCACAATGTTTCAGTATACAAGGTAGAATCAAACTACTAGCATTTGAAAAACCTGAATGGGATTGATATCTTTACAATTATTTCACGTGAACCTGATTCAGTCATCTCTAAAGGAGACATGTTAAATAGACCTACCTTCTTTGCAAGCGGCTACTGAGAGTACACAAATTAATTATACCCTACGAAACAACGAACAAGCCGTAAATATTTGTCATCGATGCTTACATGGGATTCAGAGAGGAGAGATGAATCGAGAGATTGAAAAACTAAAAGGCACTTCTAACTTTGAAGACTTGATAAACGACAGCATATAAACACAGATGGAAATCAAGGATTGATATTCATACATGTCAGTTGATACTTGTCAACATAGGATAGTTTGTTATTCTTTTTTATCGTTGGTCACACAATGGAGTTTTTCATGCCACATCCATATCCGTCTTGAGTTCACTTTTTATGCTGCAAGCTTTGAAGATTTCGTCAACCATGGCACGCTGTTGTTCTGTTGTCGAGAACGGGGCATTCCTCAGCCGATCCAGCCTTTTGACGCAATCAGTGGTCATCAGATCTTTGTACCTTTCACCTACAACGTGGATTCAACTTGGGTTAAAATATAAAAACCACATAAATTTGCTGTCTTTGTCATAATCATTATCTTTTTCAAAAAACCTGTAAAATCTATCTTGTGCATGTTTACTAGATATCTGTAAAATTCACAGCGGTAGGTTCCACTGGACTTTTCACAAACGGTCAACTTTTACCTTAAACTGCCATATTTATCTTTTTGTATTTTGAACAGCGCTTTCAGCATGAAAATTCGTCCTTTTCAGAACCATCCAACTTGACCAAATATTTAAGCGACGTAATTCTCCAAGGAAATTAACTTTTTTACAGTTATAATAGTTAAAGCTGTTACAGAAGTAGATAATGTTCTATTTGCCAGTTCCTCTCAATATTCTTTAAAAAAGTTCCTCTTTGATGAAAGAGAAAACGTTGAAAGTTGTGGCCTTTTAACAACCTTCAGCTTCTGGTCATATGTACCACATGCCTTTAAAGAGGCCAAAGGAACAGTCTTAAATTACGCAACTGAAAGCAAAGACAATAAAACCACTGAAAATCCTTACTGTTCAGTGTGCACACATGATGAATCGCCCAGAGAGAGAAGTGCTGCACTGGTGCTAATTCAAAGGAATCCAAGAGCCCAAGAAATGGTTTAAACGATCTGAAAAGAAAAAATTGATCACTGATCAAAAAATGTTTTTCTTATGAAGAAAAGGTGACTATTTATATCTATATTCATATTGAAATTTGAATAAATTCATTTCATTTTGGAAAATAAACGCAGGGAGGGGGGGGGGGGGTTCAAGTTGTTATAAAATGTTTATAAATAAACTGCCATATCATAAATAAAAGTAAATTCATTGAAATAAAGAGTTTGTACTAGCTTGACGGCTTCAAATTATGCGAGAAAAAAATTTCTTTTATTTAAACAAGGAAAACATTAAGCAAGAAAGTTAAAAAAACCCTATTTGCATGTCTTGAGCACATTTTTGATAAAGTTGTATCTTCAACTGCCCATGAGAAATACTTCCCTTTCCAATTGAAAGGATTATTGAGAACTTAGGCATGCAAAAACCTCCTTGATGTCGTCCATACGAAAAAGGTTAGCATTAATCCAAAAGGCTTCCTAGATATCTAGCTACGTTGCCGACAAAAACGATTGTAAATGTCCCATCAATATCCTGAATCTATGTACCTATACGTAACAATCTCAGAATCCAGTGTTCCCCAGCGCTGGATGGCTAGGTCCTGCAAAACAAATAAGAAAACAAAACATTAACACACTAATATGGAGACGAAACGAAGATTGATGTTCGAGAACATTAGGCATATCAACTATGAATTTCTAACAAAACATTAGTTATCTCTATATTTCGATATCTTAGAACATTCATCATAGATCTAGCTATTAAATAAACTAATTTTTTTTATGCAACAGTTTCCAATTTGAGAATTTTTAGACACAACCGAAAAGTTTTTGTAGCATCATGATTTAATGAAATACCTATCATAAATATTCAAGAGACTCATCAAAAGAACTAAAACGATTCTGTTCTTACAAGTAAACTTCTGCAATCAGCTATTTCAGAAAAAAGCAAATCTATCATCGTCGATAAGAAGCGATGTGCGCTCTCTTAACATATAATCTATGTTATTCTGGATTGAAAATGCGCTCAACTGCTAGTGCATTGTTAATCAGGTAGACCAGCTGGAATTACATATCACTCTCAAGAATATACACTCTTCTCATGCCTCCTTCTTCGTTCTATCTTGCTTTCAATGCCTCCATATTCTCCTAATAAAGCTTTTTGTCTTGAATTCAAAAGACCTGTGTGCGTGACATTTCTAAACATTGAAACACAAGCATGAATATTACGTCAATATCAAATCTTAGGAAGCTTGAATCAAATAAAGAACCATCGCCACAGTGTCTCAATTCAAAGGCTTAGAAACATTCTTACTATACATACCAACTTTTCTAGCAATTCTTGCTTTGAGCTAACTTGCAATTGATACTTAGATGTCCATCCATATGCAAGGTTTGCTATGATTCCTCCAGCGAAGTAACTCACAGATTTCTCGTCACTCAGAATCAGATCTCTGTAAGACAGCAGTTAGAAAAGGTAAGGCCGGGTCTTCTACATCCTTAAAGGGTGTTTCTTTATTTGTGATTTATAATAAATGGAGGTGGGCTGTTTGATTAACAGTGGGTTGACAAAAACGGACAGGAGAGCTCACAAAATTGGGGATGAAGTATATAATATAAAAGAATTCTCTGAAAAGAATAGATAAATTGCCAAGGCACGCGCATGCACACAGGAAAGTTCAAGATTTCTCATTAGGCATGCAAGTTAGACCTGTGATAATCATTTGGGCATGGAAATACTCCAATCCCGTTACTGAATATTGTGTACAGATGCATTTTCAAGGCAGAATGGATTCCTATACATTTCATCTCTGAATCGTTTTCGACAGTCTAATTTTAAACGACCTAAAACTTCTCCACCACTGCAGATAAAGTGTGTTCCTAGTTAAAAGAACAGCATACCATTTCTAGTCGCCATTCTCTCTTACTGGCTATTCAAGATGTGTTCCAAAAATAGCAGGAGCCTGTAAATACATTCAATAAAACTTTATGCAGACAAGGTCACAAGCTTACCCAACGTATACCATCAAATCATCGATAACCATCGCCTCGTGAAGTTCTGGAACTTCCGCAATATTGTTCTAGAATCAAGACAAGATTTAGCTCAATTTTTGTGCCAAAGCAACATGCTTATCTATGAAAGATAACAGATGACGCAGGACTTGTCTGGGTTTGTTGTGAGATCCTCGATGCCGTATCTAAACAGAGCTGCAAAGGCAATGGCATATTAGAGTAGCACAGTAACATAATGAGGCTTACGTTCAATGTTGATATTAGGCAGGAAAAATTGAAAAATGTTAAACCAAAGCAGATACATACCAGTAAGCCTAGGACCTTTGTCTGGATCGAATTATCATTTGAAAATACCTGAAATATTTTAACAAAACATTTGCATGGGTATGTGTTATTGCAAAGATACCTTTTTTGTGTGTAACAAATAAAACACGCTCAAAAAACGTGTCAGAAAAAGCGTTTGTATCTAGAAACGGTTTTCGATCCACAACTTAAATTTTCTAGCGTAGGGTTTTCGGTTTGTGTTCTGACGTCTTATACTCTAAAGAGTTTCAGATGAAATGCTTTTTTCAAAGTCATTTTTAAGTTTGTCCCACCAAAAGATCTTTTAGAAATGGTTTTCCTCATTTTCCTGTTTTACAGTAGGTCAACAAACTGAACTTGTTTGCTTTCAACTTGTATCTTGAATTATGTTATGCATTTAAAATCATCCATTTACATGTGAAACAGAGACTCAAATTTTTGAGTAATTATAAATCAGCTCATTAGAGCCCCTTCTGTGAGGCTTTCCAATCCCTATCCCCAGATAAAAGGTTATCAAGTCCCTGTCCTTTGAAAAAAAGTTCTCAAATTTCGATTCTAAAATATCCTTACCCTTAACAATTGCACATAAAGGCCTAGTCCTCCATAGTCCACAAAGAGATGACACGCCTTCGGGGATTCATCTTCAAAGAAAAATGTCAATCATTTAGGAAACAAAGATGACAATTTTATAGGACATTTGAGTTGGACACAGGACAAGCAAGAAAGTAACTAAATGCTTCTTCATAATACTTTTGCTAAACAAAATTATCGAGACATGTTGTAGAGGGCAGATGACCTCGTAACGTCTGAGAAAACATAGCAAATCAAGCAAGGCAAGTTGCAGTCATCAAAGGGGATAACATGTCATTATACAGTATTCAGTTCTATACAAAAAGCTGAATAGAACAAACTTAGAAAACCTAACTTTTAATAATTTACCTGTTAAATTCCACAGTGCACTGAGGTCAAACTTAAGTGTTCCATCGATCTGAAACGAATCGAGAACAAAGCAAATTAAAATCAGAAGCAAAGGTGTTCAAAGACTGCTTCAACAATGGAAAAGCAAGAAGATAATCATAATCGACATAAACAGGACTGTGCTAAAACATTCTAATCTAAGGGATACTCCCTGATGTCCTACACGGGGATTCCATGTCAGCAATATCTCCAAAATATCAAGTTCTTAAGGAGCTAAAATATCGAGTTTCTAAATTTGAGAGCGCAGGCATTGTCGTAGCAAGGAACAGTTGTTCTAAGCAGCTGCAACCTCTAATATATGTCTTCTCGATAAGGTTGTCATTCTGATAAATTAATGATTTTAATTTCACCGTTTGCTTTTCTTTACAAGCCCCATTTCGAATTCGCAGCCCTCAAAAATCGACTTTTGTAAAGTCTCATACCCCAAATATTGGCACAGAAAACCTCCTCCGTATACAAAGGTGGGAAGCAATTCTCTGGGACTAGGCCATGGGACACAAAAATTGAGCGGGTTTTAGATATAATTTGATATAAAGTGAGGCTCTAATAATTTAAAGAAAAAATTCACAAAAAACTCCAACCAAACCGAAATTTGGCATCCAGTTACTGCAGATCTGACTAATGCGCACTTAGTCAGGGCGGTAACATATCACTCAACACCCGACCCGGACACATTAGAACCGATCCGGACAAATGATGGATTCTATCCAGAACATTCACGATTATTTCAGGCCAAACTGCATATAGTTTAGACGAAACCAGAGCAAATGTTGAATAACTTTAGACCCAAAAATTCTTCTAACAAACTTCTGACAAGCTCAAATGAAAACTTCGTCAACTTAAAGCCAAGCTCAATGTTAGATCCTTACCCTCTCTTCCCCAAGTCTTGATTTTGCTATTGACAACAACAGCTGAAAAACACAATAATTGTACGTTTTCTTCAAACATGAAATTGTACATGACATGGCATTGCATAAAAGATTGCATAATTATATCTCAACTTTAATGGGACACTGTGATTTCTAAACTGCTAAAACTGATGTTTCTCTGATCATGAACCCTTTGGCAATATGAAAGCACAACATAGATGGCAGTTGTGAACATTGTCTTAAATAGCAGTTAGAAAATCTTGCATTCTAATACGACTACAGAATACAAATAACTTGACTACATGAACTTGTAGCATACAGAAGATAAAAATATCAAGTCACTACAATCGTCTAAATTTCTTTCTTTCAACTGCTTATTCACACATCTAAGACACTGTTATATCTGAACAAAGGATAACATGAAGATCTCATTACTTATCAAAGTTTAGGGATACTGTATTACTTTTTGACGAAATCAACATTTTATCAAACCCAGCGATATATGACACAAAGAATCTCGCGTCCAGCCAGCTTAAAAGTCTACTGAAAGCTTATTCTGTCGATACTCTTACAATTCTCATAACTCAAAAACATCTCGCACAAATAACGTAATTCAATTCCCGTTTCACTAAGATGAATATCTCTTAGAACAATGTTTCACTCAAAATTTAATGGGTCAATCCTTCTTCCAGCTAAATTACTGTTTGTATTGTACGGGTTTTGTCCTACGATAATCTTATTCTCGTGTTATTTCAATAGTTTCTCTACAAAGCTCCACCCTTTCTCCCACTGGTTTTGTAGAATCGAGGTCATCATCGTCATCATCTACATCTGTATTATCTTCATATATACGCATGAAAGATAGGTGGATTTCCGAAGTAACCTTAGAATAAAACTTCCACCTGCTGTCTTTAACCAACACGCTGATGCCTGACCAGTAACAAAGACTGGCGAGATCCTTTTCAGCAGCAATGAAAATATTTGAAATACAGTATATTATCGGATTAATACAATATGCTATCAAAAAAATTATATTTTACTTTCATTTCTTCAACCCCTGTCAACTCAGATGTCTCCTGTGAAGTTATCTAAAAGAGATTGCATTTGGTCGTATGAGCTTTATAATACTACCAAAGCAAACATCCATGCAACAATTAACTGAATGTCACGTACGAATGAAGGTACAAAGGAAGAAATTGTGATACATCGGTACGATTAACGCAAAAATATCACTTTAAAGCTAGATAGAAATATTGTTAAATAGCAATATTTAAAGTATCATAGCAATTCTCGTAATCACAGTTACCAGCATTTCAAAGTCACACTGATTTCTTAGACAAATATGTTGGATGGTGCACGCTATTGGAGGTCTCATTGTAACATGTGCCATATGAGAATGAGTATTCTTCACAATAATAAATTATCAGGAAAATGGTTAGATAACAATTAGACAAGTGATGTTTCAGGGTGCTGAATCTTTGCAAAAGAAAAATACCTTGCAAGCCAAAACAGACACTATGGCAACAGCCATTCTGGTAATATGTCGGTCAACTGATTCTGGTACAGTCAGCATGCAATCCAGACAAACGCGACTAACATCAAAACGTTTGAACTTCTGTTTTTAAGAAAATATTCACATTAATGTTAGCAATGAAACGAAAACATAACAAATTCAAATATTGATGCAAAGGATACCGCTTGTTTGTATGCTGTTTACTAGTAAAGAAAAAGGACTTTGAATCATCATATGGTTCATTTCCATTTTCAGTCTCTCTAAAGGCCATAATTCCATTTGAGCGTTCCAAGGTATATTACAGAGACGGTATTAACAGGTTTTATTTTAATTACGAACGGAAATAACGACTATTTCTACTTCTGCCAAAGCATTCTAGCGTTCTAATAAAAGTTCTATGCGTTAAGGCCGGTTTCTATGCGTTAAGGCCGGTTTCTATGCGTTAAGGCCGGTTTCTATGCGTTAAGGCCGGTTTCTATGCGTTAAGGCCGGTTTCTATGCGTTAATATTCAATTATGATGGAAATTTTACCTTAATGTATCATGCATATCGTGTAAACTGTTCTTAACGCATAGAAGACTTTAACAACTTACAGGATCGTGTAACAGTCTGTCGTTGCAAAATATTAAGAGACAGTTTTTCATGATCTGAAAAGGAAAAAAAATAAAATTGGAATGACTTAAAATCATAACAACGACTCCAACTTGGCCTAGCCCGCATGGGGCAATGCTGCACGATTATAACATCGTCACACTTCAAAAACTAGCCTTTCATCGAAAAATTAAAATAAAAGAAACCTGATTGATAGATGTATATGCATGAAAGAGGATTCTTATTCATTCAACCAAACTCACAGATTGACAGTTGAAATTTGTATGAGACCCTTTTGGCCACCAGGGTTAGTTCCATTGCTATCTTAAAGGTTTTTTATATAAATATAAAGTAACATCTTCTAAAGAGTGAGTTACTCGCGAAAAAGGCCTGTAGAGATTAAAAATGTTGTTTGATTTTCTTCAACTCTAAACTATATCACGCTCTACATTCAAACGTACTGAGCACTGTGCTACGGAAGTATCAACAGACAAACTTCTCAATATAAAGTATATACATTCAGGTAAAAAGCTAAATTCCCGAGCAATAATAAAGCTGAAACTATACAATCCAAACAGTACCAGCTAACCAACATGAGAAAAGTAAGTCATTTCTGCATAACAAGATTTTACGTTGAATGCAAGAAAATATTTTCTATCATTCTCCAGTCGATATTCATTTGAAAATCTCAAAAAAAACTTAGTCAGCTGAAAAATTGAAACTCTCCTAATTGAATTGTGCGGAACTCAACCCACATCACATCCCCAAACATCAGATTTTCTATATAAAAAAAGTAAATTCGCCGAATCGTACGTAGGATTAATCTATTTAGCGTTCTGTATTAGGTGGAAGAAAACAAAGAGTTTATTAGAGACAAAACCCACCTGTTTTTTATCACTTGAACGGAATCTTCTTAAAGCTTGCAAAGAAAGCTCAGCTGCTTCACTGTTACACAGAAAAAAAGGATAATTTACAACAAAGAATTGAGAAAATCTGTAACATCTTAATTAGAAATGGGCGGAGAAAGTTTCCAATTGAATACGGTTATTATTTTACCATTACAGCACTTTCTCCTGTAACATTGCCCATCAAAGTTTAGATTCGCTTAACGCTATATCTTAATCTAAAACCACGCTCAAATAAACTGAGCATTTTATCAAACAATCCTCGCATTTGCAAATTTGCTCTGCACACTGCTAAATAAGGAGTGGTCAGATGGACTAAATATTGCACCCACTCATTCTATGAACAAGCAAGGATTCTTGCAGGCACCTGGGCAGCGCCAATTAGAAAAGACAACTTCCTGCCAAAGTAGTGTAAACATCAAGCCCTTGTCAAACGATCAAATATTTCACCCAACATTTCGCCTAACACCATGTTGGGTGAAATGTTGGGTCGTTTTATCACCATATTGGGTCATCCAACATCGTCATTTTGATGTTGAATGAAATTTGACCAGGGCTTAAGAGCTTCTTGGTTGAACCATATCTGACAAAATTGCAACATTTTATGACGTAATCGAGCAGAAGCAGACACTGCAATCTCAGAGACACTGATTGACGATGACTATGAAAGCTTCCTTGGATATCGATGTTTCAAATCTTGCAGGTTAGAAAAAAAGGTCATAAGGTCTTTTGATGGATAAAAAAGGTTTGCAAAAATCTCAATGGCAATTATCTAATCTGTTTATGATGGTCAGTAGTTTGCAACCGTGACAAACGAAAGCAGTGGACAAATGTGAGACATAAAAGTATTTTAAGATATGATTGCTGTGACAATACTTTGGAAATTACGCCCCTTTTAAGAAGCCTTTTTGTCAAGTTTTGACAAGCTCGTGGAATGCTCTCGATTAAAAGAGGAGACAAAAAAGGAAACAAGCTTTGCTCTCCTCTCATCAAGACAGACAAGACTGGAATAAATCACTTTATCTCAAAGCATTACTTACATCAGCTGAGATGGTGGCACTGGCTTTAGCTTCTGGTCATTTTTTGTAAGATTATATAAACACGCCCTATAATAAAATGATAAGCTGTGCATTTAGAGAAACTTATTGATCATTTAAAGAGTTAGAGTGAAAATGGAGCAATGACCTACATACATAGCTAACTGGCCTTCTAAATTCTAACAGACAATTTAACATTTAGATTTGAGAATCTGGAATAAAGAATGACATAATAGTTGTAACTTATGTTGGCAGTTATAAAAGATAAATAATTGCTGTGTTTCTACTCAGTTCATACGAAAACTTCACGTGAGCAGAAAAGTGGATTCTTTGATATCATTTCTACAGAATAGTTGGGGAAGCAAGGTTTCAGCCCAAAATACTACCACAAAACCCTAAAAAACCTTCAGCAATTCACTGAATTTTCGGGGTGTCAATAAAGAGCTTTGGTGAGCTTGAGTATTTCTTGTATTTTGGATCAGAAAGATATCATAGTTGGAAATGCAAAAGTCATATAAATACCTTTACTCTATGAATTGTTATTTCATGGAAACATTCTCATAACACCCTCGGATGATAATTAATAGTTCACTTTTTTCTGCTAATTTTGCTAGCATTAGCAGCAACATAGATTATTTGATGGGCTATGCAAATTAGAATATTTGTGAAGATAGGGGGGACTGCAATTGGCGTATACAAATGCTCCTTGAAAATTAAACAGAAAAAAGGCTTTTAAAAAATGAGCACTTCTAAAGAAAACTATCACTTGAATTCATCCAGTGAAGAAAATGTCATTATTTTGTCCATATGGCTTTGCAAAGTGAAAATACTGATTTAAAAATACACTCAAAGGTACTTGAGGCTATTTTGCTGTCTCTGCTTGTATGGTAAGAGCAGGAAAAGAGCTTGTGTAAAAGATGGATGCCCTTTGCTTCAAATATGAGATGAATGCTCAAAAATTCAAAAAAATCCTATTCCATTTTAAGTTAGATTGATTGTTGTGGCGTAATATTATTTATCAAACTTCATATATACTTTCCTTTATAAAAAAGGTTAAAATTTGCAGTGATGATTCAAATTTTTGCTTCTGTTTAAAACATCCAGTCCAAGAAAATGATGCTCTTTAGTGGCAACCCCACCTAGTAATAGTTTTCTTATTTTCATAACAAAAGTCTCCAGGTATAGCACAACCTTTTATATTTAGAAAAGCAAGTTTTACATAATTATATTTGATGATCAGGACTTAATTGATCAACTTCACAATCTCTGTTTTATAGGTTCCAAATGTCACAACTTACGTTGCAGCTAATTGAAGCAAATGATCCTCTGGATGATCTTTCAAGGCACGTAAGACAAGCTAGGGAGAAAAACAATTCAAAATAATATGTAACCAAGATTATAGATTCTTCTTTACTGATTGTGGCATTAAAAGCAAAGAAGAAAAGAGAAGTAATTAACTCCATTTCAAAGAACATTGCTTGTTAGCTTATTAACTTCACTTTAAAAAATCTTTAAGACCGTTGCAGAATTATGTGTCATAAAAATTCTGCACTGACAGCACATTTAATTAGGGCTCTTTTTCTTTTGAATCACATGTCAGCCACAACACAATTTTTCCAGGAAGAGATTTATCAAGTTTGAATATTTGAGTAATTAAAAAAAACTAGCCTCCTAACAAAAGTCTTGTTCAACCAGTCCTGTCCCAATTCAAAGATCCAGTTAGTACCATATATTCCATATAAGACCAAAAAACTATATGCAACAAAATGTTTTGATAGACAACTTGAACTAAAAGACGAAGAAGAATCTTGAAATATCTTGTGTGTTTTATTGTGTGAATATCTTGTAATATGTGAAATATCTTGTGTGAATATCTTGAAATAGAGGTTATGTGTGTTTTTACTCTTTTCCTAATAAGAACCAGTAAATTGAAGTTCAGGCTGGCTGTTCTTAAATTTTTTCAAGCTAAGAGTGCAAAAATACAAACTGGGCCTAAGGCTGGATATCCTGTTGCTTTTTGTGCGGTCCAAAACCACTCTATTAACCATCATGAAAAGCCAATAAATGGATTACCTGAATGACCTCTGGTCTTCGTTCAGTCCACTCACTGCACAGGATAAAGAGGTTTTTCAGAGCTTCTCTGATGTAGAGTGCTCTGCTTCCATATACTTTTAATGATAGAAGAATTTGATTTTCTAAAAAGGTACCAGAGATCAGAAGGTTCTGCAAAGTAAAAAAATATTATCAAGCTTCTAGCGATTCTTAAAAACTTATTAGCTTTTTAAAAATTGTCACAAAATTATGTAATTTAAGCATACATATTATATAATTATTTGCTTTAAACCCTCCCAGTCAACGATTTATGTACCAATAAAGGTGACAACAGGAGGCTTGAAATTGAAAAATTATAGTAAATGCATTACATAATTAATGGCCAACTAGATCTGCTTACAGTAGTGATGGCTGGTTTGAAACCTCACCAGTCATTTAGTTCATATTAACTAAAAGCTCACACAGCTCTGAAAAAATGATGAAGACTGACAGTGCATACAGCAATTGGACAGCATTTTTGGTCATTCAATCAATGCCACATGCTACAAAATTCCTTGAATGTAAAATATGGAAAAAGGTTTTGAAATACTCTGATGTAGCACGCTCTTGATCTATAAGAGCCTAGAAACTCTATTTGCAAAAAGTAGGCAATGAAAAATCCTTATCATGAGATGCGGAAATGAGAAAAACTTTTTAATTTTCCCAGATATTGACAAAACAGTGGTGATTTCATAAGCTAAAGAACAAAGCTAATAAAAGTGTCATGCAAAACTATTATTTTGTGGTCTGGGATTCCATTAGATTTAGCTTTGAATAACTTTGTGAAACCAGTTGTAAAAGACAAAGTAAGGTTGAAGAGAAGTAGTTTTTATTGAATGCCACAAAGAGATTTTTCAAAATCCAAAGGAGACATGGGTAAATACAACATTTATTGGCATGGACAGATATTCTCACAGTTGGTTGAGAATAAACAGAGATTTTATCAAAAATTTCATCTTGGACCATATCAAAATTTCTCAAGATACCACTTGGAGACTTTATTCTGCCTTTTATCAAACACGATCATGCAAAACTACTTCACTTACAAGCACGCTATCTGCCACAGAAGCCATGACAGTGTATTCAATTTCTATTAGAGACAGGCCAAGAAAAGTAACTGTCTTGTGTGATTCCAAGAACTTGTTAACGTGACCAGTATGTAGTCCTTTCATTCCAGATAAATCCAGAGATGAAATCTTTGGTAGCAGACGTCCATCTTCAAGCTTTTCCATGAAATCAATAACAAACTTTCGGCGTTCAGCTCTGTCTTTTGCTGCTTCTTGAGTATTATCCTCTGGGTCATCATCAACTGATAAATCCAAGTAGCATAGATTGTTAAGATCCATCAGTCCAATTAGACCATGTTGCTGGGTTAGAACACCATGAAAATTCAGTATTGTTGGTAAACTCAGACTCTGAAGTTGTGTTCCAAAATACGAAAATACTGATGTGTCTAAAGAAATTTGGGACTTATTGCGAGGTGTAAATACTTCAAGTGCTTTTAAAGAGGGGCAAAATCTCAAAAGATTTGACCATTTTTCATGATTTAGATCGCAATAGTCAAGTAATGTGTGGATGCAGAATACCTCTAAATTTGGAAACCTGGAGACAAAATTAAACAAATGACCATCATCGTGAAATGATATTGGATAGAAATATAACTTCAGAACTTTCAATGACTTTTCGGAGCCTCTAAATGCATCCCATAAATCAGTTAAAGTTGGGTGATTTGAATTGTCTTTATTGAATTGTAAGACAATTTCCTTTAAGTTATACGTAGAAAATCCATGTAGACTTGATCCACCTATTGAGCTTCCTAGGTCAGCTAAGTGAAGTTTTTCCAATGAAAAGTCATTTGCTTTCCGAAACAGTTTCAACTTAAAATCTGAAATGCCACCAGTACGGCCAAGATATTCAAAAACTGAGCAAACGAAGGGACCTGGTAGTCTACACAAGTCACTTAGAAATCCATATTCACATTCCTCCAACGAGGATTCTGCACGATTCAGTGTAGTTTTTATATAATCAAGGCACGCCAGCTCCAGTGATAAGGGTTCCGATGACCAACGGGGATCCATTCTCAAATTCGAAACTATTTCTTTAACCGAGCAGTTCAATTACAGACCTTTCTTGGTGTTAATTATTTGTAACCCATATAAAGGTTATACCATCCTAGGCCATACGAATAATAGGCCTAGGCCAAACAGTTCTTGGTCGCCTACATTTGTGTCTCAAAGCTGAATAATTTGCCAACAAACTTTAATAAAAAATGAGCCAAGCAGATTCAGTTTAAAAAAATTTAGCAGCACTCTGCTAATCAAAGTCCTAAACTCTTTAACCTGTAAGAAATAAAAATTGTTGTCTTTCTCGCAACGAAATTCAGAACCAAAATAAATTCTTTGAGGAACATCGCTAACTGCACTCCTGCTAAGCGCCGTGGCTTGCGCAGCATTTGGTGAGTGAGACATTTGGTGAGTGAGAAACCAAAATAAAATAATGACCCATATCTTCATATCCCAAGGCCCCGTTCACATTGCTCCGATTCCAGTGTAAACGGATAAAAAAGTATCCGTTTTCACCTTGCGCTCACACTGCTCCGCTGCGAAAACAGAGACTTTTGAAAACGCACGTTGAAAACGGAGACTTTCGACAACGCAATACGCAGTGTGAACATAGAAAACGGATACTTTTGATAACGATAACAACAACAACACCACAGCAAGATGCTCAGACCACGCCAATTTGAACAACTTCTCTTAACATGGCTGATTCACTCGAAGTTAGTACACTACTTGGAGGGATATTAGTGGCAGTGGGTTGTTTGAAAAGTTTATTGGCAGTCGCAAGGTCTGTAAACCAGTTCGCGGCGTTTTCCTTTTTATCCAGAGCGGAGCAATGTGAACGCTTCATCGTTTTTACACCGTTATCAAATGTATCCGGAGCAGTGTGAACAGGCAAAATGGATCGATATGAAAACGGATAAAAACGAATACGGAGCAATGTGAACATAGCCTAAATAGACAGAATTATTAGTGAAGGTTCCCAAAACTGCTGTCTTAACCCTTGATGTTGCTTTCTTTGTAGCAATCAAAGATAATGCCAAGCCTTAAAGGAAACGAGTCTCTGCTTGGTGTGCAAAAACTAAACGATGCTGTTACGTATTCACCCCATGTATTTTTGAAAAGAATCGACCTCACAACAGCCATACCATCCATGATCCTAAATGCCCCCATTTCTGGGTGTGTCATCGACGCAGCTGCTTCTTAAATTAGGCGATTTCTTAGTGCAGCCTTTGGACCTTGTCTAAGATCACCATCTGGCGATGCTAGACCCAAGGGAACACTGGTGAGCGGGTATGAAAGCAATTCCTCTGTGGACTTACTTTTGTCTATCATTGCACCGAAGGCTTGCCGATCTTCCTTCAAGCTGCTGCTTATAATCTTTGGCACTTTATTCACTTTTTCTATACCTGTTTTCAGTTTGGGGTTACACACTTTTTTGAAAATGCTGATCCTGTCATTAGCGTCTTTCAGCCTTTTCTGAACAAATTCTTTAAACATTTCATTTCCCATTTGGGTTGACGACAGAAGATCTGTTATAACTGCTTCATCAATTTGGCAGCCAGTTTTGAAATGTCGAGCGGGGCCAGCTAAAAAAGAATCAAAGTAGCTGCCCAGTTTGTTGATGAGGCTTTGTATCATTATTTCGTGCTTCTTTCGAGCGCCTGAACTTGTTTCCTTGTGTGACGACTTGGTAAATACCCTCAACCTCTCTTTCAGCTTCATCCGTAAATTTGATATAAAGTGACTTGTTTTCATGAAGGTGTCTACAGCAGTTATATCTGTGCTTAAGCCTCCTTGCATTAGGCCTCCTCTGGCTGCTACCTCTCTTTTTAATGTTGTCTCTGTAATTAAATCACCATGCACGATCCGTCGTATCTATTTTACAACAGGTCTTTCCAGATTGCTGCATGGTTCCTTTTGATGTCTGAAAGTTTGACATGCTGGAATGAAAGATACCGCGAATTATTCGGATGGCCAAATGCAAAAAACTTTGGTATCATTACCCTCTCGGCTGCAAGATGCTGCTCAATAGAATTTTCCCTAACTGAACTTATCAGACGTAGCATTGCCGAAACATCTTGTAGATACTCCACAATCATCTTCACTTACGTTTCATTATGGTCTGATAATGCACTCTCGAAGAGGAGCTGAAATGCAGGTTGTGCCAAAATTGATGTCAGTGTTGCTGGAGACTGACTTACCCGTAAATCAGCAACTGATTGCTTCAAATGAATATCAAGGACGCGCAAACTGGCTAGCTGCTTGATCGTGAAATGCAAGAGTGTTTCAAATGATTGCTTGTGGAGCCTAACACTACGATGATAATGACGGCCATCGATTGCCTTGTCTACAGATCCTTCAGCTATCATTCCCGCGTCAATCCACCAATCCCTCAAACCAAGACAAGCAAATTTCTTCCCTAAAATCTTCAAGCTTGCCAGGATTGTATAAAATCCTCCCATGAGTGTGACAATCGTGTCATATTTGCTTTGCGACTTCGAGAAATTTTGTATGATCTATAATCTTATTTTTCTTCTTCAGTTAGATATTTATCAATTTCCTCTTCTTCTTTGTCTGTTTCTTCGAAAGGCTTTGAAACTTGGAAGACAGTTCTATGCCTGTTACCGTCTGCTGCTTTCAATCAGAATTATCAAAAGTGATATAAATTGTTCTACCTTTAATAAATTCAGGTGGTAGCATGTGCTTGTGATGCATCTTGACTGACTCGGCCCAAATATCATTCAACGTTCTCACATCACTGTATGATATACCGATGCCTGCATGATGCAAAAGTCTACATGCTTCCTTACTGCCTGTCAGTTGAACGGTCTTCTTCTCTTTTTCATCCATTGAAGAATTGCCAAGGAGACATCTTACCCCAGAATTTACCAAGAATGGTTTCAAGGATATCATGCTTGCACTGCAAAAGTTTTGTTTCCAGAAGAGTGAGGGAGATTGACTTTTACAAGCAGCTTAAGATCGAAGAGAAAGTGAAGTATAAGATATTCAACAACAAATTTTTGTGGACAATTTTGTTTCCAATAAAACCCATTTTCGAAACTTGATCTAAGCATGTAATAGAAAGTTGTTACGAAAAGGTTGGAAGATAGAAGCAGCAAATCGCAAAAGTCTCCAGAATATTGAAATGTATGTAGCACTGCATTATTTGCTTTGAAGATGGCCAATGTTTCTTCCAGGACAATGCCTACTTTTCAACGATGTGCGAACACATGCTACTTACCATCTGTCTTTCCAAAACCATGAAACCTGACGTGTGTCCGTTATCAACTGATGAAAACAACGGTAAGCTAACCGCTCTGTTACAGATACGTCGATAGCGTCTAGCTGCTCTGTCCTACCTTGTGCTCTTCATAGCAGAGAAATATACATAACGAAAAGGTAAATTGCTATTTCCAGCAGCTTTATATATTTTTAGCTTTGAAAAGGCTTGAACACATATTGTTTACTTTTCCCGGGATGGCAAAGAACAATCGTGGCTATTGAGCATTATTGCCACTGACTCATGTTGAGGATTTTTGACGCCATTTTTATTTCAAGCTTTCAAGTACTTTCTCGTATCTAAGGATGACATCATTCACAGAGTTTTGGCAAAAAGGATCAGTGCAAGCATTCTCAATCAAAATGGTAAATTCTGAATATCTGCCATTTTGAATTAATGCTGCCATTTTGCAGGAAAATTTGTGAAATATGATTTTTACAGAATATTTGCAAAAAGGATATAGTTATTTGCTTAAAGAAATCCGCCATTTTGCAATTGAGCCGTCATTTTGAAAATAATGAAAAAGCTCAAAAGTCCCCAAGTGAAATTTGATTCTACAATGTCTAGCGACCCCAAAAACCGTTTTCAGAACTTTGACTGGACCAAATTTTCCGATTTTTCTAGTTTGGAACCTGTCTATAAAGAACGCCACGAAATACCTGTCTATAAAGAACGCCACCAAATCGACCAAAATATTGCCACATAAGCACAGTTTCATTTTCCCATCAAGCAACTTATTCTGGTTCTTACATATATGAACTATGAAGACAGTTAGATTAGACTGATTTTGCATGTTTAGTGTTATTTTGTGGTGTTGTATTAAGTTGAAGGTAGTTTTAGGACACTGAGAAGCTATGCTTATCGAGCAGTGTCCTGGTCCTTCCTCTCGATGTGACCACACCTCGTGATTCCGGCGCCTGGAATTACAGTAAGCTGGGAAGTTTATCTCTTAACAGCAAATCTGTTCTCTCTCTTAACAACAAATCTGTTCTCTCTCTGAAAACAGGGTCCCATTGTCCTCTTACAAACCAAAATTGTTGTGAAAATGAGGCGATAGCTGCGGTGGCCTAGAAGGGTCACTGAAAACTCATCTTTTTACAAGGCAGTCTTTTCGTTGCACGACAAACTCTCTTTCTTTCAAGGCACACTTGATAATAAACAATAATTAGCCATCTTGATGTCGAATTGAGGGTACCGCTTATATAACTGAAATCATTTTCAAACTTATTCATTGTGTCTTGAAGCTCATGTTCAGATTCCAGAAGATTGTAAAGAGACCACAAAAGATAATAAGAGTGATTGAAACAAAACAATTTATGGAACAAAATAATTTCATTTATATATATAGCGCCTTTATCTAAACCTGTGTTTTTGAAGCATTTGTAATTTACCATCATCTGTAAAATGACAAACCTCATGGCCGAGGTTGACGAGATACTAAAACAGAATTTGACTTAGGACAGAGCCTTGTAGGACCCCAATTACGACTTAATTTGAATCACTTCATTTGAGTCAATATCCATAGTTACGTAACACCAAGACCTTTGGGGAAGGGAGCTATAAAATTAAACCTGCAACCCTTTCAATTGGGTAGCAAAGAGGTCATGAAGAAGAAAGTCCCTTTGATCCGAGAAATTGTCTGTTTCAATACACAAAAGCTTTTTCCAATTTTCTTTCACTTTTACTGCATCATTGGTTATAATACACCTTTCTACTGTCAGAAAGGAAGCTAAAAAGTTAAGAAAATCCAGGGCGATTTCGCAACCAGTCCAGTAATTAAAAACTTGATGAAAGGCAAGATACTACTGGGCTCCTATTGCCTCAATAACAGTAAACAGGACATTGGGAAAACAAAGGGTAACACACTAAGAAGACTTTTTTGTGCTTTTTGCTTTTTTTCTGCATAACTCGAATGCAAATACACAATAAATACGTATTTACAGACACGAAATGACAATGAAATGACAGTCCGTTTTCCTAGCTTTTGATTATTTTCTTTTTCAGGTCTTGCTTGTAAGAGAATATATCACCATTCCATGGCGTTACTGTCTGGTTTTCGCAGATCCATATCTCCTTGGCAACCTGTTATGGAAACGAAGATGGATTACTAGAACCTTAAGGAACTAATGATGTGTCGTGATTCTTGGTTGAAGAATCACGAGTAAATAATTAAGAAACTGCAGTGACCAATTGAAAGAGGTCTCAGCGCCAAGCTCCAAAAATAGAACTGTCTAAGTTTCTGAAAAAAAGATATTTTGCTGCCAAATCTCTTAAATCCTCCAAGTTATCCTTCTTGTTCCTGAATTTGTTTTACACGTTCCCTTCGGTAGAGTTTAGTTCTCCTCTCCTTCTTGAGTAAAAATCAACCAGCCCAATAAAAATACTATTTTTTCCAATAGCTTAACGTCCGCTAATATGCTAAATAAGTATTCAAACCTGCATTATAAGCCTGAAGTCGTGGCTAACCAGAACCATGCCACCATCGAATTCATTTATAGCATCAGCCAAGGCGTCGATCGTCTCTATGTCCAAGTGATTTGTCGGTTCGTCTAGCAACAACATATGTGGGCATTGGAATGCAAGCCACGCGAATATGATACGACTTCGTTGTCCGTCCGACAGATTCCGAATAGGGCAAATCTTGCGAGAAGAAATACAAATAGGACTAAATACTATCAATAGCTCTACTGATAAGACAAGTTTGGGTAAAACAGGTAAACGTTATTTTCAAAAAAGTGCACCTCTCCTATTGGACACAAAGATAAAACTTGATTTCAATGACGAATGTCTTTAATTTCTTTTTAAAGAGGAGACAGAGATAGCTAATTGACGATGGGACTATAAAAAAGGCCGCTATTAATTGTTAATACGATGTTCAAATGCAAATGAATGAATGACAAATAGCCAATCTCGATATGGATTCCAATCTCGATATGGATTTATCAGCTAAAGCGCATCTTGAATATAAATCAATCCTGGGTATAAGAAAATGTTCTAAGACCATCGGAACAAAAGATCTAACTCAAGTCACTGGAGCATACATTTCAGTGTGTCATGTAGCTTACTTATTTGTATAAATACTCCTATACGATTCAAATTTATACAGTAAATCTTTTTTAAAGGCATTAAAGAGACATGATGCCATTGCTGATAAAGAAAGTAAATGGGTAAAGAGACAATATTGCAAATATGAATAGAAAGTGACAAAAAAATTAAGTTGCGAATTTTTAAATCATGTTTACCTGTTGCTTTCCAGTTAACCCATACCTTCCGAGGAATTTTCGCATCATTTCCTCCTCTCTTTGCTCGGGAAAGCATTTCATTATCCAATTCATTGCAGACATGTCCATATCGAGAATATCTTGTAGATGCTAGATGCATAATAAGGTATATAATATAATTAAGAGCAAATATATTGCAATACTTAAGTTTATAGTTCGGAACGATCCAGAAGCTAACAAAGTAATGAATTGCTTGTAAACTACTGTACAGTCTAAAACAAGCCTAATGTAGATTTAATGTTGCAAATAACTGTAAACATACACGGGTGAGATATAACTGAAAAATAGGAATGATTTTGTCATGGAATGATTTTGTCAAATTAGCTACAATGCCTGCCAAAACTCTTTGGAGCACCTGCATATTCCGCTATATTTTTGCATTTTTCATTTCTTTTCCAATTTTCCAATACACTAGCCCATTAAAAAACAATGTTGTTTACAAAGCAGAACATTTAGTAAAAGGCGAACAAAAGTTTTGTCACAAAAATGTGTCTTTACTTTACTATACGGCAACATTGTTTGCAGAGGGAGGAAGATGGATGCATGCGAAGGCTGAAAATCACAAGTGATCCAAGAGATTTGGCAATGATTGTTGTAAGATTTTAAGCAGTGCAGCTGTCATCAAAACAATACGAGTTTAGGAACACACTTAGGGCGAACTGTTACTTACTGGAAAGCAATTTGTTACTTATGACAGAAAATGCAACAGCTTATATTGCTCAACGTTATGCTTAGAACAAGAATCTAACCGTCATTGTACAAACCATGAACAGATGTAACATACAGAGTTGAGTCATACCTGGTGATACCTTCCAAATTTTAGATGATTATGTTTCCGTACCAAACCATCCGAGGGAGACAAGTCACCGATAAGCAGTTTCAACAATGTCGATTTGCCAGCACCATTTGGTCCAACAAGGGCCACTCTGGTATCTAGATCCATTCCGAAATCTAAATTTTTGTAAATAAATGGCTGGAAAAAGAAAAAAAGGGATGACGGCATTCTGTAGCAATTTTATGCATTAAATAAGACTTTCAGTTATCTTGTTTTATGTGCTTGGAGTGAAAAGCCAGAAAATTACATTCTTTTTAACTTGATCGTCTTGTGCTTGCATTTTTCTGATTGGCCTAGACTTTGATCCACATCTGGGTATATATTTTTCATCGTGTTTTTTCAGACCCTTATTTTCACGTTTTATGCTCTGGGGAGTGTCAAACGAAAAAGCTTTTAGCCAATATGATATAAAATGTTTACTAAAGCCATTTTCAAGTTTGTGCCGTCAAAATCTTTAATTCGCTATCTGCAGAATAATGAAATTGTTGTAATAGCGTATGAATTTTCGGGCCTAATTGCTGATGAAGTGTTGGCATGCTTCTAAAACTTACCTTATCTGGTCCATAGCGAAAGCTCACGTGTTGTACCTGCAATACCGGTGGTGGCAATTTTCCACAGTCAGGAAAATAAAATGAAATTCCCTGCGAAAAAAAGTACCATTAAACAGATGAGTATCGGGGTTTGTGATACTTAAAATCTCCTTATCATATCGTAAAACAGAATTTTCACTTTGTTCCTTTGCGGTAGTTACCAGTCTACTCGTGCTTCCCTCAACAAATCATAAACTATTATTGCTGTTCAACCTAAACCTTTACCAACTCTACAAGCGCCAGTGACAATCAAGTGGGACAAAAGACACACAAGGTCAATTTGAATCAATTAAATCACCATCATCTATGTCCCTAAATATTGCAAACCTTCGCTACCATAAAATCAAGCTAATCGTGAATATAAAAATTGGCTTTTAAATCTCAAACAGAAATTGGCATCTATTCTTGATGATACTTCCTCCCCCAGAATCCTTTCAAGTTTCGTTCATACCCCCTCCAATTCAAGAAGTGTTGATATCAACTGTGAACGCTCCTTATGTGCCTGAAAACTTTCCCAGTCTTTTTCTCTGAATATTTCCCATGAAGTACTACTTCTAACTCACCTTTTCAGCTACAACTTTCTCGGTGAGTCCATTTTCGACCATCCTGTTTAAAGTCTTCTCTTTACTCTGTGCTTGCCTAGCTAGCTTAGCACTACCATGCCCAAACCTTGCAATATAATCCTACGATATGAAATGCAAACATTGTTCTTAATCCAGCAAATATGCAGCAAATTAAATCTTGTTAGTTTAGAATGGTTGTCAGTAGGATTCCATAAATATACTAGATTGCAGGCTATACAATATAAAAGAAATTAAATATGATTTTAAGTAAATTGTACTAGGAATAAATAATAGATTATTAATTAATGACGTTTCGAGCATAGCCCGTTATCGTGACACGATAACGACTTATTCTCGAAACGTCGTTAATTGATAAGATGAGGTGACGGTGACGGATATAAGATGAGGTGACGGACATACTTTCATATGAGCTATCTCATCTTGCTGCTTTTTATACTGCTTCATTTGGTGCTCTTCCATTTCTCCTTTTGTCTTCACGAATGTATCATAATTACCCTAGGAACACAAAGATACTGGAATATTAATGACGATTTCAAAGAACGCAAGCTCAAAAAGGCAAAGCTACTAAAAATGCAAATGCAAAGATATAAAGAAAGATCATTAAATAAGAATTTGTAGTTTATCTTATCAAACAGCTAAATCTAGAAATGAGGCGCGCACCAAGGTCGATGCATGAAAAAGCTTCTGAGAAATGGCAGCAAATTGCGGTGCCTTATTAAATGTAATGAAATATGACGCGATAAAATCAATCGCCAAGTGAAATAAGCTTTGATAAGAAGAAAATAAAATTGCGACTAAACAAGTAAGATATCGTATTTCTTGCTTAATTAAAGTTCAGTTTAGGAAAAAAACTTCTTCTAAGAAGACAAGTGATCACAGGAAGAGTTAAACCTACCCCATAATAGATTAGCTTTGATTGCGTGAAATGTATAATATTTGTACACACTCCATTTAGAAAATCTTGCGAATGTGATACAAGAATGAGAATCCTCTTGTATGTTTTCAGCTCTTCTTCCAGCCACACACAAGCATCCAAATCTAAATGGTTTGTCGGTTCATCCAGCAAGAGTATAGATGGTCTCACAAACAATGCCCTTGCTAACGCGATCCTCATCCTCCATCCTCCAGAGAAGTCCTTTGTTTTCTTAATCTGCATGCTTGGTGTGAAGCCAAGACCATGCAAGAGTCTTGCAGCAGTAACTTCAGCAGAGCTGCTATCTAATTCCTCTAGACGTTCATATACCTCAAGCAACCTGTGAAGAAATATCTCAGTATCATAAAGCCGAGAAAGGATAAAAGCAAATAATGTACAGATGATTTAGCCCTTGCACCATCAAACTAACTATCTTCTCGAACAGAAACATGAAAGAAACCTTCAATTTGCTGTTTTGCCATATATCCACCATGAAAACCACATATAGCCTTGTTGCCGGTATACAACCCAACAAGACCGAAACAATAAAACGTATGTGATATGTACATTGGAGTTAATCAAACAACCACTCGCAAACTGCTGAATTTAGTCTTGGAACTCTCAGGCTGTGGACCTCAGCTCTTCAAGGATATTTTCATTCGGAAAGAAGGTCGATTGGTCAAAAACAATAAGCCAATTAAACACACAATTTTTCAGCCACCATTTGGTTTTAAAAAATCCTACGTTTAAACTCTGAGGAGCATCGGACGAAAGTACTTCACTATGCTTTGTTTCTGCTTTTCTGTGCTTTTTCAAATAAATATAAAAGGAAAGCTTCACAATCAATCGTTCGATAGAAATTAGTTTCATGACGTTATTAAAGTTCTGATCTATAATCTTCAACTAACTTCAATCGTTTCTCATTCTATGTAAAAATTTGGGTCACAGTTGGACACTAAAACCCTGTATTATCTGAAAAATTCATTAACTTCTATGAAACATTTCATCAATAAAAAATTGGATTGGTTCCCAATAGAGAGACGTTGGGCTATGGGCTTATCACGGTGCGGATTCTACTTTAAGTCACTTTTTATGAATGTGCTCTCTGCATATCAACACAAAATCCAAGACGTCTACACAATGAATTTTCATCTAGGTCGGTGTGAAATAACTTTAGGATTCCAGATGGCCATGGAATTTGCTACATAATATGATGTATTTCCATGCTGAAATCAACTCTATTTGAAATTTAAAAAATAGACCCCATTCTTTGTGCAAAGAAACACCTGGAGGTTCCTATCTCCCGTCACTAAGCTAAAAAACTCACATAAATGAGGTGAAAACTGCAGAGACCAGTCAATGTCAATAGTTTCAGCTATAGAAAGCAATGTACTATCAGCAAAAATAAGGTAATTTATATTAAGTAGCCCACTCTTACAAATTTATATTAACATTGCCATAAAGTGGCAGAAACTTTGAAAACTTTGCCATGAAGTGCGCTGGTAGATCTGATTTGTTCCATGCCTTGTGTATACAAGCCCTTATACCTTACTTTGCTTTGATTACAACAAAAATTAGACAACTTTCAACATAATTTCTCTGTTGCCCATTCTTAGAATGAGAAAATTTCACTGCCACAAGAGAATTCTAATGGAAATTAAGTCTTTGGAAATTAAAAATTTTAAGGAAATCTTGAGGAAAGCAGCTTTGCTTGGCCTGTTTAAGTGAAAAAAAAGTAGTCAGTTTTACTGCCAAAATTGATTTTCAGCATGGTCATGATCAGCAATAGACAACGAACACCCGTCCCTGATAAAATACCTTTTAAGATTGTATTTCATATCAACATTTGTTAAAATAAAACTTTTTAGATCTTGTAATAAAAGATACAAACTTTCTGGTAAGACTGTTTCTAAAGGAAATTTTTGAGAAAGTCTAAGGAAATCTAGAAGAAATATAGCATGAAAAGCCTATGAAAGAATGAAATCTCAGTTTGAACTTTCTTGGTTACAAAAATGTATTCAATTATTGAGAATATCTCCTTTTTCACTTCACAAAATTAACAGGAGATTCTAAAAAATTTTCCTTTTTATAAGTTCATTGTATTATGTGGTGTTATTTTAAATAATTGATGCTTTGTGAAAAATAATTTCATTGTGTTTTTGTAGGAATGGAGTTTTTAATAAATCGTGCCCTAACTCATGTATCTCAAATACAAAAAAAATACAATGAGTTGCATTATTAATATTTCAGCAAAGGTAACAAAAGCAAGCTGCATTCTGCTACAGGTTTTACAATGAAAGGTAAATAAAAGGGATATTGATTAACTGGATAAAGTTAAGAAGAAAGAAAAGTGAAAGCTTGGAAATGTATCTGAACTTGCCAGACAAAAAAAATACCTTTCATGTTCAGGCCCATCATCACCATAATGAGCTAACTCTTCTGCTTCCTTCTCCAGTCTTAATCTCTCTTCATTTACTTCCATGACACACTGCAGTGCTGTTTTATCACTTGCTTCAATCTCACTTTTGAGATGATAAATATCAAAGTGGTTTGGTATAGGGATTTCCCTGTGTCCAATAACAGATAGAAGAGTTGATTTACCTATCAGATTAAATGAAGAATGCGTTTAAAACTCATATGCTATGTTGCACTAATAGGTTATTTAATAAGTTTAATAAGTTATATATTAATAATAACTGATATTTTTCTTTCTGTAGGTACCCCTGAATTCTGCATAAAATGTATAGCAACTTAGAACCACCCTGTTCTATACCCCACATAGCGTAAAATTGATTTGCTATATTGCAAAGAATATAAAAATCTCCAGGAGTAGAATAAAAACCATCCAAACATAATTGATTAAAAACAACTGATTTGTAAAAGTTATAAGTAAAAAGCTTCATTTTTATTTCATTGAATGATATTACGATATTTTTCTGTTTATTACCTGTCATTTGAATAAGAATTAAATATGCAATATTAAATATATAGAGTACCAAAGTGTGACGTCACCAAAAATATATTTTTAGAATTTCTAAAATTTGGCCGCATAATCTGAAAGAACGGCATAAAATACCTCTAATTGCGCAAAATTAGTTGGATATGTTCGAAACTGGGCGAGATATGGCTAATTTAAGATTTCAAGTTTGCTAACGGATCACTGTTATTCTGGTCTGGTTCATGAAGTTATGAACCAAGACCAAATTACAGAGGTGTGATGAGGCAAGAGCTTGTCCATATGTAGCCATATCTAAACAAATTTGTGATGCCTTTAACTGATTTTGCATATTAAGAGATATTTCATGATGCTCTTTTAGGTTCCGGGATCAAAGTTCAGAAATTCTAAAAATATATTTTTATGACGTCATCACTTCAGTACTCTATAACTAGATTCGTGGAGGCCTGCTAATATAGAAGACATTTGTTTTTTCATGGCTGACACATTTTACAAAGTGATGGCTAGCCTCCAGCTCATAGTCAGCTATCACTGAAAAGTAAATTCAAACAGCACAAAAACCAATTTCACATTTGGAAAAATATATAATGAATAAAACAATAAACCATCAATCAATATATATATATACTCAATATCTTTCTTTGATGATTGTATATTCATAAGCTGTTCATATTAGGGACTTAGAAAAATTTTATTATTGATCTCAGTTTGAGTATTAAAAATATTTTCATGTTAAGGCAGTTTAATATGTACCTAATTTTAAATCAATAACTACAATTCAGCAAGCTTCCTTTAATAATTCATCTTACCTATACATTGTCTAATTTGAATCAGTGTAGCACCAAAGTGCATCCCTTTTAATTTCAACCCCATTTATAATTTTACCTAATATTTTCCTGTAAGTGCTCCTTGATTCTTACACCTTGTCCCCACAATTTTTAGGGTTTAAAACTGGGTTGGTGGTGAGCGTTCTCTAAGTTTGTCCCTAGACTTTTTACCCAAAATTAAAGCTGTTATGATATATTTCTGTTAAACTATATTACCAGCTTCAATATTCCACAATCTGCATAATCCTGACAAGGCATTGAGTCTTTTTAAAGTGGCATTGAGTAATAACTCATCACAAAAACCCATAAAACTAATCAATGAAAACTTTGCTCTCAAAATAAATGAAGGCATGTGATACTTTGCACACTTGGAAATCAGCAGATGTGTAAGAGGGCATGTGCTTGCAATCGTATGCCTTTCATTTAGACATATTTTTTATTAATAAATTTATCACATTTATGATTGATGGATAACTTTTGGATTTTTGGTTGCAAGACAAAACAAAATGAAGAGGTCAAAAGGCAAAGTGAAATGGAAAAGAGCAAAAATGCCATTGGAGAGATACCAGGGTTGAATTCATGTAACATAAACCAGAGGTATGTAGCATGGATTTCATAATTTTCTTCACAAACTGGCAAAAAACTAAGAAAAAATAAGGTTTTGGCCTTAACCCAGGTTGGAAAACATTTATGTTTTTGCCAATGCACCACTCAAACCAAATGCATATCATCAGCTGCGAGCAGAAGCATTTGAGCTACAAGCAACAATGCCCATTGATATTACATAACTATAGTGTAATATATGAATTCATTGATATTTTGGGTCACTAGAGGCTTGAGGTGCAAGCACAAGAAGTCCAGCATCACTGCAAACATATTCAAGTTTTCAAGCCTGGGGCCTTAAGGTTGTCTTTGGTCCTGTGTAGATATAAACAACTGTTGTTTGCAAAATTTGATGATTAATAGTTTCTGTCATGCAATGAATCATATAACTTTTTGCTTCAGCATGAAGATGTAGAACCTTTGGCACAGCTTTATAATTCACTGGTCAGTATAAATATCTGGTATGAGGTTTACATTGAAACTACTGCAAGCTGGTTCAGCATGAGCTTACCGCAGCCATTGCTCCCAATTAGGCCGTATCTCCTGCCACAGTTTATTTCCAATTTTGTGTCCGCCAGCAACTCTGCACCATGGAATGTTATGGAGAATTGATGAATGTGTAGGTCCCTTGCCTCTGGATGGGAGGCCAGCACACCAGTACACGCACGACTAGAGACTGACAAATTTTCCATACACGAGGTAACTTCTTGCGAGACGCCATTGGAGACCGAAGTAGCTGCATTTGCCGATTTCCCCTTTCCCTGGGCTTTTTTCTTCTCCTTTCTTCGCTTTGCTGCTTCAGACGGCATTTTAGAAGATTTATGCTTGGCAATGAAGAATCTAGATGAGTGATATCAAATGTTCAGCGAGAGCTTATCAATGTGACTAAGCTCATAAAATGCTGAAACCGAAAAAGAATTTTCCTGTCCATCCAGCCTCGTTTGTCAGAACACTGCCTCGCTTCCATTAATTGATTCAAAGTACCCCAAGTATCCCCTTCTACTCACAAAAATCCCCATATAAAACAAAATGGCTTCCTATCGATCTATTGTCTAGTTGTTTAAAAAAATAGCTTTGAAATGGGCTGTTTTGGGACAGTTTGAAAAGCAGCACCTGTCTTTTACCTAAAGTAATTCTATCACTCCTTGACTTGATCTGTCGCTTTCTTTTTGTGTGCCATTTAGAATTTCTAAAACATGTTTTTGGTAATATTATATTAAAGTTAATGATAATGAGCATAAAAAGATCTTGCTCATTCAAAAATTTGGATAAAGAATCAGTTTGCGAGAAAAGCTTTGAAGGGCAATGTGAACAATTTAGTGGAGGGGTGATTTTTGAATTTACGAAGGGGCAATTTGTAAGCATAGGTTTATTTGAAAGAAGAAGCTTCCATGCTCTTTAGATAAACTTAAAATACATTAAAAAATATTTTTTGCAGCCATTTTCTTGCAATCGTTAAAAACATTTTACAATTTTTAAGGCATGCTTTTGCTACGTTTGCGTTTGATTAATTCCAGTCTCTTAAAATCGTATTCATTACTGCATGATGCTCCATAGACCTCGGCTTATTCTTTTGAAATTAAACTTTGTAGCGTCAATCACGTAAATTTTGGAGTCACCATTAATGTTATAATTTTTAAGCATAAATTAAGGGAAATCACAACATCACTTTTTATTAGTACCCCCTTGTTAAAATAGTCCCATTGCCTTTTACATTTTGAACAATATGAACCAGAACATTTGTGTACCTGAAACCGTTTTGCATGGTAAATTCCATCCTTTTTTGGTTAAATTTTTGCATACCAAAAGTGCCGTGCAATTTTGTAGCAGAACCGGAATGCATGTTAAATTTCACCATTCGCTTTGGTTCCCTTTTGTTAAGAGGCTTGGGTACATTTTTGAATGCCAAAAATTGCTATGCATTTTTATACCCGGACAGTTTGCATAATATTACGGAAACTAATGTGAGAATGGCTCTGAAAAAAAACAAAAATGTTGCAACATAATTAAGTTTATCATCTGACACTTGGATAGAGTATAAAACGTCAGAATCAGGGTCGAAAAGGTCGATACACCCAGAAGTTGATCAAAATTTCGCCTTTTTCAAAGCCATTTTTTCATTTTGCATTGCCAAAACTTGCTTTCGTGCAAAAAGCAGAACACTGCTACAGTGATATGATATGAAATAAGTATCAAAAGTGCACAATGACAGAAAATGACACAGATCGATAATCGTGTTGCAGTAGAAGGTTTAAAAACAGACAGAGAAAATGACAAATCCTAGGTATTGTTGTTACAAGAAGTTTTGTAAAGACGCAAAGCTACATCTAAAATGTTCTGAATTTTATCTGCAAATGACACAAAGACAAAAAATTAGACGAACAGCCAAATAAACAAACAAGTAGACAAGCCAACAAGCATGCAAAGAAAACAAGTAACAGAAAAATTTCATCGGGATTATTGCGTTGTATTCTATAGCCATAACAACAAAAGATATTACGACAAGAGACTTGATAATAAAAATGGCAGGACATGCAAGATGCTCTCCATCTTGCTTAAGCTGGCCATGATAATTGCTCACCTGTTTGGAAACACTGAATAATTCAGCCACGAATCATTGCTATGACCTTGAACTACCGCTCATTAATTCCTAAGAGACAGGTGCATAGGAAATGTTCGATTCTGCTCTCTGCTACTTCAATGGTGTTGTGGATAAACTTTTTGACGAAGATAAAAATCAGGTTCCGAATCAAATTTCATTTGTTGATGGAAGCACAAGACTTCATCACACAATGTAGCAAACTTCTTCGACGAAGACCATACATCATTATCATGCTCTAATTAGAGTTTAATGCAGTTCAAGGCTTCATTGGTCATCTGATCGTATATCCCTCTGAAGTTGATTATTGTTCTGTTATATTAATCAACTGGAATCAGGAAGACTACAAGTGAAAAATATTGTCACAGAGAATTCGTTTGAGATATGGATAAATGAGACTTGTGTTGTTATCTTGGATTTTTCTTAGTCAACAGGACTGCATGCTTTTTTACGCTATTTATGTTTTATGTTAATGGGAAAAGTCCGCTGAAAATTGATTATCCTAGAAAAGACAGGTTTGATGGCAATTGAAGACAGTACTCTTGTCTAACGAAATCGAGCGCTTTAAACTGGAAAGCATTAAACCTAAAGCTAGCCATTCACAGCCGGATATTAAATTCTCGAACGACCAATGCTTTCGACATGTACTTGAAGTTTTTCAACTAAAGATTCCGTTTCTTTTCAATTTACTGAGTTAAAGGCCCAGTTAGTTAGATGTGTAGGACGAGCAAATCGCATATCTGAAAGTTTGTAATTCCGCCTGATACCAACGGTAGCGCAGTATGGAGCCTTCGTAGCTGTTGGCCACTGACGTTTCTTCTTGAATAATGAAACTTCGGCTTTAAGCGTAGCAACTCAGAGATCCTCCTGTCTCAAAAAGGTGATCAGTCATAGAGCTATGATTCTAAAGGACTTTGTACTTTTTACAGTCATGATGTTTGCTGGCGGTTGTGTTTTCATGAATTTAGAAGCAGAACAAGCAAAAAAGGCTCTGTCTCCGAACAAGGAGCTAAGATGTCTCAAAAATAAAATTGCAAAGCAAACAAATTTATCAGAGAATTACATCAACATGCTATTTCGTAGACTGGAGAAAGCAATCAAGGAAAATGGAGTTAAAGAGCCATATAAGTGGAATTATTATGAGTCTTGCTTTTTTGTTGGTTCGCTGTTGACAACGATCGGTAAGTGATTTTAACTGCTCTGCTTTCGCCCTTCTGTTGTTATTTGAAATTTGAAAATTAATTCAAGACGCGTTCCACGACTGTTCTTAGATAATCCCAGATCTATGAAATCTGTTGTATCAAATTGTTTCGTTTAATAATGAAAACAACGTCAGGCAAGATCTCGTACAAAGATTTATTCATCTAAGACGACACGAGGCGGAAAAAGTGAGTTTTTATAAAAAAAATAAGATAGAATGACAAAAAGGTTTTAAGATGAACTGATCGATTAAAAAAAATTTCAAATTTCTCCTAAAAACACAAAGACCAGACATGAAAACATTTATTTTTTTAATTAATTTTCTTGCCAACATTAATCTTCTTAAGGCTGCCGCTTTTTTGGAATCTGATTTATATCGTTTTATTGTTGGAGAATGATGTGCTTGTTTTAAATTTTCAGCTCCTCCAAGATTCTGCGATCTTACATGACAAATGTTTCACTCCTTGGAGAGATCTTAGTTTTACTATTTGGCCAATTCAGACACCCCGAAACGTTGAGAAAAGTGAGGGGTCTAAAAAGTTGGGGGGGGGGGCTAAAACCGTATAAAAAGAGGCTTAACTGGTAGTTTATTACTTAATATTTCCAGCTCAATTTTCGTAAAAACTATTGTTGAAATGCATTTTCAGCATATTTTTCTTTGAACAGGATACGGCCATATTGCCCCGAAGACTACTGGCGGGCGTATGTTTACAATCTTTTTCTGCCTTTTTGGAATTCCTTTGACGGCCATAGTTGTTCGTAACTTGAGCAAGAAAATAACAAATTTGGTATTAAAAATTGTGCATTTGCTTGTCAAAGCCAAACGGAGATTAAAGGAGCTGTGTTCCAAGCAGAAGAGACAAAAAACACAACCACAATGCAGGGAGGAAGACGGCGAAATGTCAGAAAGAAAATCAAAAAACATGAACAACCAGTTCTCTCTGCCAGATAAAGAAGTAAGGATCGCGTGTATAATCATGTTGTTAATACTTGTAGTGATATTTCTTCTGCAATCAGCCCTGTTTAGAGTAATATCTGAAGGATGGACCATGCAGGAAAGTATTTATTTCTGGTTCGTTACCTTGACTACAATTGGGCTTGGTGACTATGTGCCTTATGATGGTCGACGCCCGAGTTCCTTGGCTGCAACTGTTGTTTACTATACTGGCACATTCTACTTGCTGCTTGGCCTCGCCTTGATTGCCAGTCTTATACAAAGTGTGTCTTTTGTGATGGAAGGCAGACTACCAGCAATCGCTTCTTCGGAACCTCAAGCTGCTGATGACAGCAAATGCATGAATGAGACAGAGCAAACAATAATAGGAGCGACCAAAGAGGATTCGACGGGAAAAAGTCCAAGGGCAAAAACAGAAATTAATTTGAAAGATGCAGAAATTTCACAGCTCTGAAAAAAGAGACTGACGACCGTGCACATGGCAAGTGAAGTTCAGAATATGCATAAAACTATTGGTATCTGGTAACATAATAATTCCTCAATAATACTGGAACATAACACATCTCTGATCTGGCTGAGGGACAATAGTTTTGACTTACATCTGTAGGTAACTGAGTGGACAACCTTGCTGAAAACTATAGAAAAAATATAAATAAAACGTCTGAAGTTGTGAAACAAAGAAGTTGACAATTTCTGCGCGCAGAGAGCTATCCCTTTCTAATCCACACACAAAATCCCGATGTCTACAGCCACTCCAAGCCTACAGCCATTCCATGCCCTCTAAGATCCTTCAGTTAGTCCAAGCCTTTCCAATTCTCACACCAAAACCCGATTTTAACTCTTTTTTTGGGCAAAACAAATATCAGAAATACACCAAACAACGTTTCTTACCATTAAACAAACTAGAAAGTCCGTGATTCACGTCAATGGAAGTATACTTTAAAAAGTGTTTTTTTTCATTCGCGTCCACTTGTACTCACCTATATTTTTGCCGGGTTAAACAGCTTCTGCGTTGTTTTCGGGTAATAAGGTAATCATTGATAGGATATAGTGCCTTTAAGACTTTAAAGGTGTATAAAAGTTGCAGTTACAGTGGGAGCTCTCCGGTCGAGTGACCAGAGACAAAGTCTTGCCATCAGTGACTTCTATGCATTTTGCATCTTTGCATGCTCTATAACTACTAAGTCAGTCGGCAAATTTGAATAATAGCTGCTTATCTATTGACAATGCATAATATATACAATGTATATAATATATATACGTTATTACTTGACATTCTGCCGAGTTGGCTAGACTAATTTTAGTAGCTGATAATCTTTCGCGTCGTTTTTGTACTTACACGATACCTGATTTGTAGATTTTATTTCTATTTTATAACAAAGGATTCTTGTACAGTTACACAACCTTCTCGTTTTACAATTTACCACTAGCTTGTCCGTCAACTCTCAATCAAATGGCTTTCACTACAGGTTTGCGAAATGGACAGAGCAAACCTCCAAAACAAATATCTAGATAGTTTGTGATGTCGAAGATACTTCATGTTATCACTCACAATTGTCCTCTTGCACAGGCAGATACACTTAAACGGTATCCTTCAGAACCCTTAACTTAAGGTTCTATATAATAAGAACAACTGTAAGGTCCTCGGTAACTTTGTAAACACTGTTCCTACTTGATTTATACATGCCCCATAGCTAGTAAACATATTGTAATATTGACAACTTATTCAAGATTTTTGATAAGTCAAAAATCAGGCCTAGCCCCATTTCTTTGTCTAATGCTCCCTGACATTTGTTTGGTTTTTGTAAGATATTAAAATTTGTACATTGATTCGAAACTTTGTTTATATGTTCGTTTAGAAATTTTATCAATAGCTTAGGAATTAAAGACTTTTTAATGTAAACGATGCTGAACTGCCTATGTATGACGTTATGTGAACCAAGAAAAGCCTATGTTGAGCATAAGCTCAATTTTTGTAAGGGAGATAACTGTTTAAAGGGTTTTGTAAAGTACTGATAACTTGATATTTATAATCTGTCTGATGAGTGGGCAAGCAAGAGAGTAACAGAGAACATGTCTCATTTCCAGCCTATCTTCTACCAAATCTATTGCTCTGTGCTTTTGCACATCGAGCACTGTTAAGTCAGAATAGAGAACGCAATCTGGAATAACTTGACATTTATGTTGTCCACGTCATAGTTATTTGTCATTGACAATTTTTAGCATGGTCTTGTTACCAAACGCTTTGTTGCCTTGCTGCTGCACACATTTTCTTTTTTCTGTCCTCGCTTCGTACGACTAGCCCAAATGAATTGAAACAGAGGTTTTTTCTCTTCGGTAGGTCTCATCTCATGGTAGTATTAATTTGTGTGTGAAAATCCAAACAGTAAACACAAGCCGCTGCAAGGGTCTACTTCCAAGTTAATGCCAGTGTTTAAAGGTCCATTTGGAGTTTATAAATTCAAGATGCAGATGCAGAAGAAACGAGCACATCTATTTATATTCTTGCCACACGCTAGTCAGTTATAGGCAGTCTCAGGCAGCGACAATACAGACCAGTATATAACCGAGATGATGTCTCAGTTTTCTACCAGATTTGACAAACCCTTTTATCCGCAGTAAACTATACATTTAGAAACAAAATGCAGACATTTGTTACTGAAAGTTTTTCCGAGTAACACAGTTCAAGACAACAAACCCCAAAACAAGGCAGAAAAACCTGTTGATTCACACATGTCTAGAACTGCAGCAATAATCAACAAATCTCTTTGAAGGCAAATTGAGTAGGGCAGAAATTGCATTCTAACCTTTTTGCAACCTACCTGAGTAGCAGAGAGAGGAGATTATTTTAAATAGGGATTGTCGAGTTATTTTGGAAGATTAGCAAAAAATTTTCGTTCGAAATTTTGCTTGACCTTTGTTCAGAACCATTATCTTTCTTCTTCAAATTTTTTGTCAAAAGGTTTATGTTAAAAATGAATGGTCAAAAATATTTTGCAGCGTTCAAATATTGATTAAAAATAACACCTCTTGACACCTGAAAAGATTTCAGTACAGAGCAGTGAGTAGGCTACAAAATACTCAACAAGGTATTCGTTAGATATGATGTGGCCAATTCAGTGAGATTATTGTAATGTTGCTAGACCAATATGTACAATTTATATGAATGATTCATTAGTCAGTGATATTGTTAATTTCCAAGCAAATACGACTCTACAATATCTTAGATACTAAATTAATTCTTCGATGCAAGTAACCAAATTGCAATAAATAAATATCGAAAAAAGTTATTTCTAAAGCAGCTAAATTCAATCTTATAATTTAGTAATATTCTATACAAGTCTTTGATCGTTAAAATTGCCCTACTGTCGTTTAGTTTGCTAAGAAATAAATTACATATTTCGATTGACAAAGAAATACTACAACAACTTTGAATACCAATGAGATGATTATTTATAACCAAGTTGCCTATAGAAATGATTATCCTGAAGTGGCGTAGCCGGAGTATAAATAGTGAAGCTATGTCCATCAAACGTGCCATGCAGTGCTTTTCGACATCAGTAAAGCATTGTCGAAAAATGTAATTTACGAGGGGCAAATCACTTCAAAAAATCTCGTACACCTTTAGTGGAAATCCTATTGTTTTATCTGGAAATCCCCAAAAATCCTTTTGTTTCAGGGAAAATCTCGTACGCTACTTGCAAGAGTGAGTTGCCCCTCGTTCCTTTCGACATCAGTAAAGCATTGTTATCATTGTGATATTGCGGGGATAGTCAATGGTTGGAAAAATACGTGGAGTGAAAAAACAAATCTTAAGCTTTTTGCTTAATTATTCTATGGGTATGTTTTGGGGGGGGGGGAAGGGGCGTCCATACCCGTGAAGCCTCTCTGGATACGCAATTCAATTGATATAGCATTGGTCAATGAGGGTACGAAGTTTAAAAGGGAATATAGTGACAAATGGTACTTAAGTTGGACAATTACTTAAACTTTGTCACCTTATGAATAAATTTTCAAGCTAAACCAATGCAAAGAGATTTCTTAACTATCTTCGAAAAATGATAAAACAAAATTTTAAACTCTCGTGAGATGTTTTACGTTATGACGCAGTTGAGGATTCCGGCAGAAATAAGCTCTCTCCTTTGCATAGATCCTGGGTCAGAGCAGGACACGTGTTGTTGTGTAGAAAGTGAATTTATGTAAGAGCTAGTTGCCAAGTCTACTCCAAATTTACACAAAACCTGAAAGCTTTGTCGCATTAGAAAAGTTTAATCACACACCAAGCTCTCTTGCACTACTCACTGCAATGTGCAGGCGGAACTTGTGATTTTTCCGTCGTTATTTTTCTTTGCTTTCTCTGTAATTTTCACCACATCAGCTGCAGCTTTAAAACGTACAAGATCTGTCGCATCTGTCCCATTCACGATCTCATCTACCTTTGTTAGCTACAAAGCAACAGGTTTATTCATTGTTTGGAAAAAGTTTCATTTAAATCACTTTAACACGGTCACAGTTTTAGTCCGCTTGTCAGATTCTCATGCTCAGGGCACTTAACTGAGAGGGCGTCAAATCATCTTCACAAACTACTAAAAATCCAAACAGCAGCCAAGCTTTTCCAATCGTTATGCTCACATTTGATATACTTCTTCACCTGTTCACCATGGTAAATTCTCGCATAACATATTCATATCATACCTTCACGTTAAAACAAAAAGGGGAAAGTGATATCAAGAAAAACTTCTCATAGTCTAACAGGAAATTTGAGAAGTTATGACCAGAGAATTCAAGATTTGCTTTTTCTTAGGATCACGAAAACCACATGAGGTGGACATTACGGTTTGATTAATTAACTTTAGAATAGAACGAAGGGGACCTGAACCCCCTTTGAACGTTGGATGTGACGGCGCCTAGTTCTCCACGTTCTCGTTTGTGTTTCGAGTGGGTGGGTTACAGCGGGTGAAATTTGAAATCCGAGTCCGAGCAATCCCAGAAAATTGTTTAATAGGTTCGTGATTGGCAAGTATGATATAGCCAACCAAACACTAGGTATCAGCTAATAAGACACTAGGTACCTTTCCAAAAAGGAGCATAAATGTCCTTTCTTCCCCAACGCCTATAAAAATGATCTTCGACTCTCTGACAGAGGGGGGAATGGTTACCAGGGGCTGGCACGCCATTAATGGGGAAGTTGGCCATAGCCCACTGGCCGTTTTCTAGCCCCACCCCTGGGTCTGGCTATGGTATTATTTCCATTTCTTCATTAGAAAAAGCAACGGTTATATAATCACAACTTACTGTGGAATTGGCGAGAGTCGCACTTGCTTTAAAATCTGATGCAGCTGATAACAGATCAACCTACCGGTCCATATCTGTTCAACCTCAACCAGTAATATCCAAAATTTTGATCTTCAAAACTTATTAACGATCAGCTATATACATTTCTAAATGATCAAAGCCTCTTATTCCTCCAGCAATCCGGCTTCAGATCAACACACTCAATTTAAACAAAAATTGGTATTCTGACATTGATGAAGGTGAATCGATGATTATTCACGTTAATAAAGGGATGTCTAATCTAATTTACAGTTAACATGAAACAATAACACGAAACAATAAAACAAAGAACAGAAGGAAATCTTTTAATGAACTGTTTCTTTTGCGGATGCAAAAATTGGTACAACAGCCTGAAGGCGCAGAAAAAACTTCTAGAAATGGTGGTGGTAGGTTTCTACGATGCTGCACCCGAGATGTCGTTGTCATACAGTGACGACGACCAAACATGACGATGACACATTTTTGACCTCGATGCCGCGTCATAGGTATGACCTGCCGGGGAATCGAGCCCGGGTCGCTTGCGTGGTAGTTCAACGGTCGATCTATTGAGCTACACCCTCATCTGATGACACAGGACAAATATTGGACCCACAAAGATAGTAAAGAATGTAATGTCAGACAGAACATTTGAAATCAGAAAGCATTTCATCACCAAGGATAGGGTATTGACATAGAATGCGTAGTTGAACAAAAGGTGTGTACGTTATAGCCAGTCCGGGTATGTCTTTCATATCTTTTTAAAAGTTAACAAAAAGGCCAATTTGAGTGGGTAGAGTACTCACATCTAAAGTCGTTTGATTCTGAGCCTTTGCCTTGTCGATTAATTCTCTTAAACGAACCTTAAAGATAAAGTTGCCTTATGAAGAATAATAAGGACTAAGTGACAAAAATACCATTAAAATTACAAAATTGACCTAAGCCCAAACAAACTCAGGATAGAACTATGACAAAGAAATTTATCAAAAGGTCCTGAATGGAATTGTTAATTTGAAAATCTCTTCTCTCCTGACTTTTTCCTTTACGTATAAAAGCACTCACAGCCTATTTATGAAATGTTCTTGCGATAAAACGAAAGACGCTCGTCAGCTTTGAATAGTAAGCTCACCTGCGCGCAACAGACATTGCTTATCAAACTAGATGTATTTATTAACAACATACCATCCTAGAATTCAGCCTCTGGTTCCTTTTCCTCAATGAACTGAGCTCGCTCAATGTTTTGTATTTCTCATCGTCATCTCTTACTGATTTGTTGATGACATTTGCTTTCGACACGCTATTTGCATTCATCAGCTGTTTTGTGCTCATTTTTTCCCTCTTCGAGTCATTGTTGTTGTTTTTTGCACCATCAGAATCGGACTGCTTGCCCCATACTTCAACAACGAGTGGCTGTTGCATCAAGTAGTCTAAAAACTAGAATTCACTTAAAATTGACCATTTTGCTTTGATAAAAAGTGTGATCCTTTTTAATCAATTATTTTGATTTAAATTTTGGCATTGTAAAACTAATTTCTCAAATTGATGTAAGAGTGAAAATGCACTAAAAAAACATAGACTCTTATAAAACATAAACTTCAAAAATATGCGAATGATTGTTAAAGGCCTGTTTATATGATGTGAGCCAGTCCGTACTTTCATTAAGAGTGTCTCGGCCCCTTAAGGTGAGGTCCACAAGAAAGATAGGTGAGGCCAACGCCGCATGGTATCCGCATTAGGTGGGATCCGCGCAAGGTGGAGCCCTTGGAATGGGATTTGCGCTACGTGGGGTCCGCAAAGGGGGAAGTCCTGCCGTGGAATCAACGCACAGTGGGATCCATGCACGGCGGGATCCACGCTAGGTGGGATCCACGCAAGGTAAGATGAAATCACAAAATCAGAAATCACACAAAATCAGAAATTTCGTGTAAATGAAGTATGTATCATAGCTAGTTTTCCGGGTAATTTTGCAATCAGAAAAGGAATCTTCTAATTGTAATCTTTCTCCATTTAATTCAATTATTTTTTTACCAAAACTGAACTTTGCTTGCAAGTTCCAAACAAGAGGCTAGCTATCTCATGTAAACGGGCCTTGAAATTTTGCGATGAGGCTGCAACAGGTTTGATAGAATAAAAGATACAGCGAACAGATGAAAAACGACACCTGATATTACCATACCCTAGGTAATAAACAAAATTAAAGCCAAACAGCCAAGACATCATTCAATGAGCTCATTGAAGAAAAGAGAACTACTAATACGATGTTCATCACGCTCTATTTGATCGAACGAAGTAAATGATGTCAATATTGAGGTCCAAAAGAATCTATACTCGTGTTTTACTGACTTTTTCAACAACTGACAATAGTAACACGATAAAAGCAATATAAAATACTGTTTTTTATACTTGATCAACTTAACATTTATCAACATGTAAACTATACTACAAATAAATTAATACTAGAAACACATAATTAACGCTAGTGACTGCTGCAGTTAGAGTGGGAATGATTGGAGTAAGATCGACAGAGGTGTACGACAAGGATGTGCTTTGTCACCAAACTTGTTTTCTTTATATCGTGAAATAACCTAGAGGGGAATCGATGTGCAGATGATCCTGTTTTGTTGGCTGAAACAGAGAAAGGTCCCCAAAACACATAAAGTTACCGAAAGAGATTGGGTCCTTGAGTTGTCACTGAATACCAAAAAACACACTCGATGACAGTTTAGAGAAGCAGGACTCGCCAACATGTACGTTTTCAGCAAACGGAAAAGAGATGAAAAATGTTAAAAGATCAAACTCTAGGAACCTTTCTAACATTGACGGCAAATCTGATAGTCAAAAAAGATCTGTTTCAACAATTTCAGACATCAAAACATCAACGAAACAGAAAATATTGTTATCTGGTCTTTCCTTATATATATAGTAGATACATGGAGTATCTCGGTTGTTATGTAAAAATATGGCTTATAAGAAGAAAGATGGAAATTCTATGGACAAATACAGTATCAAATGAGAGAGTCTTGAAAATTGCTAATGTGAATTGAAGAATAAAGAAGAACTTGAAATTTTTTTAGATCACGTTATGCGGAGAAAAGGAATAGAACTCATTCGCAGACACCAGAATAGAGAATCCTAGAAAAGCATAATGGTCAAAGCCGTTGCGGCACAAAAAATTTAAAGAAGATATTTGTTAGTAGTTTATATTTAATTCATAAGCGACTGTTACAAGAAGCATAAAACATAAAAGGAGAATAAGGCTCTCATTTAAAAAGTTTCCGTAGAAGAGACATCAAATGCAATTGCAGCTGTGGTTATGAAAGAAAATGGCAGCTTTTCCCATACGCCTACGAAAAGCGAGTAAATATCAGCCCTCACAGTAATGATAAAGCTGGAATAGCTAAGCTTAAATGAAAAACATACCTGTTTAGTGACAGGTGAAAAGACGAATAACTTCTCATGCTTGAAATCTGGGTTAATCGTCCTTTTTATCTTCTCTGTGACATTATAATCTTTGTCAAGATAAACCTTGTATTTACAGTATGTTTCACCCTGAAAGCAAAGCAAATACGATATTACGAGCAGGGTATAAGACGTTTCTTATACTGATCATCTTACATAGCCAATAATATAACGATATCTTTTACTGAAGTACTCAGTATTTTACACCAGTATTTATACTTAGCAACATGATAAGTTCTATATCAATATCTTTCTTATCCTTGTTTACAAATCATACGTGCTTAAGAATTATAAGGAATGCATTTGGTGACGCAAAATTTTTAGTTTTAGTTGCAGATTCATCAGATTAGTGTCTGTTCTAAACTGTGTATAAGATGTCGACCAAAAGGCTTCAGCACTCACAACTGCGCTAATCTGCACCAAAAGTGCAATTGCTTTCATGAAAAATGCATAATTAGTGGTCAAGCATATTAAAATATTCTCTCTGTAGCAAATGTCCAACAGCGTGTTTACCTGCATGTATGGAGCATCTGCCGACAAAAACAAAATAGAATGGCTTTCGCCAGATTATTTGAAAAGATATAGCAACCCAAAAAAAGAAAATATAAGAACAGGATCATGGTATAAGCAGCTATTTTTCCATTCAGCTTTTTGACGGTTCAGTTAATTTTTTTGGAATTACATAAGACTAACGCCCCCTTTTGACTTTCGTTTAGTAGTTGTTTGTACTTCAATTAGCTGTTCATATCTTGTAAAACGTTGTAAGTGGCCTCTGTGGTAAGGGCCCGGTGATGACGCAATATCCTGACGCCCGACAAATGTCACAGCAATATGCAATAATTTTTTTAAGGGTTGTATAAACAAGGACCGCGTCACAAATTGCAAACTGTGGAGTCAGCAATGAACATAAATTTTACTTTTACCCAATAGTCTTCCGCCGTAGAAAAATTTTTGCTGACGCTATTTTACTTGAAAAATTTGGTTCAATTATTCAATGCAATCACAGGTTACTCCATATAAAAATTGGGGCAAATCGATATCTTTATTTTAGCAAATAAGTGGGGAACCTATAGTGTTGAGCTTTGATAATAAAGGTTTCTTTGTTGAAAGCTATAACAAGAAGTGGAAAGCTCAAAAAAGCTAAAAGCAAATAGAAACGGCAGATAAATCGATATAGCAAAGTTTTACATCTCACTGCACAGTTTTTGATTAAATATAAAAGAGATTCAGATGCCTAACCTTGGAAAACTTTTGTGGCAAGCCTCTTGCACTTGGAATTTTCACTTTGAAATTTAGGTTTCCACCAATCTAGAATGAGTAAAAAGTAGCATTATCATCTTTATTATTCCTATAAACCCAGCATCCTCCGTCACTCTAACGTCTAACGTAGAGGATCACTCTCTATAGAAAAACCTTCAATCTGCTAGCGTTATAACTATAGCAAAAACTTTAGCAAAAACTATAGAAAAACCAGCGCCCTCCTTCTGCTGGCGGAGAAAGAAAAGTTCGCTAGAAGATTCTGAATAGAAATAGTTGTAAAACCACTTGACTAAAGTTATAAGCAAGGTAAATCTAACTGCTGCAGCTCAAAGCTTTTAAATAGGCGTACAACGTAATCACTTGAATTAGATGCTTAGAATTTTTTTGACTTCATTCTATTTAATGCTTAAGAGATAGTTCGAAAGCAGGTGTCATTGGAACGCTTTATCCAACAGAGCACCACATGAAAAGTTCTCTTTTCGTGAGAAATGCATTGAGCAGAAGAAGGTAGTTCTCAAATTTATATCCCTTTATCTTTAAAGCAGAGTGGTTTTTGTGATCTTGATCCCACACAGCTCGCATTGGCACCAAATATTTGTCCTTTTTGACACTTAACGATTCAAAGAGATTCTAAGGTTTGTTATTTGAATAACTTTGGCCCCGATAAAACGAAGAGTTGCGTGACAAGTGGTCTCCAAGTTCCTAAATGATGTTTCGCATCAGAACTCATATTTTTTCATTCAAAATCTTTTTATAGTGCTACTCTGAAACCTTTCTAAGAGATTTCGGATTATGTCATTTTATTTTCATTTCATTTTCTCTCTTTTACTCATGTTAACCTCTTAGTCGAAAGGCTGGTTTAGAAAAGACAATGCTAAGATCTACAAAAGTATCAATCAAACTAAATCTAACAGTAATTACAAAAATAAAAATGCTATATGATATCAAGCAGAATTTTTATACATTCTTCATGAGCAGATGAGAGCATTTTATGGTTCTCATGAAACTCTTAAGATCTGATTAAATTTTAGCTTCTGTAGAAGAACCATTCGACCGTCTGGACAACATTAACGTGGTTGAATATCATAAGGTAAAAACTGCAACAAATCAACAATCAATCAAAGACGTTTTGCTATGATAGAACTGAAATTTTCTTTGATTAGAAATCAAAACAGTAAATAGTTAATTATACCCCTATTTCCACTAAAAATGCAAAAGATTACCATTTCACTTGGATCCTCAAGAAAATCGTCATCATCTAACGACGAACCATTTTTGTTGCAAGGTTCGACCTCTACCTGTAAAATGCAAGATATATTAAACACATTACGACACTTGCTTGAGGGATCTAAAGAGTTAGCTTGGTCGCTAATCGCAGTTATTATTTGCCTTTTGCACTGACTGGCACGTCACGTTTAAAATGCTGCCAAAAACATAGTCTTTTCGAAGCGAAATTGGCTGGGTACGGGGTTGCGCCAAGTCTTTTTTATATCAAGAGGAGGATAAGAATCTATTTTTTCAAAAAAATTGAAAGCCAATGAGGATGGAGGGACAGTTACCCTAAGTTAGAATGTTAAAAAAGGCCCCGGCAAAAACACTCGCAGTCATCTAGAATCTGGCAATACACTTTCAATCAAACTCACAAGAGCCATAAAGATCGATTTCTGGCAAAATGCCTGCCCGAAGAACTATACATATATGTTGCATATATGAAAAAAGGTATACTAATGATATAAATGATAAACATACATCTTGAAAGAGCAACTAAGATAATGGCATAGATATCCTAAGTCAAAATATATTTGTTTGGCCCTCCTGCTTTTAGCTAAAATACCTCAGTTTCAAGTAACTGATAAGCAAAAATCGACAAAGCAGTGCTATAGCAAACCTTGAGGTGGCCAAGTTCAGTTCCTTTGTAGTCCGCAATGGCAAGGTTCTCTTCTAATTCAATCTGATAAAAGAACAAGATCAATCCTTTTTACATCAAAGCAAGAAAAAGCCAAATTGTCCCCCCCCCTAAAAGGTTTTTAAGGCCCCCCAATCCGCGATATGACAGCCGTTTCCATCAACTCTGGCCAGGGTTGTATATGTTCACAGACTATCAACTAACATGCCTAAATTTCAAATCGACTGTCAGTAAGAAACGGCTTTGTTGACATCTTCTTGCATCCTTGCCTCTGAAGATATGTACAGCGTAACAGCATTTAAGTTGCCTTTTTATTGAATTAATATATCTACGTACTACTCACCTTAAAGCCCAGGCTTGAAAGGTAAACATGAACTGTACCAATCATAACATCAGCATCAGCAGGTTCCCAAAATGGATCTTTCTCCTAAAACGAGGAACAAAATAGCTCAGTTATTGAGAATCATGCACATTACCTACAAATGGTGTCGTAAAGACGACCGAGAGCTTTAATAATCAGAATATTTCAACACTTTAGAACCACACTTTGAAAAAAGAAGCATTTCAAAGGCACTGGAGAAAACTTAAAGGACAGAAATCAAATCCTCTAAATCCATTGGAAACTAGAAAGAACCAGAACATCCATCTAGCAAATTTCATGCAGTGTGTGACCCAATTGGGTTTGTTAGTGATGATATTATGTTGATTAAACCTGAAAGATTAAGACGTAATAAAAAATATATAGTCATCTCAATTCTGCAACACCCAGAAAAACAAGATAAGACATAGTAGAGGAAAGGTCTTTTTCAAGCAATGCAATTTGCAATCTCAATTTGTAAGCAGTGCAACCTCAATTCAAAACAGTTTATTACCCTGGGTTCCAGGAGAGCGTCAAGTGGGAAATGGAGCGTCGAGTGAGAAATGGAGCGTCGAGTGAGAAATAATGCAGTGCGGAACATATTGTAAGCTTTGAGATTACCGTAAATGACCAATTAAGCGCCCAAATCTCAAATAAGCACCCAGTTTGTATAAGCGCTCATCTTTAGGCAAAAAGGTGTTAATAAACATTGGAGGCTCAAACTGGGCGCTTACTCTGAAAAGATGACATAATTGTATTGAGAAAGTAATGTTCTATTTGGTTGACTTTTGTATCACAGATACAGGGAAGCTTGCTGATAGTGTTAGTTACAATTTGTAATCTATGATGGCACTGTTCAGTTTTTTCATGCTACTCAAACAAGCAGGGCAGAGCTGATATCTCAGTTGACACATACATTTTTAGCGACTAGAACAGTAAGGTCCTAAGTTGTTACTCTGAGTTTCACGTTGCTCTGCCTATTCGGCATTGAGCACCTTATGACAGACCAGCAAACATAAATTTTCAATTGGCGCATATGCAATAAATACAGCTGCATCCTAATTATTTATAGTATGAGAGTTGTAGCTCAGTAAGTCTTTTCTATTGTCTCATTTACAGCTGACTAGTGTATAGCTAAATGTTGAGCACTTAGCGTTGTCATTCTTTATGGAGATAAACAATGTCAAAATGACTGATATCCTAAAAACTTTTGATTACCGCAAGGGATTCTAATAAGCAGCCAGCAAGTTCGAATAAGCGTCTATTCTAACAGCTTGAAAATTAAATAATATTCTGCTTTTTACAGTAGTTGTTTCGGTTGATTTGAACCATTGTTGGTAAAATTTGAAGAGAAAAGACCTAAATAAAAGAATTCAATCTTGAAAATAAATGTGTTTGGTCGACGAGCCAAGATGATAATATCTAATACACATTCTTGCAAAAACTTTCATTTAGCATAACATTCTAAAAAACGTGAGCTGTATCACACTTTGTAAAAACAATGCTGCTCGTAAATAGCACCTTTTTAAATAGCAAATTGTCAACTAATAATAAGCATTATGATCTTTTTTAATTAAACACGTCAGTTTTGCTTCTTTTGTTGTGTTGTATTACTAGCAGATTAAGGACCATTGAAGAATTTATCAAATTCTTCTTTCAAGAATTTATCAAATTCTTCTTTCACTTTTCTTTTTCAATTTTTCTTTTACTTTTTAAAGGCAATCGGCAGATACATAAATGGCTTCAGCCATTTTCAGACATCTGTCAGTCAACAATTGGCCAATCATTGAGCGTGATATGACTCGTGTGCTTACTGATTGGCTAATATTGATTGGCAGATAGCTTAAGCCACTTTTGTATCTGTCGATTGCCTTTAAGGCTAGCATAGTAAGTTCACTTCGCCTTGAATTCCTTTTTAGATTTAAATATTCATCTAGATCGGCATTTCATATGCATTTTTGGTAATGTTTGTCAAAAGAGACGCCTAGCCTACTGTTTGACCTCAACTTCGACCAGAAGAAAGGCTCGGATGTCGCTATTAACGCTGCTTCGTAACATTAAAATTTAAGCGCCAAAAAAGCTTCAAAGGTATAATCTTCTTAAGAAAAAGAATGCCTAGCTCGTCAATAGGAACAACTTCTCGTTTAAAAATTCCTTTGACAATTCTTTATTTGCGACGTTTGGCGACAAGCTATTTGATACTTAAGATTGATTCATACTTAAGATGAATGTTTAATTATTTGTGTCACAGCAGCAGCTCTGTTTGTGAATTGCAATGAAAAAGTGAAAACCCGAAAGATAGAGGTATGGGCGTAGCCACAGGACAGCAGGCAATTGAAAGGGCTAGCGGGCTTGGCTGAAGAACTGATAGACGAGGAACAATGTATCGATATTTTTAAACATAGAACATGTATGGAAACATAGATCTCTAAAACTATCCTGGCGGAAGTTGCACTCGTGAACAAAGAACTGCATGAACTGATTGGTCTATAGAAGAGCTAAAATTCTGAGTGCATTGTTTTAGAACATTTTATAACTGGAAATTATACATGTCAGTGCTTGAACAAGTACGCTTGTCAAGTAATAGTTTGTAAACCAAATTTAACCCAATCTACATGAGCAAAAAAATTTATTACAGAAACATTTTCACGGAAAATTTCTCGTGTAGATGAGGCCTTAGATAATGGCGACATATGCTTCTGCACAATCAGATTTTGCAGGAAAAATTAATTAGAAAAAAGAGCAGATAACGAAAAAGCTGAAAATTGAGGAAAGAATAAGAGCTACATCACTGAATTGAGTAGCCAGGTATTGACTGGGTATTAATGAGTAGGCATTAATTTGCTGGCATTTAGCTACTTTTTGAAGGCCCAATTCAAGATATTAAGATTAAAAATGAAAAAATGAAATAAAATGAGACTAAAATGTACCTGACTGACTTCCCATTCGTCACCGTCCATGAAATTTTGATACAGTTCTTGCATTATATATTTTCTATTAATGAATTTGTTCTTATCCCATAACCATTCATTGTCGTTCGCGAGATTTTTCATCTTGACTTTCACCTAGAAGAAAGAATAAAAATTAACATGCTAATGAATAGCAATACAGCTAGCCTATTCTATCAGCGATTGGCTAAAATAGACAATGAGGTTTCAGCCTTAAAACGCCAGCTTTGCTTGGCTTTTATCGCCAATTTTTTCCTCAATCTCAACCAAGTACGAATTTTACCTCAAAACTGACCACATCAGATAACAGACTGCTGTTATAAAAAATACTCAATTACTTTCCTCCCAGGTAATCGTGGAACAAGCATAATATTACAGCAGGTTTATCAGACATGAATTGAAAGATCTTGGGTGTGGGGTGTAGGAAAAAAAGTTAATGGGCAAAAGTTTCCTATATATGCAATAAACTTGAAGAAAGGTGGAAACAATTAACTTTGACATAGTCACCTTGTTTTGGAAACGTATGTGTATCATCATTTGAAAATAAACAACTTTTAAAAAACTGGAAAGGAATGTTCGCTAGGTACTCTGCTCACTTCAAATTGTCACTTCAAACAAACTTTTGAACTTTTGTTGATAAGGCAGCCGTAAAGCATTTCGTGTGACAATAATGCATAGTTTTGTTGCATAGCAAGAGTGCCAAGCTAAGAAACACAAGTGAAATTCGGTATTTTATAAGACAAAGTTTCCCAGTCTGGCCCAAGCTTAAGCTTTTGAGAAATCCCTATGAAATAAAACCTATGAAAACCTGTCAGTTAAATCCGCTATGATTTTGAATCTTGCACAAGTCTTTCCCAACAAGCCTATTGAGATTAGATAGGTTAGAACCTCCATAGTAGGTAGATTATCTCTAGCCAGGCGTCTCTCGCCCAGCTATAAAGATTTCCATAAAAATCTTATTCTATGACTAAGGTCGCGTCTCTCAGTTCTTTAAAAACAAACGAGCTTTAAAATCAATGGAAGTTTACTAGCGGCTTTAGAAGACTCCTCACTTCTACTCATTATAACACATGACGTGCGCACAAGATAATGTCGGCAATCTAAATTCACTCGTTTTTATCATATAAATTCTGAGTCTTAAAATTGACATGTAAACTGCCAAAAAAGTTCAGTTGACTCAAACTGAATATACTTCTGATTCTTTTTCAATCAACAAAGTTTGTGCCTTCTTTGCATCGTAATAGAGCTATAGAAGTGATTATCAACATTATCACAAGTCTGATGTACCAACACAGTTTTGAAGCTTAAATGTTACGCAGCTAAAACAGATCAAAACACTCTGCAGCTGTTCAGGATGTCTTCGCCTTAACAGTGTTAAATACGTTTATACGCAAGCAGCTGCAACAACAACCAACGTTTTCTCCCGATGCGATCTAAAAGCTTTTACATGAATATTCTACAAAGAGAAATCACTGAAAAAATATATCTTATAGCTGCAGCTTTCAAAGGCAATGGAAAGACAAATAACAAAGTGTTTCGGCATTGATCATTGCACGGTATTTGTTAAATGAAAGCGTACAACGCAGCAGAATTTGATGGTACGATAATAAACCCCACTGAAAAATGCAGAAAACGTCTACCGTAATAAATCTCCAATTTTTGGATGAAGTTCAAAACTTATGATGTCGTGGAACAAATTCTTGCTAAAAGTGTTCACTGGAGACAAGATTGAAATACGAATTAACAAATCTCCAAAATAATCTTAAAAATAGTAAATTGACACTTTTGTCATAAACAATCTTTAAGACGTTTATATTGTCCTCTCTCCTTTGCATAAATTGACATAAAACTCACAAGAGCTTGAATTCTCCTTCAACTAGGTAACCTCTTCATTTTTATGAAGAACATGGAAGTAAAAGCGAATAACATTGATTGTATTGAATTGTGAATGCAATATTGATTCCAAACATTATATCCGTTAACTAGCGGAGGACCACCTAAGCAGAGAAGATTGAATTGCAGGAAAAGTGCAAAGCTTTTTCTTCTGCATCAGATGCGTTGATCAAGATAAGCAGATGTCTGAAAATACACAAGGCAATGCGACGATACCACGCAGCTGGTGCTAATAGGCTGATAGTGTAAAATGTCTAAAAGCACACGAATTTTCGTCAATTTGCCTCTGGCGGTCTTGGCCTAAACTTTTAAAGACTGAAAGAAAGGTTAAAGCTTCAAATACAACAGGAACTTCAAAATAATTACTTCAGTGCGGCCACTTTTAAGTCCTCTTGCTTGTGGAGAAACGAGCACAGGCTCAAAGGAAACCTGAAATTAAAAAGTCAATATAAAAGACAAGAGCAGACAAACGTTTTCCTTCCTCTTGTAAAATATGTTCCATACAATGAAAATGTTATATCCATGAAAACCCGAAGTAAATGTAATACTGGAAGCATTGAATTTAAAGGACAGCATCATTATCAACGCGAAAATAAAACAATGCAACAGGTTTTTGGTTCGCAGGCAACATCGAATAACAAATTTTTCGCATAACGAATTGATTTGATTTTGATTGATTCCATCGTGATTCATTATAAAATATTTCTAAGCTTCTTGATACATTTCTATACAAGATTATAGAAATATACAGGCTCAATAGGCATCGATGATTGCATTTAATAAAGGGGAGAGGGGCAAGTAGGAATTTACACCCACCTTTGAAGAAAATATCCGTTTGAAAAAACGAGAATATTGCCATTAAGGAGTGTTTCATCGGTGAATTTTCAAACTTTGTTGCAAATACAAAATGGTCAATCCCCTTCGTTGGCTAGTGGGACCAGGACACCCCTCTTGAGCACAGAAGCCAGCGACAGACCTGGCACTGAAGCAAATTCTATGCAGCTCTTCCAGAAATTACTTGCATACTCTGAAATTGGTATCTATGAACAAACAAACAAAATCGATACCTTTTTGTTTAATTCTTCACTCATTGCATTTGCTTCGTTTATCATCGGTAGAACTTTCAGTAAATCTTCTTGGAGTATCAGATCATCTGATGGAGAAAAAAAGTAAATCTTAGTCACAGGAAGCAGCATAGAATTAATAAGATGTGTCAAACATTTGTTGGCAGAGATATGGATGGAGACAGTTTCCTTCTTATTTCACCTGCCATCAGGCGATTTCACTGATGAAACACTGGAGGCTGAGACCCACCCCAAACATCCCCGCCATCTGTAAGAAATTGATAATAAATAACTTACTGGAGAAAAAAGGGTCTAATGTTACCTAGCAAGGAAGTTTTGGATTTAATTTTAGTTAAAATGTCTTAAAATATCTTGAAGATGGGACGAAAAAGCCGAAACATAGCATACTTAACTACTTTTTGTTCGACACTCTTCAGAGTATAAAAGTCGGGGAATGACCGACGGTAAGCAGAAATTTGAAACCAAGCATGGATTTCTTTCTCACGTTGCATTCAATCCGTACCTGGATATGAAATATAATGCTTACTTTCGGTCACTATCAGACGATTTACTCTGTGATGAAAAGTACTATGCTACTTTTCTCCTTTTTCGAACCATCTTCAAGTGTTTTTATGACACTGTTGCATTATAAAGCCTTATGTTGAATTCATATTGTCGCACAAAAATCATGACAGGAGGAAATGTCATTCAAGGATAGCAAACCATTAAAGTATGGAGTATCATAGACACCAAATAATATAAATCATGAAAGAAAACGTAGATGCGAAAAAACTGAATAGAGAATGGAACAAACGAATAAGAAAATAGGGAAAGAACAGTCGATCAAAGCAGAACATAAGCAAGAGTAGAATTAAAAAATCAAGGTAGAAAAGTGGGAGAACCATAAAAGAAAACTGGATCAAGGATATAAAAAAAATCACAAAATTATGAAAAACTGGAAAACAAAGAAAGAATTTGGAAGTAAAAGAAAAGTATAAATCGTGGTGGAGCAAAAGATGAGGGGAAAACAGAGCATCAAAAAGTGTTGGAAAATCGCGGGGACAGAAAAATACAAGAAACAGGAGAAATAAAATATTTTGTAAAAACATAAAATCAAGGAAAGATTGATAAGTGATGTGAATGGTGATGGTCAGGCTAAGGCTCTAAATGCAGAATGACATGATTTTAATATGAGAATAATGGATGAAATGAGAAGGAATATTAAATTAAGTATTAATAGAAGAAACTTGAGCTCCTGCATCACAGGTATGAACATTTTCTTGACGGCATTTCTTTGAAAAAGCCAAAATCCCAGTTAAAGTGAGATAAGAGGAGATTTGTCGTGCAGTTAAAGGAATTATGTTCTGATGCATTGCTGGTCTTTTAATTTCCCGTGTTTTTTGATGAAAAACGTTCTGCAAAGCCTATTGTTAACTCAGGACGGTTGATTAACGAGGCATAGTGCCTTCTAACATAGAGACATCAACACAGAAACAGCTGATGTTTGCAAGGTCTGAGCAAGTTGCTTCCTCAGCAAGGAGTTTCATCAGTAGACCTCAAGGATATTTAAAGAAAGGCTTTCCAACATACCTTTAGAAGACTTGTTATTATCCTGAAGACCACCATAGAATCCAGAATTCTTGGCAATTTCCTCTTGTGCTTTTTCATATGTCGGCGGCTCTTCTGGGGCGGATTCACCAATCTTTTTGGCTTCTTCTTTTTTTTTCAATATTTCAGGATCATGTGGATGGTGCAACACATACAGATGATTAGATCCAAACATTACCCTATAAAAGTAAGAACCAACAGTTAACTATGCATAAAAGAAGCTGAAACAAATTGGATATATATTTCAATCGAAGAAATACATATCTGGCATATCAACTGAAACATAATAAAGAAGTAAACAAAATAAAAATAGCTAATGAAAACCAATTTACATTCAAATACGTCCTTGCTGAAAATTATTCTACCTTTCTTAAAAAATCTAATACTATTAAGAATTCTAGGCAGCAGAAAAGTGTATGCACTCATTTTCATTTCATCTTCATTATTTACACATACTAAAGTTATCAAAATTGTGTATATACATGAATTGCTTTAAAACTGTCCTGTACAACGAAAATGTTAAACCCTAAAAATTTACAATACGAATAAAAAGCATAGAATAACAAAGAAAAAAGAAGTTAAAAATGCTGGAACGATCACCAGGAAGAAAAAGGGTTTCTTTTACATTCTGAAGTTTTCGAGACAGGATTTAGACTGTTCGAAATTTTTATTCAATTTTGTTTAGCGTCGAGGCTATTCCATAGTTTTGCTTCTCTAAAAGAAAAGCATTTTAGCCCAACTCAATAATTTCAAACTAGGCAAAAAAATCTTAAGTATCTATTTTCTTAATCTGACTATAATACTGACTATAATCTGACTAGAAGGGTCATTTTGGGCTAGATTATAAAATATATAAGGCGTCAAAATATTCACCTATCATTGTGGTGTAAAATGGTTGGATCTACAATTTGGACCCCATTGACGACGACCTTAGCATTTGGTCCAGCTGAAATCTTGATTGTGTTGTCATCATGGGTGATCGATGCGTGAGATTTTTGTATGCTAAAGAAGAAAACCTTTGCCCGTGAAACAAAGAAGAGAATCAGTCTTCCTATTCCAAAGTAAAAATAAAGATATCTAGCCTTGTTTGTAAAAGTTTGTAAAGCCAAAACTATTTCAAGATTTTGCTGAATACTGGATAATTTTATCAAAAAAAAGGACAAACAAATAACCATCAATCTGTTAGCAAACAAAAGGCTCATCCTTCTACTCTACTAGAGTCGTGACAGAAAAATGGTTTGTGGTAACAGGTGTTTTTGGATCAAACTAAAAAGACTAAAGCCAAGCCAAGACTTGACGGGCAATTACAAAACAACGGTTTATGGAAAAAAGATATTTTTCCTTTCGGATGAAGTTTCCTTTCACATGATGTATAAAAATCAACTTCTTCCTTCAAATGAGAAAACGAAATTTGAATTATAGGTAAATGAAAAACACGTTTCCAGCCAAACTACACGAACTTTTCTGGATAATACCTAAATTTCAATTTACGCTTTGACGTATAAAACAGGACGATTTTAAGAAGGAGTTCCGAGCTTCATGTGATCATAAGGCTATTGTCAAACAACTAAAAATTATATTTGGTGGTTGTGTCATATACAGCTCTGTCTACGTGGCATCAAGCACTTTATGACATAAGGAAAAAATAGAAATTTTCATCAAATTTCCAGCTAACTTATAGTTCAAATTTGTAAATCTACGATATATAGATTCAAAATTAAAGAATGAAAACTTCATACTTGATTGATATAAATTATGATTTGCTATTAAAATTTCAAACCTTAAACCGGTCAAGACAATATCAGGAGGTGGATCAGCTTTCTGGTTGCCAATTTGGGAAGAGCCTGAAATGACATCACATTTGAAGTCATAAATGCTGGATTAATTGCAAGACTGATAACTCTCAGATATTATAAACAGAGCAGTAGTGTCGTGCGTCAGAAATTCAAAACGATAAGGCAAGAGAAACTGGGGTTTTCATTCACGTACAGTTAAAAATCAATTAGCAAACAGAAGATATCGGCGAACCAAGATGCTTTTATAGTAGATGTTAAATCAATTTAAAAAAGACACAAGAAAAGCTGCGTATAAATGCAGATCACGTGAAAAGCATACTTAGATCTTTGCACTTTAGTCACCTTGGTTTTACTACATGAAATGTTATGTTTTACAGCAAAAAACAATGTCCACAAAGCCTTTATGAAAAATATCATCACATAGCCAAGAAGTCTAGCTTCAAAACAGAAGACGCCTATCAATCTTGATATATTCTTGAATGCATTAAAAAAGGTTTGATCCCTAGGCTCTCAGGTTTGGAACAATATTTCCATTAATTGCTGCCTATGCTTAATGGACTGGAAAATTTATCAAAAGATCATCCTGTTTTCAACACCACCCATTTCAAGAAAAGCTGATACATAGCCACGTTATTTTACATCAAAATTAGCTTCAATTGTATCTTGTGTATTCATATCATTATATCATTCATTTTCTTAATCAGTTTTTTGCGGATAAGAATCTAAAAAGAAACAATTATGAATAGAAAAAAGGTTAGATAAAACTGAAGTTGCCCTACAAAAGTTTTGGGGTTATTTAGGATGCAGAGAAAAGCTGAAAATTAAAGAAGCAGATGCTTCTATGGTATCTTAATGAAATTGCAATTTTTCCATGTAGCCGTATAGTCCTAGCATATTGGTGAATGTAATTTCTAGTCGTATCTGTCATATGAGACAGAATTAACTCTATATCATACGTTCGGCTGTAAGGCCGTATTTGCTGTACTCGGCTGTTGCATCAATGTTTCCATATATTCGTATTAGTCCTACAGGTCGCATCTGATCGATGTGAATTTAAGTCGTATCAGTCACATTAGACAGAATCAATCATGTCTTATCCGACAACGGTATGACCGGCCGTCAAGGTCGTATACTTACTCAGGTGTACGTACACGAATATTTCCATATAGGTGCACGACCTGCATGAATACGACTAATAAAAAGCATACGACAAAAAACAGGCTTAACTGGCTATTCTTTCAAAACAGAACCGACTTACCTGGAGAAACGAAATGAACGACCATATTGGTAAGCTGAGGGTCCTCGTTTAGATTCCAAAAATGCGCCGTGGTCTTTCGCTTCTCTTGCTCTGACATGACGGCAGCCACCTGAGCCTAGAACAACCAAATCGACAATCAGATGAGACCACTGTAGCCTTCCTTACCACACGGCTTAATGCTATAACAGCTTCTTTTGCTTATCTCGTGCTTGTTTACTGACTGATATTCAATAATCAATCAATCAAATCTCCCTTACTTTTGAGGACTCTTCCTGTTCCATGAGTCGTTGCTGCCAGCTTTTCTTCATTTCTTCCATCTCAAGTTGATTTTGCCGCAGCTGTCAAAGACGAGACAGAAAAATCAGAATAGAAACCACTCCCATCATTGCTGAAAACTCTTTTCTGACATTATCTAAAGACCTTCTCTATGTTAAATAATTAAGCAAACCTGATGGTTTCATGCTATCAAATAATGCTACAGTTGGCCGGATTGGAAAGAGACTGAATCGAATGCAAATTAGAAACGTCAAAAACAATTTCAATTTTTCAGAAAATAAAGTTTAGTGTAGCAATGCGTAAGAAAGGTCATTCAACGAGCATAAAGCTGTATGCTGCAGTCAGGAGGAGCAGAGGTGGCGCCAGAAATCTTCCGACAGAGGGGCTGGAGCTTCCGACAGGGAGGCTTAAATGACTAAAATAAGCAGTTTTCGTACGTTATTTTGTCAAATTTGCTTCGACAATAACCTAAAATTTCCTCCGATGGGGAGGGCTAGATGCTTCCGACGGAGGGGCTGTAGCCCCCCCCCCCCTAGCCCTCCTCTGGCGCCACCACTGAGGAGGAGCTATGGAAATTAAGGAGGCCCTTGGTTCTGATATGAAAAATAAAATTCATTCAACGTCAAAACGTAAAAATTTACTCACTCTGTCTTCCATTTCCTTTTTTATTTCCTCTACCTCTGCAAATGTACGGAAGATTAAGATTGACACATTTTAAGGCAATTTTTAACAATAATTTTTTAAATTAAAACTATTGCTTCTACTAAAAAGATGCAATCTTGGTTTAACAATAATTTAGAGCTCTGGAGTATGATGAAAAGTACTAGTAATAGTTCTAAAAGAGAAGATAAATTAGGATAGGAAAGAAAAACTATGATACTCTATATCTTTATCTATATCTGTATCTTTTAAATTTATACTCCAAAAAATAAGAACATTTAGCGTTTACTTTGATGAAGTTCAGTATGCCGGTGGGAAATATTGGCTAACTTTTACTGTAATTTCAATTTTCCGCATTTCAAATTCGATTTAATTACTCTGGATTGCTTTCCGTCATTTTGTGTTGTTTCTGTCTATTGATTATTATTACATATAGAGGACGGCCTAATCCAGCGTCTTTTTTCTGGCATAAGCAACAACAATGTAAAATGCAATCTAGTTGTAACCAAAATATTGATTACAGACCTTCCTCTGAAACTCCCCCCTGTTGCTGCTGTTGCTGTTGTTGTTGCTGTGGTTGCTGTTCAAGGGGGATTCCACCAGCTTTGAGCGCATTCAGCAGTCGCTCATTTTCTTCACGTAGTTCTCTGATCAATTTTTCGGTGGGGCTTTCGTTAACAATAGCTTTCGTCTTGATGGCTTTGGCCCTGTCAGCTTTAAATTGAAGCACAAATTGAACGAAAATGTATTAGTGAAAAACAGTAGAGTAATACACAGATAAACAGTAAAACCCTTTTTACATGAAACCGGTTCCAAAAAGATCTGCATCCATTTCAGTTCATTAAAGTGAAGTATTTGAAAGCAGTCTCGTGTGAACAGGAGTAAGTAAACTCAAATAGATGCGGATCTTTTTGCAACCGGTTTCTTGTAAACGGGGTCTAAGATGGCTTAAGGCCCACCTCGCGTTAGCCTGCGTGCAAACTTACAAATAGCGGGTATGCAATTGGACAGAGACCTCGCTTCGGTCACAGAGAACCAACAGTGCTCGCCTGGGTAATAGAACCAACAGCGCTCGCTGTGATTCTACTCCCAAAGAAACTTTGTGAGATCAAGCTGCAATGAGCCAATCTGGTCAGTAGATTTCACAGCACGCGAGCGAGCGAATGAACGATTGAAGCGGCGGTGCACTTTTACACATGATAAATTGCTGGAACAGGAAGCATGCTGCTAGTGACAGGATTCAAACCTTCAATTTATGTTCTTTCTGTGGTACCTGATATAGTTTTGCATGAATAGTAGAGAGCTCAATGAAATACAGAAGAGGACTTGAAGACATGATTTACTAAAAAAACAGCGATCTTCATGATTCCTATGAAGACAACGTCAAAATTTCATCATTTTTTTTGGCAGAATAGGGAAATCTTTCGCGTTGCTACTGGGCATTTGCATATACTTTTGCTACATAATCTTGATCATGCCACAGTTGTCTAGTATCAACCGAGGATTTAAAATATAATATCCTTCAAAAGTAATCTCATTTAGCGATTTTTGATAAAAAATACGTTGTTCACACCATATCGTTTCAATAAAAGTATTTGCTTTTTATTCACATTTCCACAGCGCTAGCAGCGACTCTTAAGAGGGAGGCTTAGATAATACTTTCATAGGAGTGACCTGTCACACAGTATGTCTATAAAAAGCCATTTAACTTATTCTCTTTTCATTCATTCTTTTAGATGATAATTGCAAAACTCGCATGGTAAACATTTCATAAGTATTTGTAGCTAGTTAGCCCTTACACTCTATGATCCTCTATAACTCTGAACAAACTCACTTTATTTTATCAATATTTCATTATATTAATTAAAGAGGACGAAACGATTCAAAAGACAACATTGCGAAAATCACAATTTCTTAAAACATTATGCGCTATTTCACTGTTAATAATCTGAACAGTACATCAATCAGACTTACGAATAACACTATGGCTATTCTTTGGAAAGAATCCGCCCCACAGCTTTCGAATCTTAACCGACACAATTTCAAGTTCCCTTACCAAATCTAAGCGTTGACAATGTTTCGTCATGGTTGATATCCGCTGGACTGAGTGCTGCAATCTAAAAAAAATTCTCTTCAGCGTAAGATTCTCATCCAGACAGCATTTTAATGAAAAAAGGAGAAACCAACTTGCAGTCATATTCGTGATCATGAGAATTTACAATTTCATGAAAAAAAGAAGTGTTCGACCATATGTATTTTACTTTAGATCGCTCAATAATTTGTTTTGATTTTGACAGTCTTTTAGCTTGTGATAAAGTGTTCTAAAACACATGTATTACAAAAATCTGGAGAGGAGATGATCGTCGAATGATTCGTTTTCACACTTTATCTACATTTAGATATTCTATGGCTGCCGTAGTTGAAAAGGAAATAATAAAATCAGGTTTCAACTACGACAGCCAGTAACAAGAATGTGAAAATATAATTCTAAACTAAAAGATATTTAATTTCGTAATTAACAACAGCATTAACACCGGGCGTTTCAGAAAGAGGAACCATTCAAACTGGGAATACTTCAAACAAGACACCCAGCAGAAGAAATCTTACATAAAAATCAGGAAAACTTTGCTAGTATCTATGACACACTGTGTTGGTATCATAGAATTCTGCGTTCCCTGAAGAAAAAAGGCCCAAATGAAACAGATATCAGAGGTCTCTTTAACCGAAAATGTTGTGATTCACAAAGTTTAGAAAGCAAAATATTTTGAAGGACCCTAAAACATTCATTATATTGCTAAGGGTCCAGAAGCAGTTGCTTCTTCCTCTTTCTCTCTATGTGGCCATGTTAACAGCATTTTGTCCCGTTGACCAACCGTTCAGAACAAATAATAGTCTCGTTTATGATTGACAGAACGTCTAACGTGGCTGATTGGATACGTAACAAAAGGTCTATTGTAAAATCCAGCCTCGGATGGGAATTTAAACGACCATCAAAATATGTCGTGACATAGGGCCTTTCAAAACATTGGCAAACATTCATCATACCATGACTGTCTTACTGTTCCCTCCGAGTGCATTTTTTAACAGTCTCGTTAACACGGAGTCTCGAAATGGAACTGAAATAATAAAACAGCATAAGATTAATACTGGTAATGATTATAAAATGTTAAGCAAATGCGTATGGTTGTATAGAAAAATCCTTGCTGATATAAGTTACAGGTGAATATAATATTCATAATACTTGATATGAAACGGCTAAAACGCAAAACGGATTCTATGTAGCAGATGTAAAATTAACCGAAAGTCTTCGGCTGTCTTCCTAAGAAGATCTCTCCGAACGTCTTTCTAGTACTTTCAAAATCATACATTAAATACTCTCAGTGAAGCTGAACAAATAAATATATTTTTTAAAAGTATGAATCAAGCAAATACGAAAAATATCAGTGATTCTGAAGGTAAATTCATCAACATCCAACTACCACTAAATGTGTGTCAAGACAATACTAGGAAGCAAAAATATTATCACTATCACCTATCACATTCTTTTTCCCTGTGCTTTGGTCAGCCAGTGCTGCAAAAGGGGTGGAAATAAGTCAGTCAAACCTTTCTGACATTTGGAACAGCGAAGGTTCTCTATTACCAGTGAAATCTTGAAGTTTCTCTCTTTCTGATCATTTTCAAGGGCTCTCATTATATTCCAGCGGTTTGACATGGTGACAGGGCACCCTTTCCGACAGGATATGCGTAAAATTTTCAAAAAGTCTCTTTCTAACAGTTATACTATAGAAAAAAATGTTTTTGTTATACTTGCGAGTCAAACGCTAAACAGTTTTCTAATGAAGTAATTCAACTCCAGTTCCTAAACTGTGCTATTTTCAAGATGAGGCAATTGATTTGTAAAGTTTATTCATTTAACTGGATATTCTATATCTCCGAATCATCAGAATCTCGGGGAGACGAATGCTTTAAGCAAATAGTAGAATATTTTTATTTTAAACTTTTTTTAAATTTTAAACAAATTTTAAACTTGCAGTACCTTATTTTTCGTAAATGTACATTTACTCATGCTCCCAATTATATTGGTAAAAAATAAATTTTGTCATTTAAAGCTTATTTCAAATATTTGACAGATAAACTTTTCTAAAACCAGAAACCCTTTAACTTTTCACCCTACCCTCATTTTAACTAGCTTTTAGCCAGAGAACAACACACTATAAAATTAATTTCATATATAACATAAAATACTCATAGTTACGATATTTTAGAGGTTCCGCAGAACACTTCACTCGCTGATTCAAATATTATTATCATAAAAACTTAATCCGACAAAGAATATTCATCACTAAAAGTTTTACCTTTAATAACATTCCCCAAAGAAGAGAGCGACTGATTAATCGCAGATCCTTCCTTAAGTCGGTCCCCTGTAGCACCTGTCGAATCCGCTCTTTCACTGTTACAAAAAAGACAATGCGATGTCAGAACGGAAAGCTCACGTTTGAAGCCATGTAGTCATATAGAGCGCTAAAGCACTCAAAACATCAAATCCCTAAATTCGAATTGCGTGGACTTTACTTAAAACTTTTGGAAAGAAATTTAATCTGAAGGTTGGGGATCCACTTCAAAGAGAATGACGAATAATGATCTATAAATTATGATTACCAAAGTTTTTGAACGGCTTTATCCAGCAAACGTACGGACAATAGATGGCAAATAGCAATTTTTGTTGAATATTATCCCATTTTATAAGTTACTTTATAAGTTATGAGCTGGAAATTTTACAGTATCTTGTGATGCATATCTAAGTATAAAGAAGTATGCATCCCAACTGCACCTATTTTATTGCAAATATCAGTTAGGCCGGAGCACATCTATCCTACATAATGGGAATTAGCTTCAGATGTCGTATCTAAAAGGAGGCTGTCAACTCGGACAAGAAAGATAAAAATATTGCAACTCAGATGAATCCTGATATTACAAACTATCCAATGCTCAGAAAAATTTGATTTTTCCAAAATGTGAATTCAACATGCTATAGCCTCATTGACATCCCTTGTGGAGCAAAACCAGGCGAGTTTTAACTAATGCATTAGGAATACGAGTACACACTTAAAGCAAAAATTGTTAACAGTACTGAGAGATGCTAGGCAGCTGCAAAGCGTTATGCAGCTGGGAGCAAAGAAGAATGTTCCTATACCTTCCTGCAAGATCGACCAGGTTGATGATTGACGTCATGGTTGTGTTTTGGCCGGCAGCATTGGCTCCTTTTTGACTGAAGCTGATCGCCACAATTGTATGAGCACGGCTATTGAAATACAGGAAGATAAGAATTAAGAATTGCTAGCCCAGCATTACCATACAAATTATTTTGTCATATTGATCATTAATGATAAATATCTTTGCTAGGCCATTTAATACAATACTTGCCATGAAATAGTTTCTAAAACTTTTGACAGAAGGATTATAAGACAAGACCACTAGTCTTAATTTTACATTCTGATTTGTAGCTGAAGTGTCTGGCAAAGATCAATTTACCATCAAAACAGAAAAATATTTATATTTTGAGTGTCATCATATATTCCAGAATCTTATAATTCTACAATTTTTATATTTCTACAAATTTACAGTGTTATCAACAAATTATAGGACATTATCAAATATCATCCATTTGTATCCAAAAACTATATTAGAAAATGTTGCCTCAAATCACAAGTGAGTTTTTCGAAAGTACAGAAAAACATCCACAATGACAAAAAAACTTGCTTTTATATGTATTTAGGTGAAGATCTTTAAATCGAGTGTGAAGTAAAAAATTCTGCAATATTTTAACTTCAATGTTTTGCCGAGAAAAATTAATATCTTTCAGAGATTACAACCACTTTAGAAATAGCTCCCTCTTTCTATCTCTTGTGGTTGTCTCTAAAACAATAAACAACATTAAGAAAAATGAAACTGCTACCTTACCTGCTAGTTGCGTTCATATTGGTTGAGGCAACTGTTCTGCTTTTTGTACCAGATTCAATTTGTGCATCGATATCCTTATAGCTTCCAACTGGTCGAGATGTTAATTGTTCAACTAGCAAAGAAATGAAGGAATTGCACGTTTTCAACAAATTTGAAAATTTATAAGGTACCAGCTGTTAGTAAAACACTTTTAAACAAAGCAAGTCTTCTTTCGAGGCCAAAAGATTGACAAGGTAGACTAGACAATGAAACCATTTAAATTGCAACAGGGTGTTGTTTTCCCCAACGATACCAAACCCCTCTCCCTTGCAGCAATGTTGGTAATTTGGTAAATGCATTTATTCTAGCAATCAAAATAATTAGAAATTAGAATATCAACATTGCCTGTAGGGTTGGAAGGCTTTTTTGCCAGTCAGTCCAATAAGTTAGGTCACGATTGTTGGTTGGTACCAAAGATGGTGCAAAAGCTTTTATTGTTTTATGTTTTTTTGCTGTTCTGCAACGTTATAAGAATAATAGGCTTAAGTCAGGAAGGTAGCAAAATGCGATCAAAATGGTGATTAAATGAACTGCAAATGGAGAGCATTTTTGTCCTTTAGTTAATTTTCTCGATATGTTATTGTTAACGCAATGGTCTTTTGCAGTATGCTTAGAAATAGTCCTAATGTCCTTTTTTATGCGAATGCTGAGGAGTCTTTTGGTCTCACAGGGGTTCAGATATCTTGACAAGCGTGAGTTTACTTTTTCTTGTGAGGCTTAATTACATGTGCATTGTACGTTCTTCCCTAATCCTCACACAGTAATCCTGTTCCTTTTTAAGAATATTCACAGTTTTTGAGCATCTTTTAATCTTTTGAAAAGCTTAATGCTTTAAGATAGACCTGATGGCTAGAATCAGCTCACAGTGGAGATCCTCTCTGTTCCCTGCTCAAAACTACAATTAAAGTCTAAGAGGTAGGTTGAGCAATTTGCGCCGATGAATCAACTGCCCAAATCGCTCTCGATGAGATCTGAATGTAGCCTCACAACTGATCCACTGACAGCCATCTCTGACTCTGACTGTCAGAGATAGCTGTCAGCAGTGGCGGACTGGCAACCATTTGACCCACCGGGAAAAGCAGCCAAAAGGGCGCCAATAGGTGCTAAAGTCACAAAACTTTAGGGCTTGAAAAATGGGCTCGGAAAAACTTTGCTTTAGCTTGTTGCAAGCATTGTCACAGAAAAGGAAACAGGGGATCGAGGGAGGGCCCCCGGAAAAATTTTTGAAATCACCCTATTCAGAATGTCGGAACATGCCCCATGTTGAAAATCAAAGTTTTTTATTTACAATTGGCATTGGCATGAAGAAGATTCTCAGTCAAATTGACTCTATTTGAAACGTCTACACGGCTGACAAAATTTGTAGGTACCAAATGATGTATTGCCCTCAATTTTAGGTATCAAATGATGATTTTCAGCTAGCGAGACACTATCTTCCAAGATTTTACAAAGAAAGCAATTTCTCTGGCCTAGGAGACGAGATTCTTTTCGATTAAAATCGATCTCGAAATCTTTAGAAATTTGACGAAACACATGACTTCATTATCATAAATTTTCGAAAGTTTTGTAGCATATCTTTGAAAAAAGTAAAGGGGTGCCTCGGCACCTGCTAGCCTAATGACTGTGTTGCTCCTGCCTCTACGCTAGAGTTACAAATCATTTACAAAAGATATGTTGCCAGTGCTTCAGCGTGCGGAATTATGATCAGGTATTGAACATATGCTTAAAACTGTAGACTTGTCCGAAAAGTATCTAATAACATATCTTGGGCAAATGGATTTTAAAAGAACCCTGCTGCCGTCCCTTTTGCGCAAATTTATGATTTTGCAGACTGAAGCCTCCTTCTGTATGAGAAACTGTGCGTAGACATGGTAAAAAGGATAAAGAATTTCTCAAGAAAAGGCACAGTCTCTATTCCGGAACAAAAGTTTGAAGGAAGATTGGAATACTTTGATAGATAGTTGTTAATTTGAAACCAGTTTTTTTTCAAAACAGCCGGTTTAACTTTCCATTAAGTTTTAAAGAAGGTTCGTACATGAGGGCATGAATTCTCAACAAATTCCGTATAAAGGTTTTTAAAAAGTTGTCAAGATTTTTGGCTCCAATAAGTCATAATTTCTTTTGGGCACAAAATTTCTGATTGTAACATACAAAGAGTTTTTAGTTGCCTTTGAGTTTTTAGTTGAATTGCAAAATAAAATAGCTCGCCACCATTAGGACAGGACGTTTAGAAAGTATTGTCCTCTATCGTACCTTTAACAGTTTTCACTATTAGGGGATAGTTTATAGCTCAACCCATCTTTGATTACGTAATATATGAACGTTCCCATACCCAATAGCCAACAGATCAATAATTTTATCCAGTTATAACCATTTTGAGTGGAAAGAGAACAGGGTAGTGCTAAATTTATCTTTCTAAAGTGCGAGCTCTCAGTTATTGGATATTAGGCACTAGGAATAGTTTGCTTTAGCCATAAGTCAAACAACTAATATGGTTAGTCATTGTCATGGGTTTCACAAAATTATTAGCCACCTCAATAGATGTCAAATTAATTCAGGTGTGGCGCACTTGCTTGAAAAATTAAAAACTAACGAGGGTTGGAAGTGAGAGAAGGGTTTCTGGCTGCTACATTTGAACAATTTTTTGGCGCTACTAAATTTGAAAATGGCTTTGAAAAGAGCAAACATTTTTAACATACGAAAAGCCTTTTCGTCTGAACCTCTTCAGGGTATAAAACGTCAGAATAAGGGTCATAAAGAACAAGATGGAGAGTAAATACCAATTTCTGGATCGAATTTTCCATCATGTTCTTTTGGACCCTTATTCTGACGTTATATGCTCTCAGAAGTTTCATATGAAAAAGATTTGAGTATGGTCAAAATTTTTGCTTTCTTCAAAGCCATTTTCAAAATAAAGTATGTTCTTTTGAAGGTTTTCAAAAAATCTTACAGAATTTACTGATCAAAATTTCGTCTTCAATGAATTTTACAATAACAAAGATCGGGGAACTTAACAATTAATCTTAATTTTGCTCAACTTAAAAGCAAAGCTAAAATTTTTATGGAAACGTACTTTAGACAGGAGGTCAATTGATGATTGTAATCAATTTTAGTTTTATTCAAAGATTAGTTGCCTTTCGAAGGTTTTCAAGTTTTTGAAAAAAACCCTGGGGCAAAGGCCGCACCCGGTAATTTCCCGGTGTTCCGGTGGGCCAGTCCGCTTCTGGCTGTCAGTGACTCTGAGGAAGCAATATTTACTCTGCAAATTTTATTGTATTATATTTCCATAGTTAGACAATTAAATATGCTGTGCTCCTTTCCTTTTTTCTTTACTCGTATTCATGCTTACTATAGCGTCTTTCCGAAACTTGCTTCAAAAATTCAATATTGAGTTAAATTAAAAAACTCTACGGCTCCTATCTGCATTTTATGGTTTAAAACATGAAATTCATCTCTAAGCCTTTAGAATCTTTAAATTGTTTATCATAAGAAAGCGAATTAAAAATAATTGCACGAATTAGCAGAAAATTATAATTACCATAAAAACCGAGCTTGGGATGTTGTCTCACTTTGAGGCCTCCTTTAAGCTTCAGGGTTGCAGGATTCAACAAATCCCTGACCTATACAAAGAAAAAATGTTTTCATTTCAAAGGAAAAATCTCTAAATGTGACAAAAAAACCAACTAGCAAAAAATTAAATATTCTCCAAGACATAATCATAATGACTGATTTCTAAAGTAAGCTAGAAAATAAGTGATGCCATTAACTCATAGAAAATTACAAAAAATTATATGGTTAAATTACTCACTTGCTCATTGTAAATCTCAAGCATACTAACAGTAACCTAAAATCCAAATATAGAAATTAAAAAAGTGAGAACACTAATTAAACTATTCTCACCAATTAATTAAATTATTCTCACCAATTAATTAAGCCTCCAGCCTGAAACCTTAAGTAGTAAAGCAGTAATATTTGTACAAGAATTTGGACGGAATTACTACTTTGTATCTAGGCTTATTTCAATTATTTCAAACTCCCTAAGCTAGAAAACCCTAATCTACCAGACCCATTGCTATAAAAAAGAAAAAGGAAGTATGAGAATGATGATGTTGATGATGATACATTGTAAAATGTCATGATTGCTTGGAAAGACAAGAAAATTTTAATCCCAACAATATGCTATAATCATAATCATCCAATAATCCATATACAATCTTGCAGATGGGGTAGTTTGGACGTCAGGGGCCCAACACATTTTAACCAACATATAGAATGGCTTTATTCAAAATAACATACAAATATAATATATGTACAAACCAGCACAGTCATGGGAGAGAGGGTTAAGAGGCAACATGGGCATGTTTTCAATTTCAGTGCAATCTGCAAAAGTTTTTTGGGACCTTCTAAAATATTGTGGGGGCCAAGACCTCCTCTTTTCCCCCTGCAAACCCCCTAACAATCTTGCACAATGTGCCTACAAAGAAACAGTTGACAAACCTGATATTCTTTATCTGATTTTTCTTCCTTTTTAGCATCAATACCTTGGAACAGTCTCTCACAAGTGATGGGTACTATACCTGAAAAAAGGCAAGAGCACTCAATATTTTCTAAATATGTAAAATAATTCTACATATTCAATATGGCTCCATCCTAAAGAAAGGGCAAAGAGTGTTACTGGTTATTACAAAAAACTTGCAGAGCATTAAACAAATTTCAATAAAATCTATAGTCTTTTTATACTTTTAAGTAAAGAAAAACATTTGCCATCAGGTTATAAGATCAAAAATTTACCTTTATTAGCTCCATATCCAACCATTGAATATGATTTACCAGATCCTGTTTGTCCGTAGGCAAACAGAGAGCAGTTATACCCATTCCAGGCATTCTTTAGAACTCCCTCTCCAAGATCATTAAACACCTTTTTCTAGAATGCATAAAGTGAAAATTAACAATAAGAGATATTACCAGCATGCTAAGATAAGGAAAACTCAAACACTTACAGCAACACTGTCATGTTCTCTGAATCTAACTAAGGGATAAAAACATCATGCTTAAAAGAATTAAAAATAGCAGCACAAGTCCAATGTTCCAATATATATGTATTTATTTACTGTGCTACATGCAAAATATTGAATTCTTATCTAAAACAACCTTTTAGGACTCTAGCTTTGCAAAGCAATGCAAACACAGAAAAATTGTTTGATGTTATACCTGATCACTGTACTTGGGGTCATCAGGCTCTAAATACCCATCTTCCAGCTCTTTGAAGCCATCATGGGACCAATAACTGTAATCAAATGTAAACTTTCTTGGCTCAGCACTAAGATTTTCTGGGTCCTTGATGAGTGTGTTTTGCCCTTGCATCTCTATAATGTTGAAAGCATTGCGACCTTTCTCACGGCCATTGTAAGAAAAAGTCAAGGAAATAGGAGGACTAAAAGCTGCGATCATAACACCATAAATACAAACATAGCTTCACTGGGTTTAAATTTACAGAGGAGAGGGGAACAGAAGCCTGGCAGTTCTGCTTTGAAAATTCTTCTTGCACTATAAACAGAGAATTTAAGTCAAGGGGGATGTCACATTATTTTGGCTATAAACTTCAACTTTGGGTTCAGGTTGCAGGGTTAGTGATTGTTTCACAAAAAGAGCTAGTTTGAATGGATAAGATTTCAATTGCAAAAACATTCTAGTTGACCAGAAGCATACAAAATTTTTTCAAATAAAAATTTTCTGAAATAACTTTGTAGCTTCTTAGATTTACTTTTGTTTGCTCCCATACAAACATTTTTCAAATAAAAATTTTCTGAAATAACTTTGTAGCTTCTTAGATTTACTTTTGTTTGCTCCCTAAAGAGGTCTAGAAATACTGTTCAAGTTAACACCCCCTTGGGAATGTAAATACATTATCCACCATTTCTACTTTTGCAGGTAAGTTGTGTTTAAGGGTGCTATATCAAGAACAAATATAATGTCTATACTTCTAATGACCCAGATAATAAAAATCAATGCAGTATCATTTAAGCAGTTCTTGCTGAAGTCTCTTTTAAATCTAATTTTGAAGTTTTTGTTTTGCGCCTTTCTTCAAGAAACATCTGAACATAACGTAGAATTATTTATTCAAGTATCCAAGTTCTTTTTACCCTCAGAAATAGGAATCTTGTTGGGTTCAGGTAGCATTCATCTTCTGCTGGCTTCAGAAACTTACAGAATAAAGTTCTTTAACATCCGTAAGTCATAAAATGTTAAAAGAAATAGCTGGCTTATCTTGCTGAACTTTGTGATTTTTCTACTACAAATCCATGCAATCCATGTAAAAAGAAAAGATACAAAATTACTATTCTGGGTAATTGATTTGTGCTATCATTTAGGGGTTTCTTGGGTCTTTAATAAGTTGAATATCTGGTATTTAAAGACATTTTCTGACTATTTTGTTGGTTATTGTGTTTTATAATCTGCAGAGAAATGTTTCTGAGAAGGAACATTGCTTCTTTTGAAGAGCACAACTGCAGCAAATAACAACCAAGAAAACCCCCCCCTCCATAATAATACAGATCTGTCGGCTGGAGCCCCCCAATAATTGTCAAACTGTAGTATGTTTCCTTTATAAGAGTGTACTGAATGAGAAATAAAACATTTCTGGTCAAATTCGTGAATCAGTGCTTGTACTTCATGTTTACTACCTTGTTGATCAAAGAAGCTCACGCAGCGATTCACTTCACAATGGGATATTGACTTTAAAAACCACTAATGTTGACGTTAGCAATACAGAGTTGGCAAACAAGCTGATGAATGGGCAACATAGTGGGAGAAATGGGCTTAATTTTCAATCAAAAATTCAAACAAGTCATTAAGTGAATCATCCAGTGATTGCAATGAATTAATTTCTTGCTGAAAAGGCTTCTATGCTCGAATTTGTTCAGAGGCGTCCAATATCATTGGAATAAAGAACATCGATAATATCATGATGACGGATAAGTGATCAGGTTTCCAGTCAATGTTGAACAAATGACAAACTAAATTATTCACCTACATGCCAACAACTTGATAATTTATTATTCTGGTTTTTACGAAAGGATATAAAAGGCCGAACTCTCACAGCAACTTTGATATTTTCGTCCGCCATTCTCGCGTTTTCAAAACTGTATCAATCTTTTTCTCGAATTTTCATTTGCCTAACACTTTAAACCTACCAGGATTCAAACTTTTGAACTGGCGTTTAAATGCTCTAAACGTCCAGAAAGATTTATTTATCGTCTTCTGTAATGTAGTGTGAAAATTGCCTCGACAACAACATGTTTCTAAGAACGCCTGCCGAGATGAATAGAATTATGGAACCTCCTTTCCATTTGCGTCCCTATGGCAAACACAACAACTTTTTTTCTCTACGAAACCTTTATTTGCCTTGATATTAGCTTGAAAAGAGTGACGTAGTGGCGTTGTAGCTAGTCGGGACACCAGGAGATTTCCCGACGGGCCCCTTACAAGTGGCCTTGTAAAACCCAGGAAAATGTTTTAAGGGAATAAATTCTTTGGTGAAATAATATTTCATCTAAATAAACACTCAAGGTCGTAGTGATGAACTAGAGCTTTGGAGATGAACTCAAACATACAGGGCCCCGTACTCATACGCCTGTATAAGAAGGCCCTTATATGAGAAGCAAAGAGATATAGCGAGATCTAGCTGCATTTGAGCCTCGAAGCTTTAAAAATCGAAGAGCTGCTTGCATATGATAGAATTGCCTTCTCAAAGATCTCCAGGTTAGCAAAAGTTTACCGAAGAACTCTCCTGGAAGTGCTTTTGTTCGGGCACTGCACCACTGGGGGGGGGCTTTGGGTGTGGGGCTAGGGTTTTCCCACTTTTTCAGAGATGAAAATTTTTGATCGTCTTTTTATTAACTTTAAGAACAGAATACAAAATAAAAAGAGAACAAACAGTTTATTTACTGCTTGATTTTATTTTATCTATTTACGAACTTAGATCACTTGCATCGATTCAGTAGATAATTTTCTATATCATTGCAATGTCTGCATTTTGGATGTGTAAACATGGCTTACTGAAAATACTCCAGACAAAGAAGATGCACAATTCTGTTCAAGAAGTAAAATTCTCTCAATCAATACAACTTTCTGTTTTGATCACATCGATGTACACCCTGAGCCAAAGTTCACCCTTTCTTTCTTCCCCTAATGTCTGTCACTAGAGCTTTAGGGTGACTCCTCCCCTCTAAAATTTTTCTGAAAAATAATAATTGATGTTTTTCTGAGAAAAATTTCGAATTATCTGTTATGAGCAATATAGTATTTTGTTAAATCTTAGCTGGGAGATGCATTTTCAGCCATTCTAGAAGGATTGTTTTCAAAATTTTTCTTCCCCATCGGACCCAACCCATGGGTCCTCCTATGCCACTAAACTTGATTCTTAGCCCTCAAGTTAAATTTCGTGGCGCTGTCTGTGTTTAGTATGCTTCAAAATATTTGCTCTTTTTCAAAGCCATTTAAAGCCTTAAATTTGAAATTTAAAATAAGCATCTTAGTATTAAAGATACTTAATCCCATTTGGGATGCTGCTCAAACTTTTCTACATCTATATGACAAAGAAACAAACCCAAAAAGCTTATAATTACAAACTGTTGGCCTTATGCTTTAAAATTTTGCTTTCCTTAGGCCGTTTTATACATCCCGTCAGTGAGAACATTTGCTCTACATACCTGGATTTTGAACAATTAATGATCTCTAAATTTCAGTAGTAAGGTATCTTTATTATGCAAGGTACACTACGGTTTCGAAAGCATTGTATCATTTTTTTGGCGATAGAAGACAAGTTTTTTTTCTGTAAAAGTCTTAGTGGAACATTCACTGTTTTTAGTGCTTCTTAGCAGAGGTATTTTGAATGTTCGTCTTGCACAAGAATTTCCTTGTTGCACCATCATTAATTTTTTTTATTTCAGCTGTCTTCGATTTACAAAGTCTAGCTTGAGAGCCTGCACTTGTCTTTTTCAGTACTATGAAACTGTCACTAAACCATTTATCTGCAAGAGCTGCAACTTCTGATTAAGTCCCTGATTAGCTTATTACTGTAACTATTAGTTTAATGCCTTTTTAGATAGATTACCCTTTTAAAACATGAAAGAAGTCATTGAAGCTGTAAAAGAAAGATATAACGTTTGATTAGCTCGAAACATACAGTTTGACGTCAAATTTTTTTCGGATATCGTTTCATTTGGCTTTCATTTGTTGATGCGGTATCGTGGGTTGGGCGTCTGTAAGAACCTGCGGCACTAGCACGCAGCTCGCATTGAACAATATGGTATTTGGCTGGTTTGGTTATGAGTGGTGGCAAGGATCTGAGGTTGACAACAAAGAAGATGGCGATAAAGCAGAGAACGATAAAGACCGCTGGATATGGGTGGATAATGAAGAAGATAAATTAAGTCAGGACGACTTGGAGTTCTTCGAAAAGAAGAAACTGACGAGCGTACCACTACAGTCGTATGCAGACATTGTAAAGTTGTCTTTTGAGAAATGCAAGAGAGAAGAAAGTCAGATGCAAGAAAAAACAGTGGCCAAGAAAAGGAAGAGCAGGGAGGAGAGCAATGACTTCATCAGCCCACAGAACACAGTATATTGCATAAATGACGTTACAAAAAGCAAAATACGGTTGGAGCGAAAAAGAAAGCGCATTGGGAGGTACAGTCCGTTTTCTAAGAGTGCGAAAATTGTCAACATGGAAAACTTTAATATCGCAAGTGATATCTTTAATAGGCAAGTTTTACCGCTTAGAGATATAACGCTAGGAATAAAGGTGTCTCGTATACTAAATGCAACGAATGCATCGGTAGAGACAAAAATGCCAGGTTCTGTTGGATGTGGCTGGCAAATTGTTGGAAGAAAAAGGAAGCATCCAGCAAAGATGTACCTTGCAAGATATCCTAAAACAAGCAGGCTGGTTGTTGATGTTAGCTCCAATGGCGCAATCGACTTACTGAGGATGCGCGGAGAAAATTCAATATTGGAATCAACAAGGTTGGTGGATTTGTGTACGGTCGTTGACAATGTCAAACCAAAGCAACAATTCACAAAATCTTTTAAGCAAAGCATGATTAATAACGAGGTTAATAAGAAAAGTTGTGAAAAATTGGCATGCAGATTGGCAGAGGAATATGAAGTTAAGTCTGCCAAAGAACGCAAGCAAAAGCTGCAGAAAAACTCTGCAAAGAAAAATCATATCAAAAATCAAAACATCATCATTTGGAATGTTGGCCTAACCATTCCTGACGAATTAATAACATTGAAGTATTTACTTGGCATCTTGAAACAGCCTCTTTCCATAAAGCAGGCGGGACAAAATGTCACAGAAAGCAATCCCCAGTGCGTTTTTGAAGGATTCAAATTTATGGAAGACATATTTTTTAGCCTAATAGGCATAGCATTTTCCGTTACAATAAATGAATTATCTAGCATAAACTCTGGCTACTCCAAGCATGATGAGGACATTGGGAGCTCAAAAAACCATTATAAACAATTTAGAAAACAAGTTACAAAGACAAAATATCGTAGAATGGGAAAGCTTCTACGTCCATGTGATAAAACACCGCTCGGTCAGTTGAAAGAGAAGAGTAAGCAAGTGAAAAGAAAACTCAACAACAATGAGATTTTGAAAAATACAAACAAAGTCTGCAGAACAAATGCTAAAAGCAAAAAGAAAAGAAGAAACTTCACGCCACAAAAATTCAGTGGACGCACTGGAGCAAGAGCGTGTTAATGATCTAAGCTAATTCAAGTACAGACCATTCTCAACTGATAAATAAAACTATTTCGTCATAATAGGTAGTTTACTCGATATTTTTGTGATCTGGATACAAGATTCTAAAAAGAGGAACTTTTTATAAAAATCAATAGAACGAGTAAGGGTAGGTACAATACAACACCTAGCTCGATTATCTTACACGAAAATTATAAAAAGTTATGGTTACCTCAAAAAGTACATTGTTCACTTGCGAATTCAAATTGTTTATATTTTGCTTTATTTTTCAAAAAAAAGGTTGCGGCGACAGTAAACCCTATAATAATAAATTAATCATGAAGCTGTTTGTTGGTCAACATGAAGAACATAAAATATATAACAATTGCAAAACATAACATATTCAAACTAACATCGAAAAATTAATTCATCAGAATTGCGTGAAATTCCTTAAGAATTCAATTTCTGATAAATGAATTTAGGCTTTTCAACTTGGATTTATTTCCAAGCGACACAAACTTAAATTCATCCACAAACAAAAGCGCGAAAATGCAATTTTCAACCAACGTTATCTTCTTTAAAAGAATCGAAGTCATTTTCTTCACGTTCTACAAGTCCTAACTTGATTCTCAATTCATGTTCTTCAGTTTCCAATGCCAAAATTTCTTCATATAATGCTTGATGCTTCAGTTTCAACTTGCCAATGTATGGACGATCTAGTAACCTTTCTATAGCCCAAGTGAACCATGATTGTTGTTTCTAGAAATTAAGTCCCAAAGTTGAAATCTTTGACAATACAGTCTAAGTCAAGTGAAAGCTTGTTACTGAATGATTTTAAAAAACTTGTTGAATAGTTGATAAGCAGTGTGAACTACAATTCATACCAAAAGTTTTGGTACACTAACATTAGTTTTCAAGGACAAATTCAGCCATTCCCTCCCTCCTCCTTGAAAAATGTTTGTTTACTACAAAACGACGTAGGGAACTAGGAGATACTTTTGTCCATTTACTTGTACGATTTATTTTTGAATTATCAACATTGTTTCTTGAGGAAGTGGTGCGAGAGTTGGCTTATTTGGGAAATGAATTGAAAAATATAAAAACACAACGCATATTGCTGAATGTTCCAAATACTTTTGGGAATGATTGTAGTACGAACGGTAAGGCAAATGACAAAGGAAAATGAAAAACGAAGTTACATCACACTTAAGCGGTGTAGCCTGGAAAAATTTCAATTATGGTCAGACCTGCCATTAGCCTAAACCTACATTGCAATATTAATCTGGTTTTTAAAGCTTGACTCAGAATTAAAAGCAGGCTCATTATCACACATCCATTTGGAAGCGCAGGTGTGTTGAGTGTTATGATAAGAATTTTTTTTTAGAAAATACAGTCCTGTACAACCTCTCAGCCCTATCCTTTCACAAAAAGCCAATTAATATATGTTTAAAAGCAGAGGTATCAGCATTGAACTGGGAGAGATAGACCATAGAATGTCAACATTTTTTGTCCCATATTGTGGCTAAGATCCATTGTCAAAATTGAAAAATAGTTGAACAACAATAAAGACACCAATAATGACATAATAAATTGTCTATGGAGAAGCACCATTTCAGGAACAGATTCTCCTTAAGTGCATTTAGCAAACTTGACAACCACAGCTAGCCACAAATAAATCTGTGGTATGAAATAGTATCATAATGCAACAACAATATGCGATAATAAGATGTCCCTCACTATCAATAGTTCATAGATCATATAAAGCCTGCAACACAAAGTGTAAGTTTATTACCTTTCGGACTATGTCCTGTTCTTCCTTATCCATTGCCTCCCATTCCAGTTCCAATAATTCGGGATATTTCAATAAAATAGCTTTTTTTAATCTCCAATTGTAAATTTTGTCATTTATAAACTGGCCTGTGAAACACAAGAGGAAATAGACAATCAGTTTGATAAGCAACGTTATGTCAGAGAAAGTTACTTATCAACATTTGTTCTTATTATTGATGGTTGATGGAGGTAGCAGGGCTTGTACAGAGGGGTGCTCAATCCCAATCAAGCATCCCAACACTGACCAACAGAGTTTTAGGAGCTTGCTTGATCAAGAGCCTAGTGAGTTTCTGCTGTTTAATACATAATCTAAAAAATTGATGATATTATTGATGATGTTTGCCGATATTTCATAACATTTGGTGGTATAATTGTTTTGGCATTCTGTAAACTGAGCTGCCAGCAGCCTTTAAATAGCATATCAAATACACAGGTTACATGGATCGTGTGTTTATGTGCTAAACAATTTTTTCTCAAATCCAATGTGTTTACAATTATGTTAGAAATTATCAACTACAAATGACGGGTTTATGGATCTCCAAAATCCTGCTTCGGTATCAACAACTATTGCTTGTTGGTCCTGCATAATTCAGGAAACATAGCAGATTTCGGACAATTAGCACAAATCCACTTTTGGCACTTGCTTTTAATCATTCTTTGCTTTAACCACCTTTTAACTTTGATTTTCATAATTCCAAATTTTCTCCCAGCTTCTCCATCTCAATGCACTAAGGCAACTTTTACAAGGGAAGAGGTGTATTATGTTATGATACAAATGGTTAACAAAGGTCAGGGACGAAAACAAGTTGCTAACTTTGGAGGGGCGTGGAAGGATGAAAATTCCAACTTTAAGTGAGAAATTCTTCATTCGACCTGTAAATCTACTGCACCTACCAAATTGATATTTGTAAATACCCCGAACACCATAGTTCTATTTTCTTTATAATTACCAAAACTTTACTCAATAATTAGCTTAAAGCATAAAAGCCTAAACCTCTAAATTTTGATTAAAATGAAACAAACATTTAAACTTTCTGTAAGAAGTAAAGCAACATTTAAGCAAAACCAGGGTTAGATATACTTAATGATTAGTAGTATTCTTTCAGATCAATTGATCAATTTTATCTAAATTGATCAATTGATCAATTAATGCAGATCAATTTTATCTAAAATACATTTTTTTAACGATATAGAAGCACCAAGAATTTGAGCCTTTTATTTTTGTTTGATCGAAGAAAACTACTAACAATTTTCAGAGGGCCAAATGCCTTTTCATTCTTTACAATTGAAATGATGATTTGAGAACAAACTTGTGCATATGCCTGATTCGAAAGATGAAACACTCTTCTTTCATCAAATACTACTACTGCAGTTTTTGCAATGTGTTATTGCTTCACAGCAGTTTTGTCATAGGAATTTATTATAAGGAGTCAAAGACGTTGACAAATAACAGGGGGAGTTTAGCACAAACTCGTTTTTTATAAGAAGCATTGAGAATTTTTAGTACTGAAAGATTCTTAATCTTTTATTGAATTAACTACTCGTAGTTTCTTAAAAAACTCCCACTCTAATATTTTCTGATCAATACGGGTATTATTATTCCAAACTATAATTTTTCAAGTTCATTATCCGGCAATTCACCTTGCCTGTTCGTAATTTGATTCAACTCCCGTCAGAAAGAAAGCAAATGGGGCAATTGTGCAATTTGGATCCAGTGGAGACGGGATTCACAATAGAAAACGATTAGTGGATAGGTCAGCTTCAGCCTGTGAATTTTAATGTTTAGAATTTTTACATTTAAAATCAAAAAACTTCTTAAAATATAAAATTCACAAGTTTGGTCCTAAGAAAAAAATTCAAAGTCAACCGTTAAGTTTCCAACTGTAACTGGATTTTCCCAACTTTGGGGGGGGCGTTACGCCCCCCACGCCCCCCTATTATTTACGTGCCTGACAAAGGTACTCTGCACAAGTTTGTCTTATGTTGGATGTTTCACCTGTGCCTTTTCATTGAATGCAACTGATTTCTCAAATTAAATTCAGATGTCCCTTGTGTTTTTGGGGTTGTCACATAAGGGAATGAAAAAGCCTCTGTTACCATGTTTAAGACACACCTTCAAACAGATCAAATTATAGTTTGTAGAAAGTGCCCCTTATACAAGGCAAAACACAGCGTTAAAAAAAGTAGCATTAAACAAATTAAAGTATAATGTATGATATGTCAAGTAATTATGATAAAAGATGAACACAATTAGCCAAAAGATTGTGATAGAGGCTTACCTGTAGCAGATAAACTGCCGGTTCCAGCAGCAACAACCAAAAAAGTTAAAGGGTTGTTTGCTGAAAGCAAATTTTAAAGATATCAATCCAGTGAAGCATGACAAGAAAAATTCTTATTCATAGGCATATGGTTATAAACAAGTTAATATTCAAGTCAATTTAAAGAGGCACTATAGCAAAAAATTGTAGTCATTGAGTGATTTCCAGAAGGCATGGAGGTCGGTCTGTATAGAGATCATGTACCTTGTGGGTACAGACTTTTTGTGTCAAGTAAGACCGGGGCAGAAACATGAGGATATGATTTCAGTGAAAGCCATGGTGTGGGAAATGGTGCGAGTGAGTGACTCTGTGGTAACAAAAAACAAGATTTACTTGTTTACACCAATGACAAACACCTTCCACCATCACTACAACGGTCCATTGCACTCTCCATCTATCTTTACAATCAAAAGAAAAGAAACTATTGCCACCAATGGAAACAGCTGGAGCAACAAGCCCAAGCCAACCTTTGTTTCCGCACAGCAGATTAGAAAAGAAGTAGGATGTCAAAATAGTATATCCTTATTTTCGAAGTCTCGAAAGTTTACTTCCACAGTGAGTACAGACAAAAAAATATATTTTCAGGTACCATGAACCACCAATCTGTAGCTTATAAAATTGAAATCTTTGGATGCAAGAACTTGCGTCAGTGCCTCTTTAATCATATGATCAAATGATTTCAAATAATGAGTCATGATATATGAAAACAAAAGCAACACAATGAACATTAATTAATTGTTTATGTAACTTAAATGGAATTTAATGAAAATTACTGTTTACCGTTCTGTCATAAAGTTCTTAATATCATATATTATGTAGTGTTGTACATAATACAAATTTACAAATTTACTCATAGAAGTAGAAAGAGTCGACTCACACCATGCAGATCCTATCAGAAACCCAGTAACGGCCCCAACTGTAAACATTTCTGCAAATCTAAGTTTCTTGCTTTGCCCAACCTGACTCTTCACAACTTCACTTGAAACAATTGCCTCTTTCATTCCTGAAATAAAAAGTTACTTGTTCTTAATTACTCTGACTACTAGCAAATTGTTATTCCTTTTCTTTTATACCATTTGAATTTATGATTCTGATATTTTGGTCTAGTCTTAGACCAAACATAGAATGGTTATCAAATACTCCAATTCTTTTCTCTCTTGGGTTAGTTTATCAGGGTGATTTAAGTCTGTTAGAATCAAGAACTAGGTGTCTTAAATCTTGATGGAAAGCTGCTGGGGAAAGTTATTCTAGAATTTATTTAACATTTTGGAACTAAAAGGTAATATATCATTACTTTTCTAGCAAGTGTCTGTTTTTGTAGGCTCATCACATGGCAAAACAAATTTTTTTTAATCTTCATTGACTGGATTTCTCAGTTGTTTGGTGTCTTAGTAATTCAAAAACACTCTCAGCTGTCTTGGTTGGAAAACAGGCAGCTTTTTGTTAAAAAAACTGAAGTTGTCCAAAGAAACTGTGTTTAGAAATGGAAAACAAGAAACTGTGTGAAGTTTAATACAGACATTAGAACTCAATATATGACCTTTCAAGAAAGGATTATGTCAATGAAGAATATGGAGACAGTTTTTATAGGCTTTCTATCAAATCTCGAAGCACCAAAAGACAAATTAGCTCTAACAGCCAAACTGTAGCAACTTAAAATCTATATCTACCTTATATCAGAGCTTCTGATGATTTTGAAAATTCAAGCTGAGTTCAATTTTCCTAAGATTTGTTTAAAATTTGGAAGTCGTTGTGATGTCTCTTAAAAGTTGTTGTGATGGTTTTGGAAGAAAGTATAAGGTTCACATATTTTCTTGAGTCACCTGTTAGACAGGAATGTCCATAAATTATCTGTAAATATAAATATCCTTTTAATATTAATTATCTAAAAATAAAAAGTACACAAATAAAAATGATTTGCTGAAAAATAAACATCAAACAGGAATTTACCTAAAAAAGTTCCAGAAATGATGAAAAATTTAGCAGTGCCTTTCAGTGCAGAAGGGAACAGATTTCTTTTTCTATTATAGCCATATAATGCACCAAGAATGCAACCAGCTCCACCTGCAATATTTAGACATAAAATCAAAGGACAGTTTTACAAAATCTACTGAAACCCAAAGAATTATCATACTGTGAGAAATGGATACAGCTCAAGGCCTCTCCATAAAGACTTTAGCAGGTGTGTGGCTGTTTGTGTGCCTCGTATGGCAATGTTCGGCGGGATTTTAAGCTCTGTGCAACCAAAATAGCATATAACTATCATCTTTTAAGTGTTAAGACAGTCACAAAATAAGCTTCTCTCATTTTGATCCCAGCATGAATTCATCGCAAAAATTCTATCGAGAAAAATAATGTTCTTAAATTAATCATTTTATATATAGCCTTGCTCAATCGTCTAACAAGTATTCTACATCATTAAATGATTCATATAATGCTGATCAACACACAATCCTTTCTTCTTCAGCAGGCAGGCCTTTTGCAAACCTGATCACTGCAAATTTTCCTCCTCCTCTCCAAGTATACTTTAACAGCACGGTTCGCAACTTCTTTTCTCTCCAAGGGCATCCATAGTTGGTTGTTTGATTTGAATCAAATCTTCCAAAGTACAGTGGGCAGTGCTAAGTTGTTTTTTTTCAGTTTTAAACCTGATCACATAGTCTTTTCTATACTTTCCATACATTTTTATTTTTAATTAGTGTTTTCAAATGATTATAAAATCCTAATCCTCAACACTATGATATTTAGGATAAATAACAGAAATTGTTTATTTACCTCTTGATCATAGCAATTTCTTTCAACTCAAATTTCACTATTCAGATTTTGTTTTCCCTTCAATGTTTCTACTAAAGTCATAATTACAACTTGACCCCCAATTAAACTATAGTCCAGCACACATGTGATGATAAAGTCATTCGAACCAAAATGGTACTTCCCATCAAAGTCTGATAAAAAAGTATCTAAATAAAATCATTGGACCAGGAAAACTCTTTTAGAGGGTCCCAGTTTGCAGTCTAGGATGCTAATTATTATTACACTTACCAAAGAATTTAAATTATTTTTTTTCTCTGAAAGAAGGCTACTAACCTATCAGAATCGGGTAAAAATAGTGAACCAGAAATTTTGGAAAGCATCGTTATAATGACGAAAAAGGTTGGCACAGTTTCACATCCCATATATTCTAAAAAATGAGCCAAATTTGAAGAAAATTTGAAATGTTGAAGTTCTGCCCAAACGTTGATTTGCCCATATATTATAACTATTCTCCAGCAAATTGTCTAACAAAAATGCACAGTAAAACATAAATGACAAAATTCACCTGCTGTTGTTGCATATCCAAGAATCTTTTTAAGCTTCTTTGGTTCATTTTTAACATACTTGTACATAAATCCTGCAGATGCACCAAAGAGGGCTAGAGAATAACAATTTCATGTTATGATATTAAAACGATGGAAGAGAATATAATTTTAGTAAAATTATGTCATTTTAAAGCTATTATGGTATCATAAGACTCATGCTATATATCTAAACAAGAGCACAATATCACAGATTTCATAATGAATTAAAAACTACATTCCTTTAATGAATGGTCTGTCATATAGTGCTCAATGCCTTACGAACAGCGCAGCCAAAAAAGTAAGTGTGAAATTCACAGTAAGGTTGTCCTGTTCCATATACCAAAGATCAGAATCATGATTATACATTTAAAGTCCATATCATGATCTATCGCACAAACAGGGACTCGATCTGTTTACAACTGAACAAAACATTAAGAAGTGACTTTTTCATACAGTAAACAATTTTGGAAACTGAAGATTAGTTTTTGCTTCAATTTCAATATGAAGCATTACTGTATCAAATATTGATTGATTAAGTAGCTCTTATAAATAACGATGAAATAATATATATAAGGCAGGCAGAGCGATCAGGATATTTTTTCTGGTGTTATTATAGTAAAGGATCTACATCACATCAAAGAACGGCATTAGAAAAAAATTCAAATTGGGTAAAAAAAATCTACCTGAGAGATAGCAGCTCTTCAAAAACTTTCGCCCATGAACCTGCCCAATTGTCGCCATGTCTTCTGGAGGGTTTGGTATTTTTTCAACTTACTGCCATTTTTGCAACTCATGGAGCCGTTTTAATTCGAGGCTAGGTATCTTCGACGTGGGCATGAGGCTGATGATAAAAAACCACACATTTTTCACAAAGGCAACTGTAGACACGGATTTACATCCTGATATTCTTTATCTTGCATAAAACTGTTATTACTAAGAGAAGATTCAAAGTTTGAAATTTTTTTCACATTTTTAAAGGGCCACTCCAGCCCAAAAATTTTTTCTGAGATTTTTGCATAAATTGGTAGTTAGTCGAGAAAAAGAAGCCATCGTGAAATTTTTTTTTGAAAAGCTTAACTCGTTTTCCAGATATAGACGCTCAAAGTTGAGAATCGCCGTAAAAATACGACAAAATTTTTTTCGGAAAAAGTACCTTGTGACGTATGAAGGGACCATTGTTTCAACATTCGGCGCTATTGTTATACGTTCGCACTGAAATTCGCACGACTCGGTAGCGGCTCGGAAGAGGCGATTCATGTCGGAATCTCGGTTGTCGTTTTATTTATTTTCCTTCATTGCGATTGATGTCCAGCGGAGGCTTCCAGCCAACATGGAATAGTAATTCGATAAATTAAAGATGGAAACTTCAACCTGAATGCAAATCCTCATCTTGGCAACGCAGCAAGCTTTTCAACATGGAATGCTTCACGAATTTTCAGATGTGAATGGGTTTCTGACCGAAGGCATTTCTTATCGTCGTCTCATCTCAGGGATTTCCAGGGAGGTGAATAATAATTCATGTCTTACCGCATTAGAAGAAGAATCCCATTCACAAGATGGAAGCTTTCCCGTAAGTCACAATCCATCCTAATTCAGGCACCGCGGAGCAGGGACGGGGGCTGGGGAGGGGGGCTTTAGCTCCCCACTTTTTGCAGAAATGCTAAATATTAGGTAATAAACTACCAGTAAAGCCTCTTTTTATATGGTTTTAGTCTCCCCCCACTTTGTTAGACCCCCACTTTTCTCAATGCTCCATGGTGCCTGTTATCATTTTACCATGGTTTGGAGGGGGTTTGGGGAAGGTGTGACACACACCCCCTAAGCAATGCAATTTCCCAGGCTTTGAGAAAAATTTTATCTTCTAAATGTAAGATTTCTAACAGTCAGTCTCATGAACTGTCCACCAAATGGTTAGAGGTGTCAGGTGTGGTACTAAGAAGAAAAGTACAACAGGGGCTCTCAAGCAAAATGTCATAAAATAGTACTGAAAGTAGAAGTTTGCTACTTTTTGTACCAACAAGGGGGCCTGAGCCTCCTAGCACTACATCCTTGCCAATGATCTGTGCAGTACAACCTTGCCCGAGGTACAGATGTGTAAAATTTTTGAGGGTTTCTCTCCTCAACCCTTAGTTTTCATGTTCTACCATGTTTCGTCTTCAATTTTGGAGTTCTGCCTATTTCATCATAAAACTGATGCACAATTTCAAAATTTTGCCAGATCAATATCCAGGGCAAAAGATCTACTACCCCAAAGAGAAAACATGGAATTTAAACCCTTGGTTTTGAAAACAGATGTGTCATATCCTCATTCTAATGTTTTAAAGGCAGAATTGTTTATATTAAATACACCTTTGCTATTCTAGCATTGATTCATATAAGCATGGCCTATATCATTTAAATTTATCTTTGTGTTACCTAAATATATCCTTAGATGTTATTTGCTATAGCAACAGTGGTTACCCTTTCATCCCCAAATTTCTCTTTGCCCCTGAGTGTCCAAGGTTATGATTTCTTTGATCATTTTATGTGATAAAGTGACTCTAAAATAAATTTCACTGGTAGGTTATTATTTATCCCTGTCAACATTGTTTTTCTAGGCATACAAAAAGGTAACAAACACTTTTATGGATCAATAGAAAGGATCTTGCCAAAAATGCTAGATGAAGGTTGGAGATTACATGTATCCTGTTATCTGGCTACTGGCTTTGGGGGAGTGATAACTCACCCCTTTTTCCTTGCAAGAGTTACCACAAAGACCTTGACACATTGTTCTGTTTTTGTATTAAAACTTTTACAAAGCAGACTATTTTTGAACTTATCAAAATTTTATAGATAATTTGGTCATTTCTATATAAAGTTTGCAAATCCACAGCTATTATTTCAAACTAGTAACAGCATATAGGTATTTTCTATAAATTTTGCAATAGATTATTGTTTCAGCATACTTTTATAAGAACATTTCTCATGTGCAATTTAAATTACAAATTTGCTAGCTAGTTCACTGGCCTGACTGTATATATATTTATAATATATTATTCAATGTAGCTAAGTATTTAAATACAAACATGTATTCATTATTCATTGATATATAGCAGGTTAAAATTCTGACAGCTTAAAGGACCTGACAAGGCCACTGCAATAGCTTGAAGATTCAATACAAAAATTATTTTTACACAAGTATATTGAAAAAGATGAAATGTTAATATAATCTCAAATCACTTTTTTGTCTATAGATATAAGAACAAATGTATAATTTTTGAAAAAAGTTGTTTGACTCATGACTAATGGTAGGTCTTTAGTCCTGTCTTGAAAGTTTGTATACTTCCATGTCCATGTCCTTGATTGTCCTGTTTTTTTTCTCAATAATTCATGTTGATATGAAGCTCTTTATCCTGCTGAATCTATAGTATCAACCTGGTATACTGGTTTTGTTTAGGTCTTTCCGAATAAATTGCGTGATGGCTTTTTTTGGTTATTGCACTGAATGTAGAG